ATAGAACCATGTCATGCTTAAATGGTTCTTTGCATGGCAAAATGGCTCTTCAGATTGATGGAGAATGTGTTGTTTATAGCACCAAAAAGGGTTCTGCTATTGTGACAGTGTGAAGCTTCACACTTAAAAAGACGGTTCTTCAAGGGTTCTTTAGCAAAGAAAATGGTTCTACATAAAAGCATGAACACTCAAAGAACCTTTTGCATGATTAAATGGTTCTTCTTCTTGTGTTGTGTATGGCTCTATATAGCACCAAGCAAGGCTCTGCTATTGTGATGGTGCCAAGTTTCACACTTAAAAAAGATGGTTCTTCAAGGGTTCTTTAGCAAAGAAAATGATTCTATATAGAACAATGAACACTCGAAGAACCTTTTGCATGCTTAAATGGTTCCTTGCATGGGAAATGGTTCTTTAGATTGATGGAGAATGTGTTGTATATAGCACCAAAAAAGGGTTCTGCTATTGTGACAGTGTGAAGTTTCACACTTAAAAAGATGGTTCTTCAAGGGTTCTTTAGCAAAGAATATGGTTCTATGTAGACCCATGAACACTCAAAGAACCTTTTGCATTATTAAATGGTTCTTCAGATTGATGGAGAATGTGCTGTATATGGTTCTATGTAGCACCAAAACATGTTCTGCTATTGTGATGATGTCAAGCTTCATGCTTAAATAAAATGGTTCTTCAAGGGTTACTTAGCAAAGAAAATGGTTCTATATGGAACTATGAACACTCAAAGGAGCCTTTTCATGCTTAAATGGTTCATTGCATTGTGAAATGGTTTTTCAGATTGATGGAGAATGTGTTGGTTCTATATAGCACCAAAAAAGGTTCTGCTGTTATTACAAGCTCAACATCATGACAACAGAAGAACCATTTTGGTGCTATATAGAACGCTTTTCAAAAAGTTTCCCAACGCAAAGAACCCTTTAATCATGCAGAGTTCTTTGAGTGTTCATGGTTGTACATAGAACCATTTTCTTTACTGAGGAACCCTTGAAAAGCCATCATTTAAAGAGTGTTGTAACAAAAGAAGAACCCTTTTTGTACCACATAGAAACTTTTTTCTCAACGTTCTACATAGCCAATGGTTGTAAATAGAACCATTCCCTTTACTAAAGAACCCTTGAAGAACCATCTAGTAAACAAAATGGTTCTATAAAGAACCATGACCACTCAAAGAACCCTTTGCATGATTAAAGTGTTCTTCGCATCATGAAATGGTTTTTCAGAGTGACAGAGAATGTGCTGTAGAGGGTTCTAAATAGAACCTTTCAAAAAGTGGTTCTATATAGCACCAAAAAATGTTATTGTTTTGTTCCACGTTTGATATCACAACAACAGCAGAACCTTTTTGGTGCTATACAGAAACTTTTCAAAAAGGTTCTATATAGAACCATCTACAGAACATTCTCCATCAATCTGAAGAACCATTTCACCATGCAACCTTTAATCTTGCAGAAGTTTTTTTTTGAGTGTTTATGGTCCTAAAAAGAACCATTCCCTTTACTAAAGAACCCTTAAAGAACTATCTAGTAAAGAAAACGGTTCTATATAGAACCATGAACAAAGAACCCTTTGCAGGATTAAAGCGTTCTTTGCATGATGAAATGGTTCTTCAGATTGATGGAGAATGTGCTGTAGAGGGTTCTGTACAGAACCTTTTTACAAAATGGTTCTACATAGCACCAAAAAGTGTTATTCTTTTGTTCCAAGCTTGATATCACAACAACAGCAGAACCTTTTTGGTGCTATACAGAACCTTTATAAAAACAACTACAGCACATTCTTCAACAATCTGAAGAATCATTTCACCACGGCAAGAACCTTTAATAACGCAAAAGGTTTTTTTGAGTGTTCATGGTTCTAAAAAGAAGAACCATCTTTTTAGGCCTAGTAGCTCCAAGGTTACCTAGAACTGAAGAAACAAAGTTCAGACACTTCTTAGCTGATCAGGTTTTTATTTACTGTAAGGAGAAAAGTGTAAACAAACGTTTTGGTAAATAAACGCATGCAGAGCTTCCTGAGATCAGAACCTGATGCTGAAAAGAGAAAACGAACATCAGAAGAAATACAGACAGACGATGTTTACAGTCAAAGAGTCACAGGAGTAAATAAACCGTCAATCAAAACTCACTTAGAACCACTTCAACTTTAAAGTTCTCCTATCTGGGCCCAAACGTCAGTTCCTCACTCGCAAAGCAACGTTATTCCAATATCAGTTTCACGGTGGTCTGCGAACAGCGTTTTAGTACGCTCTTTAAAAAGAGGGTTCTTTAGTAAGAAAATGGTTCTAAACAGAACCATAAACAATGAAAGAACCCTTTGTATGATTAAATGGTTGTTCGCATCATGACATGGTTCTTCAGATTGATGGAGAACGTGCTGTGGATGGCTCTATATAGAACCTTTTTGAAAATGCTTCTACACTTTCAAAAAAGATGGCTCTTCAAGGGTTTAGTAAAGAAAACGGTTCTACATAGAACCATGAACACTCAAAGAACCCGTGGTTAAAGGGTTCTTTGCATCATGAAATTGTTCTTTAGAATGTGCTGTAGAGGGTTTTAAATAGAACGTGTCTGAAAAGGGTCCTTCTATTGTTACGATGTCAAGCTTGTATATATGCTATATAGAACCTTTCTCAATCTACAGCACATTCTCCATCAACCTGAAGAACCCTTTCTTGATGCAAAGAACCCTTTACTCATGCAGAGGGATCTTCGGTTTCTTAACTAAAGAACACTTGAAGAACCATCTTTTTTAAGAGCGTATATAGCAGCCAAAAGGGTTCTTCTATTGCTATGGTGTCAAGCTTGTAACAACAAAAGAACCTGCTGTGTAGAACCCTTTTCAAAAAGGTTGTATTATTATATAGAACCGTCTATAGCACATTCATGCACATTTTCCATCAACCCGAAGAACCTATTCATGATGCAGTGAACCCTTTAATCATGCAAAGTCTTCACGGTTCTATATAGAGCCATTTTCTTTACTAAAGAACCCTTGAAGAACCATCTTTGAGAGCGTAGCTGCTGAGTAGTGAGTGTTAATACAACTGACGAGTCAGTTTAACGAGTGTGTCGTCATTAAGGACCAGTTCAGCTGCCATTTCGCTCTGCGATCTGTTGCTCAACCTTCATTCCTCGACTCTGAGTCAGTGTGTGTAAAGGTGTCCAGAGGAACGAGGCACTACATTATGTCGCTTCACTGATAAATGAAGGCTGGGAATGCGAGTGAGGAATGTGGCTCAGGACAGTTCCAGTCAGGTAATAATTCCACGACGACGACGACGACGACCAGCGTCTGGTAAAGGAAGCTCGCCTGACCGCTGACCACTGACACTGCAGCGTAAACACACATGCTGTGAGAAAATAAGCAAAATGACCAAATACAGTCATCAAAGGCATGATTGTACATTAGCCAAGGCAGGATAACCAAATCTTCTATCAAATGCAATCAAAGCTGTACTGACTACTCAGAGAATTCATGATGCACTGCAAAAAATGATACCTTAGTGAATGTAAACATCTTAAATGTAGTCAATAAATCTACTATTTCTCATTATGAGTCTGTTGTAAGAATATTGTGAGATTATTTAACTTATTTCTAGACATTTTTACTTGTTTTTAAGCAGTTTTATCTTATAAAAGTGTCTTATTTCATTGGCAGATCATGTTCCTTGTTTTAATCATTATTTCTTGAAATGAGCAAAATTATCTTCATTATTTCTCAAAACAAGTAAACTAATCTGCCAATGGAATAAGACACTTTCACCAGATAAAATCACTTAAAACAAGTAAAAATGTACAGAAACAGGTGGAATAATCTTATAATATTCTTACAACAGCCTCATAATGAGAGATATTAGATTTACTGACTACATTTAAGACGTTTTCACTTGTTAAGATATTTTTTGCAGAGTGTTTATGAAGATTTGGGAATTGAACAAACTGAATTGAGTTCAATTGGAATTGAGTTCTCTAACGATCATCTTCAGTGCTTCATTTTCACAGTTAATTCTGGGAGAGAAAACTACTACTATATAACATGCAACTCAAGAATATAAAACTGCAGTTTTTAAATTAGGTTAAATTTTACCGACGTGGTAAAAACATTTTCAATATCCGTGTCTACGTCTCCTCCATTCTTGTATACTAGGCCTATGGTGCTGTGAAAAAGTATTCGCCCCTTCCCAACTTCTCCTATTCTCAAGTAAACACAAAATGCTGTTTTTAAAAGACATTTAAATTTATTAAAGGAAAAATGCTGTTCAGCCCTACCTGGTCCTACGTGAAAATAACTGCCCTCTTAGCTACTAAATTAACCAGTTAACCAAATTCAATTGACAGTTGGGTTCAATTTTACTGTCCACACCCAGACATGATCACTGCCAGACCTCTTAAAAAAGATGGCTCTTCAGAATCTAAACATCACTTAAATAGAACCTGTCTGGCAATGTGACGCAGCTAGAAGGTCTCAGAAAGCAGCACATGATGCTGGACGTTCTACAGAGATTCAAATACAGATGCGAAACAAAGTCACTGAAATCTACCAGTCTGAAGAGGGTTCCAAAGCCATCGCTGAGGCTCTGGGACTCCAGAGAACCACAGTGAGAGCCGTTATCCACAAATGGAGAAAACTGAACAGTGGTGAACCTTCCCAAGAGTGGCGACCTACCAAACTTTCACCAACTCATCCACTCATCCAGGAGGTCAGAAAAGAACCCAGATGAACATCTAAAGAACTGCAGCCCTCACTTGCCTCAGTTAAGGTCAATGTACATGATTCCATGGGAGAGCTGCAAGGCGCAAACCACTGCTGACCGAAAGAACACAAAGGCTCGTCTTGCACTTGCCAAAAAACATCTAGATGACCTCCAAGACTTTTGGGATAATATTGGGATAAAATTACTTTTTCACAGGCGAAATAGGCTTAGAATAAATCTTTATCTTCAGTAAGTGGAATGATCACTTAAAAGCTGTGTTTTACTCTTGCTGTCTTTATCTTATATTAAAATTGGTTGGATGATCTGAAACATTTAAATGTGATAAATTAGCAAAGATAGAAGAAATCAGGCGAGGGGCAAATACTTTTTCACAGCGCTGTACATCAGTTAAATAAAATACTCCATCAGTTAAAAAAGAATGGCATGTGTCTGTGCTGGAGTCTGGAGTGTTCTTCTGCACCCAGCTGGTGTTTGGGTATGGCGTTGGTCCTCTCGTCCTGATACATGCTGACGTAGGACTTCAGCAGGTCGTCTATTTTATACCCCTTTAAAGACAAAACCATCAGTCAGTGTGTGAACACACAACATCACAGGCCGTACGGACTTCATACTTCAGTTTTCCTTTCGTCACTACACACTTAATACGATGGTTCTTCAAGGGTGCTTTAGTAAAGATATTGGTTCTATATAGAACCATTAACACTCAAAAAACCCTTTGCATGATTAAAAGGTTCTTTGCATCAAGAAAGGGTTTTTTGGGTTAATGGCAAATGTGCATGATTGTGCTTTCCTTGGGTTTCAGTCACGTGATTTCTCTGTTGTGAATTATATTTGGGACCGAATTTCTGGCTTCGCTGCTCCGCACGAACGTAACTACAGGTGAAATATGGCTGAAATTACTCTCCTTACTTTGGAAGAGAAAAAACGTGACCTCGACAAAGTCGATAAAATAGGCTGTGGTCCTTATATAGTTTACCCTGAACTCCTGATCCCACTTAAACTGACTGAAAGATACCAAATTAGTGTTTTCCTGACATTTATATTTATCTCATACTCAGCCCCTCTCCCTATTCTGAGTCTCTCAAAGCATTTAAAAGCACAGAAGCCCACCGGCTCTTCACGTCAGGGTGGGTAAAGGATCTCTTGGTGTTGTACAAAGAGGAGAAAAAACTCTGTCATTGTACACTGTTAGTAATAAAGGTTCTGTGCAGGTACAGTTTTCATTTATCAAGGTACAAACAGTGTAAATGTTCCCTCAAAGGTACAACAGTGGTTTAAAGGTCCAATTGTGTATCTTAAATAAGTTTTTCCAGGTGAAAAGTTCGTATTTGTTTTCATAACCGAACGTGGTAACACTTTCTATGAATGTCACCTTTGTAAGCATCTATAAACACATTCATAACATGTTATAATGCATTCATAAGACATTATAAACATAGCTATTAATATTTATAAAAATGCATTATACGTTATAGTCATGTTTATTATGCATTATGAATTGTTAACATAATACATTATAAGTACTGTTCATAACGAATTCTAAGAGCTCATAAGTCGTATTTGTCTAAGTAAAGTGAAGCGTACTGTACTAAAGCCTCCTCCAGTGTTCAGAGTGAGGCTTCAAGTTGAAGTATTTACTGAAGGATTTACTGAAACACTAAAACATTCACAGTAAAGCACATTACAGGCTTCAAATGTCAGAGTTTAAACTAGAGCTGCCATCAGTGTTTTACCCAGTGTGGGAAAGGTAATGTACACCACCATTAGCTTGGAATGTGTCTTTACTTTACGCTCTCCAAGCTGGGACTGACTTCTTTGGCACTGACAGTATAACATGTTATTAACACTATTTATAATGCATTATATTAACAATGCATAACGTATAATAAACATGCCTATAAAGTGTAATTCAGTGTAATTCTTTTTTATAAATATTTATAACCATGTTTATAATGCCTTATGAATACATTATAACATGTTATAATGTGTTTATACATGCTTACAAATGTGACATTCATAGAAAGTGTTACCCCGAATGTTTTAAAACAGAACAGTAAAAAAAAAGCCTGGAGACGAGACGGGGTGTGTGGAGTCAGTACAGCTTAGAACATATCAATTCAGTGGATTATGGTTCAGTTATGTTCCCTGACTAAAGGTACTGAGATGGAGCCTTGAGGGAACCACCCCAGTGACAGGAGGGGAACTGCCCCAGAGACAGTTTAGTACCTTTATTTCTGAGAGTGTAGGAGGGTAACGACATCAGCTAATTAACACAGATGTGAACAATGCTGGCCTTTAGATAACTTTAGCTGATGTTACCAGCCGAGAGATGAACAGTCGCCCCCTAACGGAGCTGCAGACAGCCGGTATAACTTTACTCTCTGTTTCTGATTTAAATGACGTTTGAATGGAGAAACATGAGTGTTAAATATCAGACTGAACGTTGTGGGTCTGAAAACGACGTCGTGTTTCGACAGACGTGATTCTGTAGGTTTGCTAGTGCAGTTAGTTCAGAGTTCAGCTCCAATCCTGAAACCCCTGCACTGCATACCTGTGGTTTCCTGGTTAAAATACCTGATATTATCAGCTGATTAATCCCTTCTCGAGCTGAACGAGGTGAACAGCAGAGAGGAACACTGAACTATACAGTGCAGCGAGCTCCAAGCCTGGAGTGAAAACACTGAATTAAAGGTCTGTGTGTCTCTCGGCTTCTGTCACGTCTTGCAGGTGAATCATTCACATGAAACGCTAGAATAGATGGCTCTATATAGAACCTTTTTAAAAAGGGTTCTATATAGCACCCAAAAGGGTTCTTCTATATTGTTACAAGTTTGACACCATAACAATAGAAGAACCCTTCTGGGTGCTATATATACTCTTGACAGAGTTCTTCAGATTGATGGAGAATGTGTTGTATACGGAGTTCTATATGGAAACCTTTCTTAAAATGGTTCTATAAAGAACCATCTACGGCACATTCTCCATCAATCTGAAGATCCTTTCACATGCATTGTGCAAAGGGTTTGTGGTTCTGTACAGAACCATTTTCTTTGCTAAAGAACCACTGAAGAACCACCATTTTTAACAGTGTAGATACAATCTTTTATTTTTACAACTAAAGTGAAGAGTTTCATGCCTGCACCTGTAATCATCATTTTTTAGGGTTATGGTTATTAATCTTAGCTCAGGTTCGGGTTAGTATTTGCTGTGTGTTTGACTGAGTTTACAGAGGTTTTAAAGACCGGGTTAGGTTTAGGATTAGGTTTAGAAATTAATATTATATACAAGTGCTGACATATATACAATAAAAACAGACTAGTGACAAATTAAAGGAAAAACCTGAATAAATGAGTGGAGATGCTTCCAGACAGGCACACTGAATAGTACAACTGAATGGTATAAGATGCTTCTCTTGACGTATAAATTGTTAAATGGCCCCGCCGAATTAATTCAGTCATATGAACCCACACGGACGCTCCGCTCACTAAATAACGGCCTGCTGACGGTTCTTCGAATTACAAAAACCACAGCAGGTGGTCAAGAACTTTCCTACTTAGCCCCAAAATTGTGGAATCATCTCCCGACCTCTGTTCTGGACTCCGACACACTCTCTACATTTAAAACTAGACTCAAAACTTTTCTGTTGGCATAAGCATTCTGCCAAGATCAGCTGTTACTCAGTAATATCTCCATAAACATACCTGTCCTGTTAATCAATCTCTCTCTCTCTCTCTCTCTCTCTCTGTCTCTCTCTGTCTCTCTCTCTCTCTCCTTTATTTGAGCCTCTGAGTGACGTTTCCTGAGTCAACAAATGGGAGCCACCAGAGCTGATAGAGTCACCAGAGCTCGATCTGGAGTTTCATGCTGTACAAAGCTGTGCAAACCTCACCTGCATAAACTGAACCTTCTGCTGCTGCTGCTGCATAATCTCAATCTATCTAATTAACCATTGCTCCACCTGTTTTTCCCCGTTTTGTATTCTACTATTTTATATTAATGCTGTTTGCTATCCAGTGTGGACCAGAGGAGGATGGGTTCCCCTTCTAAGTCTTGGTTCCTCTCAAGGTTTCTTCCTTTTGCTCTTAGGGAGTTTTTCCTTGCCACTGTCGCCATTGGCGACGCTCATGGGGGCTCGGACCCGGATTTTTCTGTAAAGCTGCTTTGTGACACCTGTTGTAAAAAGCGCTATATAAAAAAACTTTGACTTGACTTGACAACTTTAGCAGTTAACCTCCTGTCATGCTCTGTGGCATTTACAAAAAATTTCAAGAAGCCAAAAAATGTATGAACTTAGGTCATAAATGCTGCTCAGCTGACCAGTGTTTCAACAGGAACAGTGACTAAAGCGACATCTGCGTTTAGATCTGAGGGAAAGACATCAGTAGGGTTGGAAATTGTTGTGCATTCATTGAGCGTGAAACAGTAGAGCAGCTGACTCAGAATGTCAATGCAGGACGTGAACAGCTCGTCCACAGCAACATAGAAAGGAATATTACAGCATAAACCCTCATTACAAAGACGAATGAGCATCCTAGAGGTCAGTGGTGTAAAAGACACCAGCACTGCTCTACAGAGATGTGGAACAAAGTGACATGGTCAGATGAGTCTTCGCCACATTCTCCACAAGTGGGAGAGTGCATGTTCAGTGTACACCAAGAGAGCTCTACAAGCCTGTAAGCTTGACCCCTACAGTGAGGGGGGCCTGGTGGCTCTGATATGATGTGGGGGGGCATTTTGCTGGCATGGCTGAGAGAAGATCACTACAAAAAGTTATTCTGACTGAACTCACTGCAAAAAGTAATAGCTTAACAAGTGAAAACCTCTTAAATGCAGTCAGTAAATCTAATATCTCTCATTATGAGGCTGTTGTAAGAATATTATAAGATTATTCCACCTGTTTCTGTACATTTTTACTTGTTTTAAGTGATTTTATCTGGTGAAAGTGTCTTATTCCATTGGCAGATTAGTTTACTTGTTTTGAGAAATAATGAAGATAATTTTGCTCATTTCAAGAAATAATGATTAAAACAAGTAACATGATCTGACAATGAAATAAGGCACTTTTATAAGATAAAACTGCTTAAAAACAAGTAAAAATGTCTAGAAATAAGTTAAATAATCTCACAATATTCTTACAACAGTCTCAGAATGAGAAATAGTAGATATATTTACTACATTTACACTCACTAAGACATCATTTTTTGCAGTGTATGATGAAGTATTTCCATTTTGATGGGAGTGGTCTCTTCCAGGATGACAGTGTTCCCATAAAAATGATGTAAATCATACACTACGTCCTTCACAGCCACTAAATCTAAGCCTAGTTCGACACCTGAGGTGAATTCTGGACCGATTGTTATGTTACACAGTGCTCTCCACTAAACCAAATCGCAACTGAGGGACTATCTATTGAATGGTGTCCCTCTAGTACAGTTCCAAAGATGATACAGTTGTTTGGCAGCCCAACCTTTTACTGTGCTGGGTTTTCCTTTAATTTGTCACCAGTCTGTAAGTGCTACCCCTTATCCTGTGCGTGTTACACTCACCAAAGACGTTTCACAGAGCAGTGTGTTGCCTTTCACCAGGCTGCCGATGTCCATGTGAAAGTAGGTGCTGCCGCTGGACCAGTTTGTGATTTTGCTGAAAGGATACATCACCAGCACCTCCTACAGGACACACACGGCAGGACACATGCAGGCTTTCACCATACAGACAGCTTAAAACATGCGTATAAAGTTTCTAATACAAATTATGTTAATTAATTAGTTAATTAAAGTCTAACCAAGTTTCATTTGATGAAAACAACATCACATGCAAATATTGTGACAATAACAAAAAACAAAAACTAAAGTCTGGACTACATTAAGCGTTCGGCTATTGTTGTGTTACCAACTTCATAACAATAGAAGAACATTTTTTGTGCTATACAGAATCATAGAACCAAATGTTCTATATAGAACCAACTACGGCACATCCTCCATCAATGTGAAGAACCATCTCATGAGGCGAAGAACCCTTTAATCATGTAAAGAGTGTAGTTACTGAATAATAAGTGTTAATATAACAGAAGAATAAGCCTTTTTTAGAGAGTGTCATCAATAAACATCAGTTGTTTTTGTTATTGTCACAATAAGTGCAAACCCCATTTCCAGAAAAATGACGACTGATAAAAAGTACAACTAACAAAAGTACAGAGAAATGACTTTCAAGTTATCAAATGATACATTAATTTTAAGTAGAAATGCCGCCGAGTTCTTTGGGCCGAGCTCATCACAAATGGTCCAAAAGACAGTGGGTGCTGTGGTCAGATGAGTCCATGTTTCAGTTTGTTTTTGGAAAAAAAAACCTACGAGTTCTGTGTACCAAAGGCGAAAGAAACTATCCAGACTTTAAAAACTTATCCAACATCTGTCATGGTTTATGGGGGACTTGCACATGTGTGAAGGTATCAGTGACGTGAAGACATTTTGGGATTTGACATAAGCTGCCGACAAGACGACGTCTTTTCCTGTAACGTCCCCTGTTTAACGGTCACTTGTTTCAGCAACACCAGGCCTCGTTCTACACATTCTACAACAGCGTGGCTTCATAGACACAGAGTGAGTGTGCCTGACTGACCTGCCTGCAGTCCAGATCTGCCTACTATTGAAAATGTGTGGATCATCATGAAGAGGAGAATCAGACGACGACTAAGGACTGTTGAGCTGCTGAAGACTTGTATAAAGTAAAAAAGGGCAAAAATTCCACTTGCAAAACTGCAACAATCAGTATCCTCAGTTCCCAAACCACTAAAAAGTGTAATTAAAGGAAAGATGATGTAACACAGTGGTGAACACACCTCTGTCCCGACCTTTTTTTGAGTGTGTTGCAGGAATCAAATTCTAAATTTGTTAATATTATATATAATGGATATATATAATGGGTTAATATATGGAATTTCCCCATTGTGGGACTAATAAGGGTCACTTAAAAACAATAATAATAATAATTTACAAAATAAATTGAAGTGGGTCAATGAAAACACTGGAAATCTTTTCTTTGTACTTTTGTCAGTTAAAAAGGTTCAAGAAAATTAAATCACAGATTTTTTCTTTTTGTTACATTTTACAAAATGTCCCAGCATGCACATCTCTATTAAGACCTTTGAACAGCTAGATGTCCAGAAACCCAGCTTTATAAATAAATAAATCAATTTAAAGTCTTTTGTAATGTAAACATTGGTCAGTGTTATTTCTGAGCATTATATATTTATTTAACCCTTATATGTTTAATGTTTGTGGTGTTTCATGCTGATGCAGACATATTTACCTTTGTTTTGGGGTCACTTAGCGTGACCCCTTGCTTGCTGATTGCGATCATGATAATAGTGGGATAACTCCGCTCAGACGTTTGCTGATGACAGACAGGAGTTGTTAGTGGATATTAAAACTGATTTACACAGTACAAGAACTTTGTTTTGTTATTTTTGGTTACCTTTACTTCAAAGAAGGCACAGCCGAAAGTGGGCCATTGAGAGATGATCTTCAGGAATCTGACCTTAGCCTCATCCACAGTGATGCCCGCCTGTCTGTTGTATGCGTTGATGATGTGCTGTAAACCCAAACAGAAACACGTTTCTCCACTGTTTCTCCTTTTTAGGTTCTTGTGTCCAGTTTGCAAAAGTTATACTAATTGGATTCATGGAAATTTCAAGAGAAAATTTCAGTTTTTAATGCATGTTGATTCGTATAGTAATATGAAGCAGATTTGCTTTTGTGGTTTCTGGCAGTATAACACACTGATATCTAAAAAAAAATTGGAGGAAAGTACATTGCATTTGTAAAAACAGTCAGGGAACCCAACTCAAAGCCTGTATTTTGTCTATACTTTTGTCTGTGTGTGCATCCTATCTGGTGGGATTTAAGCTTCCATTACTTGTTAGCTACATTAGCATAGTCCAGGGGTCGCAACCCAAATGTTAAGAAGAGCCGGTTTCTCCTTTCACAGAAAATCAAACCATCTTGGGAGCCACAATATTTTATGTCCATTTTACCATCTTGGCTGCAAGTATGTCCCAGTATGTGCTGATGTGATATTATACGCTAAAAATATAATATAAATTAAAGCACAGACTTGCTTTGCTCTGCTTTAAGCTTTAGCTCAGCACTTTTCTCGCATCTCCAGCAGGAAACTTTTCTGCAAAAGCAGAAGAGTTTCTTGTAAAATGTCTCTCAACATTTTACCTTTTTACGAGGCTGAAGTCGCTGCTCATTCGCCAGCTTCTAGTTCAATTTTTCCCGTTCTACCTTAAAAGATGCCAAAATGTAATTTAAGGTGGAACGGGAAAATCCAAATGAGAATCTGACTTCATCTTTGCGACTTTTTAGTGTTTCAGTTTCTCGTTGCAGATTAAACGTATCAGGAAACCAGCTGGAGTGATTATAAATGCAAATCCATTCGTCTCCAAATTATCGATGTTCATCTTAAATCTTTCTCTTTGCCTTTTCGTTAGCTACTAGCTAGGCAACACTTTTGTCTGCGTTGCTATGGTGACGAACAGCCTGTGCACCAACCTTCAGGGTTCAAGGGTGAATCAGCAGTTCTACATTAACTCCAGAGTTTAAGACCATTTATTGTTAAACTGTGTTGAACGATCAGCAGAGCTTTATTTTACTGTAAAGGAGGATTATTTTATTTTTACCTACTAATCTGATTCTGCTGTGGAGCCACAACAGGGCAGTAAAAGAGCCGCATGTTGCCGACCCCTGGGACTAGTAGCTCCAGTAAAGAAGCAAACTGAACACTAAACGTCTTGACTAATTGACTACGTTTGTGGTAAAGGGGGAAAACTGGGTGTATTTGGTGTTTTATAAAGTGAGGCTTTTATATATAAAGTGAGGCTTTGTATGATGGACCTTCTTCCAGTCTTCAGAAGACATGATCTTCTGCTGATCCGCTGGCACTAAATCCTTCAGCATTTTTGGAATCATGACGAACTGAGACCGGTCAGTATCCACTTTGACCCTGAACAGCAGCCCGGCCAGGTCTATTAGCTCCTCCTTAGATACAGTGTGGTAGCCACGCAGATACTTCGGCAACTCCTGAGGAAACACAGCAGTAATGTTAGGACCGTTCTAGATTCATTGAAGGTTTCACAATGTCCCTTACAAAGACTATCCATGGTTTTACCATGATAGTTCACAGTCACTATGGATGGAGCACAGTTATCCATGAATCTACCATGAATTACTATGGTATCCTATGGTAACTATGTTCATGCTATGATTCAGCCATGGTTTTACTATGGTGGTGTATATTAACTATGGGTCTCTATAGGTAACCATGAATCTACCATGAGCTACAATGGGGTCTTATGGTAACTACACTATGATTCTGTTGTGGTTTTGCTATGGTGGTTTCTAGCAACTATTTTTCTATATAGTTAACCATGAATCTACCATGAACCACTATGGTATCCTATGGTAACCATGTTCAAACTATGATTCTGCCATGGTTTTACTATGGTGTTTTATAGTAACTGTGGTTTCTGTACAGTTAACCATGAATCTGAAGTGATCAAACATGGCATCTTATGGTAACTTTGTTCAAACTGTTAACGGCCATCGTTTTCCCCCTTTTTTTAAACCAACCTAAATGTAAAGTAAAGTAAACTAAAAAAAACACAAACAAAGCAGAAGCAGAGTAAAGCAGGGTAGAATGCCATGGTAGACGTACTATGATACTATGATAATACAGGGTGATTCAAAAAGCTTCATCCGATTTCAAAATGCCATATTTTTACAACCGTGAGGCGCCTAGGAACCAATCACAATCCAATTGAAAGAGGGGGTCATAGAGTTTCTGACTGTCAGTTGAAGATGGCTCCCCTCAGTCTGAGAGGAGATGAGACCCCTGAGCAGAAAGAGTTCTGCGTTCTCCACTTCAATAAGAATGAATCCGTCATAACTGTGCAATGTTGTTTTTCATCAGCAGTGAAGCTCCAACAGCTCAGAGCGTTCGTCGTTGGTTCCACAACACTGGATGATCTCCGAAATCGCACAAAGAGCCGTGAGTGCAGCGACACCCGACATGCTCAATCCAGCATGGGATGAATCTGACTATGGTGTTGATGTTGTCTGTACAGCTGGAGGAGGTTCATACTGAGACCTTGTACAATTGAATAATAAACTTTATTCTCATTTAAGCCATTTACAGTTTACTGCATTGTTCTGTAATGATTTACAAGTGAAATAAATCATTTTGAAATCAGATGAATCTTTTTGAATCACCCTGTATAGTAACTGAGGTTAAACCATAGTGGTATAACCAATTTAGCAACTGTAGCAGAGATACCATAGTAACTATGCCATTCCACCAAACAACAATGGATACCATGCTAGAGATACAACAGCAGCCACACCATAGTTTTCTTTCTGACAAAAAACATGGATACCATACTATGGTAAAACCATGGGAACTTCATTACCCATAGTCCTTTGGTATAGGAAGTAGGTGGGAACTAGAACTTCTAAGGGAACAGGAAGTCATTTTCCTTCTGTCCTGCCATGTGTTTAAAATCAGTTTCTTCAGAATCCTAATAACGGATGTGTTATGATTCCTCAAATTTCTTTGGATACTGTTTGTTCTTGATGTTATGCTAGACGTTGCTTATCAGATACAAGGATGGACATGTTTGTTAATGTCTGTTGTCTTTATTCGAGAGACTGTAAACCAGCCATTCCTCATCCATCCATCCATCCACTATGCATTCCTTATCCATTCACCCTTCTCATCCAACCTGCCTATGTGTTAACAACCATCTGCATCCTCTTTGAGCCAATAAGGAACTGTGTGGATATTTACATCCTCTCACTGTGTTTTGATCAGATGCACTGTGGTGTTCCTCACTCCTTCAGCCAGAAAGTCCTTTCCTTAACTACTATGGTAAAGATGCCACAGTAACCACACCCAAGCTTTCTTTCCAACAAACAAAAAAAAGACATGGAAGAGATGACACCATGCACTGTTAGAAATAAAGGTTCTGTTCAGGTACATTTTTCAATCATCAAGATACAAACAGTGTAAATGTTCCCTCAAAGCTCCAACAGTGGTTTTAAGGTCTGATTGTGAACCTTAAATAAGTTTTTCCAGGGGAAAAGTTCGTATTTGTACCTTTTCATAACCGAATGTTTTAAACAGAACAGTAAAATAAAAGCCTGGAGACGAGACGGGGTGTGTGGAGTCAGTACAGCTTAGAACATATCATTTCAGTGGATTATGGTTCAGTTATGTTCCCTGACTAAAGGTACTGAGATGGATGAGGGGTATCAACTAGTGCTGGGCAATATGACCTCAAATCAATATCATGATTAATTGAATATTTTACCTCGATAACGATTAATGAACGATTATTTTGTTTTTTGGGGGATTTCTCAGTTTTTTTGCCCTCATAGTTCACTGTCAAGGTTTGTACTGTAAATATACTCTGCATATCTAAATGTAAATTGTTGCAACAGCCAGATCGGAACTCATGCAGCTTTTATGTCAATCCAACTTGACGTTTGTCATAATTTCACGCTGCTGAGAACTCATAAACATTAGGGGTGATATTTCTGTACAAAAATTAGAAGAGACTCATCCAAAACCCTCCCTGTGACTGGCGTTCGTTGGCAGTCATGATTGTTTACCTCTGGATGAGCCGTGAAGCAGCGTGACGCTCTGTTCTTTTGCGCATGCGGGTCAGTTTAGGAGCTGATCTGTTCAGACTGATGTCTCATACAGATCACATTTAAAAGATAATCTGAACAGCCAAACAAAAAAATCAGATTTGGGCCACTTTTACCTGCTGTGTGAACGTAGCCTTAGCTTACATGTCACAGAGTGGACGTGGCAGAGTCACATGACTACACACGCGGGAGCAAGTTCTTACAGGGACAGTACATGAACACACAGAGTGGGGAAAGGATTCAAAGAATAAAAAAAAATAGAAATAAACGTCATTGGATTACGTCAGTTAGAGGTTCTGAATGTCAGTTTCGATTACTTTTCAATTAATTGCCCAGCCCTAGTACCACTCCAGTGACGAGAGGGGATCTACCCCCGTCACAGTTTTGTCATTTTATTTCTGAGAGTGTAACAGTTTTATTTTCACCAAAAAACCATGATACTATACTACGGTAAAGCCATGGTAGAGATAGCAAAGTTTACTTTCTGCCAAAAAAACATGGATACAGGGTTTCTAACCATCAGCACTTGCTCCTCACCTTCTGTTCAGTCTCTTTAGTCTGTTTATACTGAGTCTTACAGGTTGTACATGGCGAAGTCTTGCCACAGTGTTGTGCAGTATAAACGTACAGTTCACTTCCCGTATATACACTAAGCTGCCAAAGCATGTTTTCAGACCATTGTGGCTGCCAAACAGTGCAGCCAATCGCAACATAGCTCATTTACATATATCAGTCTTAAAGGCACAAAAACAGACTGTTTTAAGGGATATTGGGCCTCATTCACCAACCATTCTTAAGAAGAAATTCCTTCTTAAAATCCACTTACGCAGTTTTTACGAAGATTCACCAATGTTTTCTTATTTGGGGTTTGGTAAGAACAGAATCGACACACACTCAAGAACACGAAGGTGAGAACAGTTCTCTGGTTTACGAACATGTCATGAATCTGACTTAGACTTTTTCTTAGGACCTTTATCAAGAACAAATTTAAGAAAACACTTAGGAAGATATTGGAGAACGAGGCCCATTGAGAGGTTGAATGGTCTCGAAAAAATTATTGACTACTTTTGGTACATAAATCCATCTAAACTTCATGAGTGGACTTAATAATAATTTAGAAATATGGGCCCTTTAAAGGTAAACTAAGGTAAGTGGGGAAAGCCAATTCAGTGAGCCCACCTGAGGGAAATGGAAGGTGAGGTCAGCCATCAGGTCCTTCCCAGGGGTCACATTAAACCAGAGCTTCCTCATGAACAGGACGAGATAAGGGACGACTGCTGTTGCTCCTACAGACAAAAACAAAAGACTACATTTCCCTGAACACACTGGTGCTGAAAACGAGCTCAGAAGTGATTAAGCAAATATTATAGTTCAGCAAATATTTTGGAGAGAGCTCAACACGGGTTCTGGACACTTTACCCTCTTTGGCTTTCTTTCCTTTCTTTGGGGCGTCTGTGAGTTGCTTCAAGTTGTCAAAGAAGTACTGCTGGTCATCCATGCTCACTACCTGTACAATGAAATGTGTATAAAGATGAGCAGGATCTGTCCTCATGATCAAACTTTCTTTGAAACAGTGGAAATCACCAAAAGCAAAAAAAAAAACTGAAACCTTGTTCGTGGTTTTCGCAAATAAGCCGTATCCGTCAGCAGAGGAGAGTGCCAGTTTATTGGCGATGTTGCGACAGAGGTCACGGATCCGTGTAGTAGTGGTGACCTCGAGGATCTGGGGGTGGGATAAGTGACAGATTGAGCTACTAGGTGCAAGGTGGAAGTGAAAATAATGCTCTGAACACGAGTGCTAGTTCCATACCTCTGTCTTTTCATTGGGAAAGTGAATCTTGTGGAAGATCTGAGAGCTGTTTTGCTGAATAGCATCCACCTCAACCTGGTGAGGCGGCATTTTCCTGGCGTCAATACTGAAAAAGGAAATAATCAGCTGTGAAAAGATGCTCTGATTGAAAACACTGACAAAACGTTTCTCATAACCCAGAGTTTGGCCAATTTAACTTTGTTCCCCATATATTTATTACTATTAAATTGGTGTTTACATGCTATGGTGGCAACTTGGATTGCCGGGCATTACAATTTATTATCAGTAATAAACACCATCAATACAGCTTACATTAATTTGCCATTTTAGTATTTTTGTCAAAACTGTTTAATTTGGTGTTAAGGCCCAATCCCATTTCAGCACTCGCCCCTACCACTTAGCCCTACCCCTCAGTTTTGCGCATTCATGTCTAGGGGTAGGGTGTCCTGATTCTTGTTGAGATAGAGGGGTAGGGTGAAGTGTTGGGGCTACATGACCCTCCAAATGGAGGTTTTTCAGAGACTCCAAACAGAGAGTTATGAGAAAAAAAGACAAAACCGGCAAGATGGAGAACAAGAGACCAAAGAAACACACAAATGTGAGAATTTTCTCTGTTAAAAGTTACAATAACCACTGTATTATCTTAGTTTAATGTCGTTTCAGTGTATTATGGTCCTTTTCTTCATAACAAGCATAAAAAATCACTAGTAGTAGCTGATGTCTCGGTAGCTAACTAGCTAAATTTCCTGTTCCACCTTAAATGATGCAGCAGTTACAGTCTGGTGCCTCAGGCCTCAGAACTGCTGCATGATTTAAGGTGGAATGGGAAAATTCCAACAAGAATGCTGGCGAATAGCTGCATATCACTGAAGAATTAGGGGTGGGCGATAATAAATAATAGTCCCCCCCTTTGAAGGCATATGATGCCCTAAATGTAACTAAAGCCCAGCAGTGAGGAGCTGAACTTTACCCTCCTCTGCTGTCACTGCAGACTGGCAGGGTCACCTACAGAGCAGCGCTGGTAGCTGATAATGAAGTGATGCTCTTTTTATTTGAGGGTCCCATTTCAGAGGGAAGATTTCAACCACTACACCTTGTAACTCAGTTCTGAGGGGCAAAGGTGACACTTGAAACCAAGAGATAGGGGTAAAAATAAGAAATGGGACTGGGCCTTAGTGAACCTGAACATACTGCTTACCTGAGCATAATGCAAACAAGCCTAACAGTGACTGAAAGCAGGAACTGAATAGCCAACTCAGTGTTAGTACTTAGTGCCAAGCAGCCTCACCTCACATGAATAGCCACTGCTATAAACAGCTTTCAGTACTTGCTAGTTGGTTTTCCATCATTTTGTTTGTCAGAAAATTGGCTTAACCCTGCTGTGGTTTTAGAGCCAGCCTACCTGAGCATGCCCTTCAGTCTCTGCAGGCAGGCAGCAGACAGAGGCTCTCTGGCTCTGGACTCCAGGAACCTCTGAGCATGTCTCAGCAAAGCCTGACTCGGAGGGAAGAGGCCACAACAAAGCCACATGAGCTGCCAGCCTCGCTCCAGACTCAACCTGCCGAGAGGAGACGTGCCACACAAAGAAAGACGTGAACGTTACATTTACGGCAGCGTCCATAACAGGAAAGCACAGTCTTGCCCATTTAAACTGACCCGTTGTTGTTGCTGGTCATCTGCTTCATGATCTGGCAGTAGATCTCATCTCTCAGGGCAGTGTGCCGCAAGGCTGGACCAAATATCTGGTCTGTCAGCTCTATTGGAGTACGCACGTTTTTGACCGGGTAGTCGCCCATATACTTGAGGATGGGTAGAGGAGAGTTAAGGACAACTGTAAAAGTCACTGTTTGTCCAAAAAGTAATATCTTAGCGAATGTAAACATCTTAAATGTAGTCAATAAATCTACTATTTCTCATTATGAGTCTGTTGTAAGAATATTGTGAGATTATTTAACTTATTTCTAGACATTTTTACTTGTTTTTATGCAGTTTTATCTTATAAAAGTGTCTTATTTCATTGGCAGATCATGTTACTTCTAAACATGTACAGAAACAGGTGGAATAATCTTATAATATTCTTACAACAGCCTCATAATGAGGAATATTAGATTTATTGACTACATTTAAGTTTTCACTTGTTAAGATATTAGTTTTTGCAGTGTTCTTGTGACTTAAATGGGAATTCAGCAATATGTTCAAAAGTTTTGCATTATTCAATTGTTTAGTCATTCTTTCAAAATTAATTTTAACAATGTACTAAATTCAGCTAGCAATGCATTTTAATGGAAGGAGCCATTTTAACTGGTTTTAACATGCAGTCATTTTAACACATGCAGAGCAGTGCAGGTCTTATTATTGTTCATCGTACTGTTCATGAACAGAGAGAGCTCTTATTCAGTGTCAGCTGCATGAGCTGTTGGAAGTGGCACAGTCTGCTAAGGAGCCTAGGCTCCAATAAAGGTTCTACATACGACATTTTAAAAATTAATATAGCAGCAAACGACTATGTATCTATGTAAAGATATAGTGAAGTAACGGCGTAATGAGCAGAGAATGAAGTCACTCCTCCTCTGTGTGTGTTGTAATCTGAGCTTCCCTGTTTTTTGTTTTCATAGCTTGTCCGGCTGGGTGTTCGTGTCAGCCCAGCCCAGTGCAGTAGGAAACGTTCAGGTCAAAGCGACCTTCCAAATATTCCTCCACCGAATATTCCTCAAAGTTGGTGAGGCTTAAATTGGCTTCCTATTCATGTTTTCCCATTCCACCTTAAATTGTGCAACAGTTCTATTCTGCGCATGATACACCTGAATGTAACTGCCACACCATTTAAGGTGGAACGGGAAAATTCAAACAAGAAGCTGGCAAAAAGGAGGTGACTTCAGCTTCATCAAGAAAGTTGAATGGCATGAAAAGGGATGAGGAGGCTGCTCTGTTTCTGTTTGACAGGTGGGCAACATTAACTCATTTTTGTTGTTTCGCAGAACGAGTAGGTCAGTATTGTTTTGTCCTGTTTGCTAATGTTTGTGACAGCAACTGTTATAGCTCCACAGCAGAGTTAGATTTGTAGGTAATAATAAAATTATCCTCCTTTACAGTAAAATAAAGCTCTGCTGATCGTTCAACACAGTTTAACAGTAAATGGTCTTAAATCCTGGAGTTAATGTAGAACTGCTAACTCACCCTTTAACCCTGAAGATCAGCGCAGACTGCTGGACTTATTTGCATTTATAATCACTCCAGCTGGTTTCATGATACGCTTATTCTGCAACAAGAAACTGTCAAACACTAAAAAGTCGCAAAGCTGAAGTCAGTTTCTCATTCGCCAGCTTCACGTTCGAAGCTTAAATGGTGCCTGAGTTGCCAGAATGTAACTGCTGCACCATTTAAGGTGGAACGGAAAAACTGAAGATCTAAAAAACAAAACAAATTTGCTAGCTCAGCGTCGTTCGTCTAGGTAAAGCATGTCCATTAATTTGGGAGGTGGAGCTTCTGAAGGAGCACTGAAGGGAGATGTGTATTTGTTTTGCTATTGAGTTCAAATATCAGCAATCGTTCTCCAGAATCGTACGAGGCTCCCTTAAAGTCTCTTCCATTAACCAAACAGATGGCAAACACTGCCAGGACGGAGGTTCAGTTTGAATTGCCTGAGTCTCTAGAAAACTCTCTCCCTTTCACACCGGCACATATTTTGTTCTGAAACTTGTGAAATAAACTACCAAACTATGAAAGTCTGAAGTCAGTTGCTGTGTGGCTGATTAGTCAGTGAAGGCCCTGTAAGACTCCAGTGAGCAGGAAGGATATCAGAGAAGGAAAGGCAGGCCAGCTGGCTAAGTTCGGTGTTGTTCTGCAGACTCTTCAGTAGTGGATTTTTGAGCGGTTCTTTGGATCTGGCCCACAGCTTCTCTCGGGCCCCTTTGCCCTGTCTCCCCGCGACTTTGCCCGCCTCCCTGTGGGTCAACAGTGTCACCAGCACAGCTTAGAGAATCAGCACACCGGCATAGCATAAACATCTTGTTGATATGCAAATGAGTTTGAAAACATTAAACATGATTGATTTCACTGGGTGTCTGCAGACATTCATTAATCATCTAAACTGCTTATCCACCTGGGTCGCAGGGGATGCTGGAACCTATCCCAGCGATCACTGGGAATCGAACCGAGCTGCTTTACTGCAAGAAATAATATCTTAACAAGTGAAAACTTCTTAAATGTAGTCAATAAATCTAATATCTCTCATTAAGAGATATGATTTTTCCACCTGTTTCTGTACATTTTTACTTGTTTTAAGTGATTTTATCTGGTGAAAGTGTCTTATTCCATTGGCATATTAGTTTACTTGTTTGGAGAAATAATGAAGATAATTTTGCTCATTTCAAGAAATAATAATTAAAACAAGGAACATGATCTGCCAATGAAATAAGACACTTTTATAAGATAAAACTGCTTAAAAACAAGTAAAAATGTCTAGAAATAAGTTAAATAATCTCACAATATTCTTACAACAGTCTCATAATGAGAAATATTAGATATATTGACTACATTTAAGATGTTTACACTCACTAACATATCATTTTTTGTAGTGTTCAAATCCAATCAACTTTATTGTCACATCATATTTACACAGGTGCAAGGTGAGTGAAAACCTTAGGTGCATAGCTTCTTGTAGAATTTAAATACAAAAAAAAATCTATATGTAAGCAGAAAAAAAATATATATATACACTGACTCTAAATATATACACATATACACATTATATACTAGTATTGCACTATTTCCAACGTACAGTTGTACGGTAAGTTATGAAATAAAGCTATGAAATGTACAGCTGTACACATTTCCGTATGTGCAGTTAGTGAGTCTGAGGTAGATAATAAATGAGATGCAGGTACACGGGCGATAGAATACTGATATAGAAATCTTCCAGATTATACAAGATATAGATTGGCATCTTGTACATCTTCTATCCATATGTGTAAGTATAGCTTTGCTAGATTGAAGGTGCAGTAAGATGAGGGTGAGTCTGTTGAGATGTGGATGAGGTTTGGATTGTCCATAGGGATCATCATGATGATGACTCAGAGGTGCAGTGACAGGCCTATAGACCGATACACCAGCACTACTAGCTGTTCAGCAGCCTGATGGCCCGGGGGGAAGAAACTGTCTCGGAACCAGCTGGTTCTGGACAGCCAGTTTTTTTCATGCTATATTTATGGGATTTCTTGTTCACTTAATTTCGATGTAAACCATTGTCATTGTTTTATTTTGAATTACAATGTGCTGAAATAGAGACATTAAAGTGTCCCTGTCCTGTCACTCACAGACTGCACTGTACATGACAGCTGACATGTCTAACAGTGTCCAATACTAGGCATTTCACAACCTGCAATAACTGCAAAAACGTGGTACCTGAAATACTCAAAGGAGAATTCCTTGAGTGTAACGTGAGCCACTCTCTCTGTATTGATTTCATCCTTCGACGCTGAGTTGGCTTGCAGTGGCTTCCCCTGGCTTGGGTTCAGCAGAGTCTGAAGAGGACAGTGTAAACAAGCACATTACCACCACACAGACGTTTGCCATTAATATCTATGACTAAACAACCTCTGAAGTAAATCAGTATGAACTGAGGTTGATCAACTACCAGTATCTCATCAGAAGGCCTGCTCAGAGTCGCCAGGGTCATGATGGCATCTGTAGAAACGGCTCCATTTTGGCCTGTTCTATCATTCCGTCCTTTAACCCAGCCTCCCTCGGCAGAGTACTCCCCATCCTTGATGAGGCAGATAAGATCGCCCTTTCTATAGCTCAAAATCGCGTCATCTACGGAGGAAAACATTTAAATCATTACTAATCATATGTCAACATCTTTACCCAAACAGATTTGCATTAACCTCTTATGCTCGTGGGTGTATTTTGGTTTGTCCATCTGAATTTACATGACCCAAATCCTAAGGCAAATTATTCAGTAACTGCATGAAATAAACATTGTAAAAGCTCCCCTCAAATTAACAGAATGTGTTTTATGATCACACATATCGCTATATGCTTACAATTTACTGCTGAAAGCCAAAAATCTTAGACGCTCTTTGTATTATTTTATAAAAATAATGTTTACAGAGCAGATCACTGAAGAGACGGCGTCTGTTTATAGTTTATAGCCCAGATTTGTGGAAAAATGGGTCGACTTTCAGTAGAAAAAAAGTTTGAGTTCAGCTTCTTTTATTATACAGTTTTAAAAGTATATCACCCATCTATTTGACTGAAGAGAAGACAGTTACAGCTCTCATACGACCCCCACCTTTAGAATGTAGCTTATGAAATATTAAAGTTACGACATAAGGAATATGACAAAGTGCGTTTTGGAAACATCGGTAGTTCCACAGAGTTAAAGAGGTTAACCATCTACAGGGACACTCCTTCTGTAGCAACCTAAGGTGTCATCAGCTGGTATTAAAGAGCCCATGTCATAATTTTCCTTACTTAAAAAACATTTTATTCACTGTGTAAACACTTTTCAAGTTTCAAACGCACCATTCACTCCTTAGTCCACAACAGCACTGCAAAAAATACTGTCTTAACAAGTGAAAACGTCTTTAATATAGTCAATAAATCTAATATCTCTCATTATGAGTCTGTTGTAAGAATATTATAAGATTATTCCACCTGTTTCTGTACATTTTTACTTGTTTTAAGTGATTTTATCTGGTGAAAGTGTCTTATTCCATTGGCAGATTAGTTTACTTGTTTGGAGAAATAATGAAGATAATTTTGCTCATTTCAAGAAATAATGATTAAAACAAGTAACATGATCTGACAATGAAATAAGACACTTTTATAAGATAAAACTGCTTAAAACAAGTAAAAATGTCTAGAAATAAGTTAAATAATCTCACAATATTCTTACAACAGACTCATAATGAGAAATAGTAGATATACTGACTACATTTAAGATGTTTACACTCACTAAGATATTATTTATTGCAGTGCATTTGTTTACTCTACTGAAGTTCACGAGCCAAATTCTTCACTTCCTGAGTGGTTTTAAACGTGCTAAGCAGTGATCATACCCTGTCTGTTGTTGTCCTGTATGGCCACAGCATAGACAGAGCGCTCCTTCAACCCCGTGAGGAACATGTTGATCAGTTCCGCCATGCTGGTTGCCTCTGCTGCCTTCAGTTTATACTCCTCTTTATGCGTGGACACACACACCACCTCACCCGTTCTGCCCTCACTGCAGTGTAGATGGACATGGGTTGAGAGATGAATGATTAAAGATGAAGACCGGTCAGCAAAAGAGAGGGCATACGAGAGTGACCGAGAAAAATGACTGAGAGTAATACAGGTATAATTTTACCAGGTGTGCTAATGTAGCTGGCAATGAATTAACCATGTAATACCATTTACCATAATGAGTACAGTTCACTAAACTTCTTAAATGTAGTCAATAAATCTAATATCTCTCATTATGAGGCTGTTGTAAGAATATTATAAGATTATTCCACCTGTTTCTGTACATTTTTACTTGTTTTAAGTGATTTTATCAGTGAAAGTGTCTTATTCCATTGGCAGATTAGTTTACTTGTTTTGAGAAATAATAAAGATAATTTTAAGAAATAATGCTTAGAAATAAGTAAAAATGTATAGAAATGAGTTAATAATCTCACAATATTCTTATAATAGACTCATAATGAGAAATATTAGATATATTGACTACATTTAAGATGTTTACATTCGCTAAAACATCATTTTTTGCAGTGTGTCTTTGTTTTTCTGTGTTCCAGCCTTTGTTTTCTTGTTTCATGTGCTTTTGTTGTTGTTTTGGTCTTTGTCTCCTCCCCTGGTCCTGCCTTCTTGTTATCTGTTTCACCTGTCTGTTGTCTGTAGCCCCGTCCTCTCATTAGTCCCAGGTGTTTCTAGTCTGTTCCATGTGTATTTATACCCCTGCTTGTGTGCTTTGTGTTTGCTCGGTGTTCTGTTCTCTCAGGCCCTGTTTTTGTTCATCTCTTGTTTATTTTCTAGTTTCTTCATGTCCTGTTTTTGTTTTTTTTTACGGCAAAGCCTGTTTTGTCACCTTTGTGTCATGGATTTTTAAAAAACCAAGGAATTGCATTTCCATCCTGCATCTTTGTCTCTCCCAACGTTACAACAATAGCCGACTTATCACTATCAGTGTAGAAATTCATAACAAATGAATACACAGCTGTGGTGAGCAGGTGAAATAAATAGTTAGGAGGTCTGAAATTATGGCACCTGAGTATTTGGACTCCTTTCAGCTCAGCGTAAGAGAGATGCAAAAATATATTTTCTTTTTCTTCCTGAAAGGAGACTCCGCTATAGTTGACAACGACCACAAAATCGTCCTGTGGCAAAGGAGGACCTGGACGATAAAAAAGTAAATATATGAAAGAAAAAACAACAACAACCCGCTTAGCAGTAACTTACACCGATCAGGCATAACATTATCCTTGTTTCTACGCTCATTGTCCATTTTATCAGCTCCACTTACTATATAGGTGCACTTTGTAGTTCTACAGTTACAGACTGTAGTCCATCTGTTTCTCTGATACTTTGTTAGCCCCCTTTTACCCTGTTCTTCAGTGGCCAGGACCCCCATGAACCCTCACAGAGCAGGTACTGTTTGGGTGGTGGATCATTCTCAGCACTGCAGTAACACTGACGTGGTGGTGGTGTGTTAGTGTGTGTTGTGCTGGTCTGAGTGGATCAGACACAGCAGTGCTGCTGGATTTTTAAACACTGTGTCCACTCACTGTCCACTCTATTAGACACTCCTACCTTGTCAGTCCACCTTGTAGATGTAAAGTCAGAGACGATAGCTCATCTGCTGCTGCACAGTTTGTGTTGGTCATCCTCTAGTCCTTCATCAGTGGTCACAGGACGCTGCCCACAGGACGCTGTTGGCTGGATATTTTTGGTTGGTGGGCTATTCTCAGTCCAGCAGTGACACTGAGGTGTTTAAAAACTCCAGCAGCACTGCTGTGTCTGATCCACTCGCACCAGCACAACACACACTAACACACCACCACCACGTCAGTGTTACTGCAGTGCTGAGAATGATCCACCACCCAAACAGTACCTGCTCTGTGAGGGTCCATGGGGGTCCTGACCACTGAAGAACAGGGTAAAAGGGGGCTAACAAAGTATCAGAGAAACAGATGGACTACAGTCTGTAACTGTAGAACTACAAAGTGCTCCTATACAGTAAGTGGAGCTGATAAAATGGACAATGAGCGTAGAAACAAGGTTATAATGTTATGCCAGATCGGTGTATTAACTGTACAGTGAGGAACATACATGTACAAGCTGAGAAATGATTCTTCTGAGGTGTGAACATACTAGAGCTGATATTATGAGGGCATTTACCTGAAATTTTGGAGGCCTGGAAGAATTTGGAGAAATAAATAGGCCACTTCAGACGAGCATAGCCAACCACATCTGCTTTCACTGTATCAGCACTGGCCCTGGAATTTACATAAGCTCCCTGGAAAACAGATAAAATCACAGAGGCTCCTCGTGTATCATATCTCTGCATCATATCAGTCTATCCAAGCAACCTTTGGTCTTAACACGGTCACTGTGACTTTGCACCGACACTTCCAGAAGATATAAAAAGACCATATAAATGCCTACGATACCTGTGCGTGGGCAGAGCTGACCAGCTGCGCCAGTTTGCCTTCAGACTTGCGCTCGATCAGACTGAGGTTTATACATTCCTGCACCACCTTCCTGGCAGTCTGCAAGTTGCTTTCAGAGCCGTACTGGATGTAATAGTGTTTTGCTGCCAGCTGCACGTAATCATCCTCCTGGATAAGAGCAGATAAAAGAAGACAGCCGTCATTACATCAACACCACGTTCAAGACATTAACACTGCCCCATCTGTGGCCAACACAACGTAAAGCCTTAGCTAACTAACAGGGGTCGGCAACCCAAACGTTAACGAGCCATTTTGTCAAGTTTCAACAAAAATCGAGCCACCCTGGGAGCCACGTTTTATGTCCATTTTATTGAAGTAATGTTAACGTTTCACCATTTTGGCTGCAAATATGCCTCAGTATGTACGAATGTCTCAGTTATGTAGGCTAAAAATATAATATACACGAAAATGCAAACTCACTTTGCTTTGTTTTTAGCTTTAGCTTAGCTACCTATAGCTTTTCTTCTCGCATCTCCAGCAAAAAACTTTTCTACGGAGCCCCGCTGGTGACATCCTGTATAATTAAAAATAATGTGTGGCCACAACTTAGTAAGGCGTAGGAATGAGATGATTAAGTCGAGGCCACGACTTAGTAAAGCGTAGGAATGAGATCAGGCCTTACTAAGTCGTGGCCATGCATTAGGATCTCGTTCCCACGCCTTAATAAGTTGTGGCCACAACATGATTATCTTGTTCCCACACCTTACTAAGTCATGGCTACGCATTATTTTAATGTATACCGGATGTCACCAGCAGGGTTTTCGTACTTTTCTGCAAAAGTGACATATTTTCTTGTTTAATGTACTTTAGCGTTCGACTTTTTATGAAGTCGCTTCTCGTTTGAATTTTCCCGTTCCACCTTAAATGGAGCCTGAGGCGCCAGAATGTAGTTAGCTAGGTTACGTAGCTATGTAGCTTACTGCTGCACCATTTAAGGTGGAAGGTGACAATTCGAACGAGAGACACTAACTTCGAATTTTTAGTGTCAGTTTCTCAATACAGATTAACCTTGTCAGAAAACCAGCTGGAGTGATTCATCTCCAAATTATCAATGTTCATCTTAAATCTCTCTCTTTGCCGTTTTGTTAGCTGCTAGCTAGGTGAGATTGTTGTCTGTGTTGCTATGGTGACCAGCAGTCTGCGCTGATCTTCAGGGTTAAAGGGTGAATTAGCAGTTCTACATTAACTCCAGAGTTTAAGACCATTTATTGTTAAACTGTGTTGAACGATCAGCAGAGCTTTATTTTACTGTAAAGGAGGATTATTTTATTTTTACCTACAAATCTAATTCAGCTGTGGAGCCACAACAGGGCAGTAAAAGAGCCGCATGTTGCCGACCCCTGGGCTATAAGTTTCATTTTCAATGTGTAGTACCTCCACCACCACTTCTTCCATTTTTGCTACGCTCATATGTACATTTTGTGTCTATTTTTTCTTGTTAGTCACAAACGTATGCATGTTTTGACAAAAAGCGACTTATTTACTTCTGTGAACACAGTTCACTTTACATTACAATAAAAGATCACATGGCATTTTTCTCAAGTATGGTCCTAATGGACATGAAGCACTACCTAATATTTGGTTCAAAAAAACATTGCTTCTTTGCACACTAAGCTATCTGTGTTAAAGTGGAACTCCACCAAAATCTTTGCATAATTCTATTGTTGCGATATAAACAGAGTGACTCAGATTTCCTTACAGTGGTGGTGATAGGAACCAGGGGGCGCCATGACTACAACACAAATATAGCCATTTTATTTACTATCCAAAACCACCAGTGAACCTACACGAGTCTTCTGAGTGTTTATATGTGATGTTGATGGTGGTAAAATAGAGGAAAATCTGACAAAAGTACATTTTCTTTGGGGACTATTTTTCCTTACAACACCCTACATGTACCCCTCCACTATGAATGGATTCTATTAAATGGATTAACTAGATGTTTTAGGCCAAAACTGTATACAAAGCTATCATAAAACAGCGTCTCAGGACATCAAACAGCATATTTATAACCATTTCATGTAGTAACTTTCTGTGAGGGAGCTTTTAGAGGTGGACATCTGGTTCCTATCACCACCACTGTGAACAGTTCTGACTCTGTAAGTTTCTCTAGAACAGAGCGTTTCACACCAAACCACTCTGAATGACTCTGTTTACATCTCAATCATTAAATTATGTAGAAATTTTGAAAAATCGATGGAGTTCCCCTTTAACCCCTTAAAATCCACATACTAAGGCTTATTATTTACTAACTACATGGACTATAATGCAAACTGGCTGAGCTTTGGGCCTGCTGGTGGGCCCTGGCCATTTAGGGGGTTAAATTAATATGCAAATTGTATATAACAATGTAATAAACAAAAACAGCTGTTAGATAAGTCTAGGTAGGCAGAGGCTCTACTAGCAGAAGACATTAGAGAACACTGTTCATTCGTTTCTGTGAATGGTCAGTTTACAGGAGCAGACAGGAACATCCTGAAGCCTGCGAGCTGTGACGGACCTTGTCGGACTGGTACTCTCCGCTCTTCAGGCCGTGGATGACCTGCTTGTAGATGAGCTCTGTGCTCATGGGGTCGGCGGTGCAGTCGTGCCAGGGCGCGAAGAGCTCCTTGCGGAAGTAGAGTCTCCAGGGCGCGTGCTGCTCCTCTTTGCCCTGCCTCCTCTCCTCCTGCTCACACTGAGAGATCGCATCCAACACGTGCTTCCGGCTGTTGCCCAGAGACCATATCTACAGACGGAATACCACGGGTTCAGTTCAGAGAGCAGAAAAGGACACATTTGTGGAGATTCTGTACTTTTCTGCATTTTTGTGGTTTTATATACCAAATATCTCAATTCAATTTACATGACTATCTCTTTATTCCCTAGAATTAAACAGGCCGTGTTTGTTACTGTGCCTTTAAGACGTGTAAATGACACCATGCACACTAAAAAGCAGTGCAGAATGAGGTCTTCGCTTCCACTCTAATGATGATGATTTACTTGACAAATAAAATACAACCCCATTTCTAAAGAAGCTGAGACGCTGTGCAGAATGTAAATAAAAATAAGATGCAATGATACTCAAATCATGTAAACCATGTTTTTAAAGGAAAACACTACAAAGACAACATATCAAATGTTGAAAATGAGAATTTCTTTGAAAAATATCTGCCCATTTTAAAATTAATGCCAACAACACGTTCCAAAAAAGTTGGGACGGGGGCCTGTTTACCACTGTGCTGCATCTTAACTTCTCTTAACAACACTCTGTAAGTGTCTGAGAACTGAGGAGACACTGCTGTAGTTTTGAAAGTGAAATGTTTTCCTGTTCTTGATTGATACAGGATTTCAGCTGCTCATCAGTTCAGGGTCTCCTGTCATATTTTTCATTTCATAATGCGGCAAATGTTATCAGTGGTGACAGGTCTGGACTGCAGGTAGGTCAGTTTAGCACCCAGACTCTTAATACGGAACAATGCTGCTGTAATACATGCAGAATGTGGTTTGACATTGTCTTGCTGAAATAATCAAGGCCTTCCCTGAAAAAGACGTCGTCTGGATGGCAGCATATGTTGCCAAAAACCTGTATATATCTTTCAGCATTAATGGTGCCTTCACAGATCCTCACATCACCCATGCAATGTGCACTTTACATTGTCCTTTACATTGTGTGCAAATTTTATGATGAATGCACCAAAAGAAACCAAAATGACTTGGAAAAACGTCTGGTTCCATTGACTTACATTAAAAGTAAAGTATGATTTTTCCGCCTCCTGTAAAGTTACCATTTTGGAGATAGAAGGTTTTGTGTCAACAGCAGCGATATATATATTTTCAGTACAACCCTAATCAACATTTGTGCCTATTCTTAATTTTTTATTTAAATTTTGAAAACATGAACTACTATAACAGAAATAGGCTGCATATTCAAAATGGCCTTGAATTTATTTAATTACCCAATAACTGCTACAGACTTTCTGCAAAACTGTCTGGAGCAACATCTCACTTGTTGCATGGATGGACTAAACCCCTGCAAAGTCAATGGGCTTCCAAATGTAAATGTATTCATGGTTGTGACATCAAAACCATCCGAAAGGTTTTTGTACCTTAATGTTTATGTAAAGGCCTTATGGAGTTTGGACTACATTTTAAACCTTAACCATGTTCATATCTCTTATTTTTTATCATTTTTAGATTATACGAATTTGTAAAAACACAAGGGAAATTCAGGGGTATTTTTACTCTTCACTAATGTAGTAATTAGATTTTAACTATGGGAAGGTTTCTTGAAGCTATTCGGACTCCCCAGACCTTATCATAGATGGCGATGTAGAGGGAGAAGCCGAAAGTGTCCCGTAGGTTGATATTCCGAGCTATTGTGTCGCACAGCTCTGCAGAGGTGCTGGCTGAGTCCACAGGCAGGTTGAGCGTCCGGCCATCCATCAGACCTACGGCCACCGATATGGGCTCCTTATTCTGCACAGCCTGTCAATCACATCCACAACAGGGTGGGCTTAGAGTTTGTTAGTTAGACGACTACATCTGTTATACACATACACTGATCAGGCATCACATTATGACCACCTCCTTGTTTCTACGCTCATTGTCCATTTTATCAGCTCCACTTACTATATAGGTGCACTTTGTAGTTCTACAGTTACAGACTGTAGTCCATCTGTTTCTCTGATACTTTGTTAGCCCCTTTTTACCCCGTTCTTCAGCGGTCAGGACCCCCTTGAACCTCACAGAGCATTCTCAGCACTGACGTGGTGGTGGTGTGTTAGTGTGTGTTGCGCTGGTACGAGTGGATCAGACACAGCAGTGCTGCTGGAGTTTTTAAACACTGTGTCCACTCACTGTCCACTCTATTAGACACTCCTACCTTGTCAGTCCACCTCGTAGATGTAAAGTCAGAGACGATAGCTCATCTGCTGCTGCACAGTTTGTGTTGGTCATCCTCTAGTCCTTCATCAGTGGTCACAGGACGCTGCCCACAGGACGCTGTTGGCTGGATATTTTTGGTTGGTGGACTGTTCTCAGTCCAGCAGCGACACTGAGGTGTTTAAAATCTCCAGCAGCACTGCTGTGTCTGATCCACTCAGACCAGCACAACACACACTAACACACCACCACCACATCAGTGTCACTGCAGTGCTGAGAATGATCCACCACCCAAATAGTACCTGCTCTGTGAGGGTCCATGGGGGTCCTGACCACTGAAGAACAGGGTAAAAGGGGGCTAACAAAGTATCAGAGAAACAGATGGACTACAGTCTGTAACTGTAGAACTACAAATACACCTATATAGTAAGTGGAGCTGATAAAATGGACAATGAGCGTAGAAACAAGGAGGTGGTCATTATGTTATGCCTGATCGGTGTATATCTGCTGATCTAATCTCACCCAGAGGGAATCCTACCCGTAGTTCAATCCAGCACGGTGCCTCTTTCCTCTCACCGTTGGCTAAAGTGCGCTGGAGGCGTTCAGCACAACTGGAGGAGTACTCACTGGGCCCACGGCGGATAAAGCTCTGCAGGTACTTTATACAACAGAACGTTTGAAAACAGAATTAAAACACAGACAAAAGGTTAGAAAAGAACAGCCAAAATATGATATGAAGCAAACAGAATTTAATACATAAGAAGTAGTGATTTCTTACTTTAGTAAAGAGCTCGGTTGGAGGGAAGATGCCCAGGCAGATAGACAGAAGGATCCAGCCATTGTTACAGCTCCTCTGTCTTGTATTTTGTGTTAGCTGCTTACAGATCTGACAATAGATCTCATCTCTGCAATGCATACAGAAGACCAGCGTCCACTTTACATCACCGGAAAAGATCACGTGACTTTTTTCTCAAGCACGGTCCTAATGGACATGAAGCATTACCTAATATTTGGTTTAACGATGGCATATCCTACAATGATGTGTAATTTTTCCAAGGGTGTCAGTGGACGATCAAATGTGGGTCCCTCTCCAATCAGAACGTCATCGTCGTCCTCTCGAGAATCCAACAGTGACTGCATAACATGAAATGAATCAACACTGTGTGACTTATTCCTTAGTGACTTGCTGTACTTGTAATAATAATAATGACAATAATAAACATTTACGTTAAAACTGGGTTCAGTAATGCCTGAATATGGAATCTGACCTCTTCAGGAATCGTAGAGTGTTTTCTCTTCCCAGGTCCGTCAGCTTGTTTCTGCTGTTTCTGCTTTCTCCGCAGCATTTTCTGTAGATATCAGATGAATGTTAACAGTGCTAGCACAGCTGTCCATACAGCAGAGTCCAAATGACCTCAAAAAACATAGGGACACTGTGAGAGAGTGTGGCGCAGTGATGTGGTGGAGTGTACCTGATCTAATCCAACCAGGTTACTGAGACGTCGTGCTTGTCTTTGGCCCAAGTTCCTCTGGATGGAGTCAGCAACTACAGACAAACGAGCCTGTCTAGGCTCTGGAATGTCCTCCATAAATCTCAAGATGATCCACCATACTGTTAAACATGCCTAGAGAAGAGAAGAGAAGAGAAGAGAAGAGAAGAGAAGAGAAGAGAAGAGAAGAGAAGAGAAGAGAAGAGAAGAGAAGAGAAGAGAAGAGAAGAGGAAAAAGGAAAAGAGAAGAGAAGAAAGGAGAAGAGGAGAAGAGAAGAGAAGAGAAGAGAAGAGAAGAGAAGAGAAGAGGAGAAAGGAGAAGCGGAAAAAGGAAAAGAGAAGAGAAGAAAAGAGAAGAGAAGAGAAGAGAAGAGAAGAGAGGAGGAGAAAGGAGAAGAGAAGAGAAGAGAAGAGAGGAAGGGAAGGAAAGAGAAGAGGAAAAAGGAGAAGAGAAGAGAAGGAAGGAGAAGAGAAGAGAAGAGAAGAGAAGAGAAGAGAAGAGAAGAGAAGAGAAGAGAGGAGAAGAAAGAGAAGAGGAAAAATGAGAAGAGAAGAGAAGAGAGGAAGGGAAGGAAAGAGAAGAGAATAGGAAAAAGGGGAGAAGAGAAGAGAAGAGAAGAGAAGAGAAGAGAAGAGGAAAAAGGAGAAGAGAAGAGGAAAAAGGAGAAGAGAAGAGAAGAGAAGAGAAGAGAAGAGAAGAGAAGAGAAGAAGGAATAAGTGATGGCAGTCAGTGTTGATGTTCAGTGACAGCGTTGCAGTTGTTCAGTAAACGCTTTAACTGAAAGGATCATGAAGGAGAAAGTGGTCATCACCAGTGCGTCTCCTTCGTCCTCATGGGGCAGCAGTGGCTGCCGCAGCCTCTGCTCGATGTGAGCGTGTGTAGCAGAGCCTTGGAAATACTGAGCAGCAAACTTAGAGAAGGAAAACTCATCTTCCTCCTCATCCTCCATTTCAGGCACATCATCCTCTGGTGGAGTCACCATAATCTTCACCACATCCTCACTCTGCTTCACCTCCTTCAGGTCCAGCGGTTCTCGTTCTAGATCCTGCATATCAGAACCAGGAAAATGTTTGTCTACCACTGACGGCCACGTTTGAAACTCCGCCCTATTCACTGTATAGTGCACCATACATTATGCAGTCTTGTGCTGGTCTCCAAAAACATAGTGGAGAACGTCCAGTGCACTCTGAGGCTGGCTTTACACAAAGAAACTTTCATGCAACTATCCATCCATCATCTAAACCGCTTATCCTTCTGGGTCGTGGTGGGGTGCTGGAGCCTATCCCAGCTGTCATCGGGCGGAAGGCAGGATACACCCTGGACAGGTCGCCAGTCCATCGCAGGGGAGACAAACAGACACATACATCCACACACACACACCTAGGGGCAATTTAGCATGCCCAATTGGCCTGACTGCATGTTTTTGGACTGTGGGAGGAAACCAGAGTACCCGGAGGAAACCCACGCAGACACGGGGAGAACAGACAAACTCCACACAGAAACGACCCTGGTCACCCGGCCGGGAATCGAACCCAGGCCCTTCTTGCTGTGAGGCGACAGCGCTACACACTGTGCCACCGTGCCACCCCTTCATGCAACTAAAGTTGCATGAAACTAAAGTTGCATGAAACCTACATGAAACTACACTGAACTTGAGTTGCATGATGTAAAGCGTCCTGCACCTCACTAGAAACTCAGCAGCTAAAATCTGTGAAAAGACTGGAAAGTCTCATGAAACAGCCAGTCACAATGCAAAATATGTATCATGTGATCATTTACTTTGAACAACATACTTTAAAACTACTGATTTCTTTGGATCGAAGGGCATAAAAATAAAGCAAAAGGTTACTGGGTGGTTTAAAATGCAGGGAATAGTGATTAAGGACCATTTCTGTTCCAATAACAGAATTCTGTATAGTCCTCCTGACTTTCCAATGTAGGGAATAGTGATTAGGGACCATTTCTGTTCCAATAACATAATTCTACATAGTCCTCACAACTTTCCAAAGTAGGGAATAGTGATTAGGGACCATTTCTGTTCCAATAACAGAATTCTACATAGTCCTTTCTGACTTTCCAAAGTAGGGAATAGTGATCAGGGACCATTTCTGTTCCAATAACAGAATTCTATATAGTCTACACAACTTTCCAAAGTAGGGAATAGTGATTAAGGACCATTTCTGTTCCAATAACAGAATTCTGTATAGTCCTTCTGACTTTCCAATGTAAGGAATAGTGATTAGGGACCATTTCTGTTCCCTATAATGGTGTTCTACATAGGCTACCATTTTTTGAACAGGAACAGTGACTAGGGGACACTTCTGAACACAGTGAATATGTAAGAAGATGGCCTTTCATATCCATAAAGACCTGTGTATATATGGTGGCAGTAATAGTTTTACAGAACCTCTCGTCATGCCTTCATCATTTTGATTGGACTGTAGAAGGCAATGACAGACAACTCCAATACACTGAACGCTATTAAGATCGTAAAAGGTACTAGGTCAGATAAACAACTGTGTCCAGAAATGATTCAGGGCATGTGTGGCGGAATTATTCCCATCAATCGTTTCCTTGTTCCTGCCTCCTCATTGTGTCAGTGACATTACCTCAAAACCCTCAGGCGCCGGACCCTCCAGTCCTCCGACCGGGCTGGGCAGAAAGTCAAAGATGTTCTGCACTATTTCTTCATCGCTGGCTTCCTCTGACTGAGTGGCTTTAGTGCTGTCCTGTGATTGACTGAGCACCTCTTCCAGTCTCCTCTGGCGCTCCAGGGCAGCCAGTTCCTGAGCCTGTTTCTCCTGAGCTGACAAGATGGCCTGGAACGCCACCAAGAGATAAATGTTTTCCGAAAAGCATGGCACTGAGATGAACATAATGACCATAATCTAGACTGTATGGTGACCCTATTTGTACTATTCATCTTTATTACACTGCAAAAAATGATGTCTTAGTGAGTGTAAACATCCTAAATGTAGTCAATAAATCTAATATTTCTCATTATGAGTCTGTTGTAAGAATATTGTGAGATTATTTAACTTATTTCTAGACATTTTTACTTGTTTTTAAGCAGTTTTATCTTATAAAAGTGTCTTATTTCATTGTCAGATCATGTTTCTTGTTTTAATCATTATTTCTTGAAATGAGCAAAATTATCTTCATTATTTCTCAAAACAAGTAAACTAATCTGCCAATGGAATAAGACACTTTCACCAGATAAAATCACTTAAAACAAGTAAAAATGTACAGAAACAGGTGGAATAATCTTATAATATTCTTACAACAGACTCATAATGAGAGATATTAGATTTATTGACTACATTTAAGAAGTTTTCACTTGTTAAGATATGATTTTTTGCACTGTAAAAAAAATAATTTGACAGTTTTATTGTACAAACTATTGTTAAAAGTCCATATTGATACACTTTTGACTCAAAGGTCTGAGTGCTGCTATCAAAGGACAAAAAATGTGTGAACTTTGGCTTCCTTCCCAAGGCAGGGCTGTTATCAGTTATTCTTCGGCAAGATCTAAACCAGTGTGCCCAGCTACGGTCCTGGAGGGCCAGTATCGAGCACACACTGCAAAAAGTGATATCTTAGTGAGTGTAAACATCTTAAATGTAGTAAATATATCTACTATTTCTCATTATGAGACTGTCGTGAGAATATTGTGAGATTATTTAACTTATTTCTAGACATTTTTACTTATTTTTAAGCAGTTTTATCTTATAAAAGTGTCTTATTTCATTGTCAGATCATGTTTACTTGTTTTAATCATTATTTCTTGAAATGAGAAAATTATCTTCATTATTTCTCGAAACAAGTAAACTAATCTGCCAATGGAATAAGACACTTTCACCAGATAAAATCACTTAAAACAAGTAAAAATGTACAGAAACAGGTGGAATAATCTTATAATATTCTTACAACAGACTCATAATGAGAGATATTAGATTTATTGACTACATTTAAGACGTTTTCACTTGTTAAGACATTTTTTGCAGTGCAGGTTGGTGATTTACCTGCTCAAACACACCTGATTCAACTCACCTGTTCGGTGCAAGGTTTAGTAGGAGAACTACCGGACTGTACTGGCCCTCCAGGACCGGAGTTTTGCACCTTGGATCTAAACAATTTTCTATTTCTTACAAACCAACAAAGGGAACATCCTTATTTAATACAAACGCTTTGAAAGTACTGGTGGCCCCAAACCTGAGGCAGATAGTGTGCTGTGCAGTACTGGGCCACTAAATACACAGAATATCTGTCCAACCATGAGACTAAAGCACTCTTATTCATGCTGTACGTTTGCCTGTAGGCACAATGATAATAAACCTGAATTAAATTAGACTGAGCCCCCTGTAGATTCACTGAAAGACTCACATCGTCCTTGAGTCTTTTGAGCTGTTTCCTGGCCAGCAGTCCTCTGGTGTGGGCCTGCAGCAGGACGGCAGCGGCCCGTTTTTGTTTCAGCCCTTTCCGAGCCAGAAAGACGCGAGTTTGTGTCTGCAGGGTAACGACGGCGGCCCGTCTGCGCTGATACTGCAGGATGTCCTGACGGCCATGCACGATAGCCTGGAGCCGGAGAACACCCTGCAGCAGCTGGGACAGGAGAGAGAGAGAGTCCAGGGTTTAGCAGAATGTGATACATACAGAGATCACCATATTCACAAATACGTGAGATCTACGTTTCAGCTGATACTATTAGCCAACTAACACAGTGGGCACTGATAGGTAGGTAGACAGAAATAGCAGAGTTACAAGAGAAACAGAAAGAACCGTACCAAGCACACAGCTGTGACGGAAGAACTGAGTTTTAAAGCTGTGACTAGAGACAGTACCCAAACTTTCACTTCAGCACAGTTTTTTTAAAAACAAAATGTAAATCAAATATGTACACAAAAAGACAGACAGACAGACAGACAGACAGATAGAGACACTGAAAAAAATAATATCTTAACAAGTGAAAACTTCTTAAATGTAGTCAGTAAATCTAATATCCCTCATTATGAGGCTGTTGTAAGAATATTATAAGATTATTCCACCTGTTTCTGTACATTTTTACTTGTTTTAAGTGATTTTATCTGGTGAAAGTGTCTTATTCCATTGGCAGATTAGTTTACTTGTTTAGAGAAATAATGAAGACAATTTTGCTCATTTCAAGAAATAATGATTAAAACAAGAAACATGATCTGCCAATGAAATAAGACACTTTTATAAGATAAAACTGCTTAAAAACAAGTAAAAATGTCTAGAAATAAGTTAAATAATCTCACAATATTCTTACAACAGTCTCAGAATGAGAAATATTTACTCCATTTAAGATGTTTACACTCACTGAGATACCATTTTTTGCAGTGTAGACAGACAGACAGACAGATAGACGGACAGACAGTCAGACAGACAGACAGATAGACAGACAGACAGACAGATAGACGGACAGACAGTCAGACAGACAGACAGATAGACAGACAGACAGACAGATAAACAGACAGAGAGACAGATGGACAGACAAATAGACAGAGACAGAGAGGTACATAGACAGATAGATAGACAGACAGATGGACAGATAGATAGACACACAGACAGAGAGATAGATAGATAGATAGATAGATAGATAGATAGACAGACAGACGGACAGATAGATAGATGAACTACTAATCCTATAGAAATAGCAAAGTTACAAGAGCAACAAAGAGAACTGTACCAGTCTCACACATGAAGCGATAAAACATCCTGAATTTACAGGAATCTTATAAGAGACGTTTCTTACTTTCGCACACGCTTTACGGTCTCGATAACTTCGCCAGTTTTTCTGCACAGTCAGAGCTGCACTTCTCTTCTTCAGAAACGTCTTCCTACAGAGGAGCACAGCCAGCTTAGGAACATGCAACTGTACAGAGTGTCTGGAGCTGAGATTAAGAGTTCACTTCAGGGTTGGGACGCGCTGAGCAACATCTACGGTCTGAGTTTATCAGCTTTGTATTCAGAACCGGAGTTAAGGTTCAGGAACAGAGCTGGACACCATTTATCATTAAGTGAACCTAGGAACCCTGTTCTTGGTTGTATATTGTTATTGAACTATGCTGAATGCTGAATGTTGTGTACACGAGTGTAAATACGATGGCCTGGATAACACTTTATTACTTCGATGCTTTGTAGGTGCTTAAGTTCATTATATTCCTTTCCATTTCCTCTTTGTGTGTCTATCATCTTAAAGCTGCATTTGTTCAAATGAAATGTCTTTTACTTCATACGAAATATTCATGACCCCAGTCCTAAAACTACTGAGAATCAACTGAGATTCTTCAGTTTGAGCATTTAGAGCTCATCTATAAAGGATCATCCAAACAAAGGAGGACTAAAACTAAAACACAAATGAATAAGCAAACAAAGTACAGAAAACAGTACCTGTCTTTGTGGCCCAGCATCAACCTCTGGATAATAAGGGCCTTCCTGTTGAGCTCCCGCTCTCTCTCCAGCTCCAGAAAGGAGTCGTGGTAATCCTGAGAACACAGAGTCAGATGAATTAAGACAAAGTCAACAATAAAATATACAGAAGACTGAAAAACGTACTTCCTTATGAAAGCAGTTTAAGTCTTTAAAGTTAAAACACAGTAAGAGGCTATTTCCGCCTCTAAATCAACTCTTCTATAATAATAACATGGTCTAACAAAGTTACAAATACATGCAGATGTGATATGGGTCACTGACATGACGTGCACTTTCTGTGCAAAAATTAATAAATACATGACTTATAAAATTATTCAACAATAGCCCTTTATGTGAAACAATTTTCAGTGCGTTGATATAAAATTGATCTTAGTTTCTTTTTGCTCCCAGAAGTCTTAAAATGACAGGTGATGCAACCGTCCAACCATACATGTTGATTAAGTAAACTATCATAATATAAAACTCTAAATAAAAATGTTTGCCATAATTTTACGTTTGAAAACTTTAAAACAAAAAACATGTTGCAAAAAAAGGCAACTTTAAAAGTTCTCAACTCACTGAGAAACGTTTGTCTGCAAGTTCTTACGTCCTCAAATGTCAGGTGGCACAACCAAAAACAAAGGACTTTTATTATGACACGCTTTTACAAAATAGGGGGCAGGGCATTGCCTCATAAAGAAGACCCCAAGTGACCTTCATGCTACAATGTAGCCTTGTCACAAATATTGTAAAAAATGTGATTTTTGTGTCGTGGTCAGAACGGTTCTGTTTACTATGACAGCTGGTCTGACCTCAGGAGAACCATGATAATGTGTAATTATTATAATAATCTTTATTTATTTGAAAAATGTAAGTATAAACTCAAGTTCAAAGACAAAGGTTTCTACAGGTGTCTAAGTAGATAATAGCTGTTTTATTTGAAATTAGTATGAAAAGTCAGGTGGCGCAACCAGACGTGCAGTTTTAGTACCTGAAGTAGGCAATTAAAGCTAACCCTCACTATATTTGAGATATAAAATGCACACAGATATAAATGCATATATATATATATATATATATATATATATACATTAGATATGAAAATGTACATCATGTCCTTTTTAATAAGATTCTTAAAACTGTAATTTTGAAGACCTTTATTGTCATTGAACTTGCAAGTTTACAGAAGACCAGCCAAATACCCTGAGAAAGATTTTGGTCTTGCCGATCCTCCAGTCCTCTTCATCCCGAATGACGGCTCTGCAGATGGCATCACAGCAGTCTGACGGAGGCTCCTGTTAAACGTAAACTCTCAGATCAAACACCAGAATCCTGGACAACAGTGTACGAACATCAGTGCAGTGCAGCAAATATTACTATGATGTTACTACACTATATTATAATAAGTAAAGCAATACATTTATTCATTCATCTTCTAGGCTGCGTAAAGTAATTAATAGGAAGTTAGAAACCAAAAAATGAATCCACAAAGCTGTAGATGATCCTAAAATGACTAATAAAGATGTTTAATAATGAAATTATTGTGCATTACAGACAAAACAAATGTAAATAGATGAAGTACAGTGTGTTATTTAGCATTTATTAACATCTTCTCGTCCTCAAAATACTTATAGTAAATACTGAATAAAACATCTTAAAGTATTCTGGTATCTAGTTTATGCTAATCAAATCTACAATGTTAATAACATGTTAATAAATAAATTATTACTATGAAGAGTTACATTCTCCATCAATCTGAAGAACCCTTTCATCATGCAAAGAACACTTTAATCATGCAAAGAGTTCTTTGAGTGTTCGAGGAATTATACAGAACCACTTTCTTAACTAAAGAACCCTTTTTGGTGTTATATAGAACCCTTTTCGAAAAGGTTCTATATAGAACCATTTACAACACATTTCAATCTGACGAGCCCTTTCACGGCGCAAAGAACCCTTTAATCATGCAAAAGGTTCTTTAAGTGTTTATGGTTCTATATAGAAGCATTTTCTTTACTGAAGAACCCTTGAAGAACCATAATTTTGATGTTACATCACTCTATTAAAATAAGTAAAGCAATAAATGTATTAATTCATCTTCTAAGCCACGTAAAATAATAAGTAGAAAGTAGAAACCAAAAAAATTAATCAATAAAGCTGTAAATTCTAAAATGACAAGAAAGATGCATAATAATGAATTTAATGTGCATTACAAACAATAAACAGTGTGTTATTTAGCATGTTGTTCTCAAAATACTTACTAAATACTGACTAAAACATCTAAATGTATTCTGGTGTCTAGTTTATGCTAATCAATGTAATAACATGTTAATAAATCATTTATTACCATGAAGAGTTGCTCCTAACTTTTGAAGACTGTCTTTCTGACTACTTCACAACACAATAGTGTGTTTCATAATACAACAAACTTCACAACAGTGAAAAAAAAATCACTCGTGCCGTTTCTTACCTTGTTCGGGTCGCAGTCCGTGGTCTTCAGCAGGACACGATAGCGTCCCAGAAACTCGGTGAATCGGTGGCGGATGGGGTATCCTGACTTGCGTATTTTGATGGTCTCCAGCATCCCGGAGTAGCGGAGCTGCTGCATGCACAGCTCGCGATTGAAGGCCTAAAGCAGAGCGAGACACACAGGGTGAGGTGTGTATGAGGAGAAAGTGAAGGCCATGCAGTAACTGAGCAGGCGGGTGAGGATACCATGGACAGCTTGTTGTCGTTGGGTTTGAAACAGCGAATGAAGAAAGGGTCGCACAGAGAGAGCGCCCTCATCAGGGAGTCCAGAGAGTGTCTGAACTGACTGCTGAGCGTGGACACCTGCCTCCGCGAGTCATTCCCCTGCTGTACAAACACACATGAACCACCGTCATTCTCATTCATTCACAGGAGAAAGCTCAGTCAGATGGTTGTTACACTGCAAAAGATGACGTCTTAGTGAATGTAAACATCTTAATTTTAGTCAATATATCTACTATTTCTCATTATGAGACTGTCATGAGAATATTGTGAGATTTTTAAACTTATTTCTAGACATTTTTACTTTTTTTTAAGCAGTTTTGTCTTATAAAAGTGTCTTATTTCAATGCCAGATCACGTGACTTGTTGAAATGAGCATGATTATCATTATTAGTAAACTAAGTAAACTAATCTGCCAATGAAATAAGACACTTTCACCAGATAAAATCTTATAATATTCTTAAACACTGCAAAAAGACAGATAAAAAGACAAATAAAAATCACTACTCAGAGTTTTTAAACATGGTAATACAGTCTGTTCAAATACTGTAATACGCAGGCCTGTCATAATATTCGCATAATCATCTAATCACAATTATTGGAAACACTTTATAGGTGTCATCTGTCATAAACAGCTTTGATCAAAACTGGCAAATGTAACGTTTATAGTGAATAACGCCTGTTGGAATAAGCATTTAGAAACATTTATGCAGGGTTATGTGGGTTATGTCAAGCTTGTGTAGGCGTCATGTTCCCTTATAAACGGTACTCTACAGTAAAGTGCTGCCCAATTTTTTAAGCTGACCACAATTATTGTCCACAGTTGTGAGCTTTTATAATTGTATGTTTACACAACAAACAGAATGTGAACACGTTCACGTTCATCCACTGGGTAGAAGCAAAAGCATGGAAATAAAAGAAAGCGGAAAAACGCATTTATTAAGATGTTACGCATATCTACATAGAACCCTGAACACTCATAGAACCCTTTGCATGATTAAAGAGTACTTGCATTGTGAAAAGTTTGTTCAGATTGACGGAGAATGTGCTGTAGATGTTTCTATATAGAACCTTTTTGAAAAGGGTTCTATGTAGCAACAAAATGGGTTCTTCTATTGTAATAAGCCTGACATCGTAACACTTGAAGAACCCTTTTTGGTGCTATATAGAACCTTTTTCAAAAAATGTCCTATACAGAACCATCTACAGCACATTCTCCATTAATCTGAAGAACCTTTTCATGAGGCAAAGAACTCTTTAATGTACACTACATTAATGCACTTATACTGCACATATATTTTATTAATGTGGAAATTATGTACATATTCATATTTAGTCAATTCAATGTAGCACTATTTTCTTTACTACGTTAATTTCTTTCTCTAAAAGGCTTTTGAGCATGAAAGATGTTGGCCTCTAAAAGTGGCTGTCAGCCCCTGTCAGTTTTAGTGTTTCACACCAATCTTAACCTTTTGAAGGGCTTTATAATGAGCTGATCAGTTTAGTGAGGTGTTCAGTTGACAAAACACTAAAAACACTAGAATGTGTGCGAAAGACTGAGGCGGAGAAGCAGAGCTTTAAAGCGTAAGCTGTACCCGTAATGAGCTCTTGGGGGTAATAAGGACCCTGCTGTTGTTGTTTTTGGCAGGTTTGGCCACACATGCACTCAGCTCTTTCTGAAAGATCAGCTTGAGCAGCTTGCTGGAGGACTTCTGGATCAGGGTTATGATGTCCAAACTCAGGGCATCTTTGTTTTTCTCCAGGAAACCTGAGGACACCCGGAACAAACACTCAGTAAAGCAACACAAACAGAGCAACTCTCCGCACAAACCTGCACGACAAGCTTGAACAAAAGGAAAAGAAGCACTTCACTGCGTACATACTTAATAGTTTGACCCCTTTAACAGGCCAGGTCCGGCCAGTGGGCCCAGAGATTCATTACACACTTCTATAACCTACGCATAGCTCAGCTAGTTTGCATTTAAGTCCCTGTAGTTACTGAATAATGAGCCATAGTATTCAACAAGCCTGGACTTTTAAGGGGTTAAAAAAGCATGAAGCCACTTGCGGTTGTGTTCCAATAGTTTTAGCACAGTTATTGTTTCCTGCTTTAATAAAATGCAGAACCAATAAAATACAATAAAATACACCATTGATAATTAAATAATTTAATTATGTATTTGGGTCATTCTACAGAAACGTTTCTGTCTCTCCATAGGAGTCACTGGTGTTACTGATCCTCATTGGTGTTACGCATAATAAAGGAAACACCAGAGACATTTTTAATGAACAATGCATTTTAATAAAACAGCTGCTACAGAGCATCAAACCACATGTCAATCATGGAATATCCACTAAAATATGGAATTTAATCCATTTGGATTCTATTTGTTCACAAGGACCTCAGAATAAAGTCGGTCACACCAGTGACTTCAGCTAAAAGCTTCATATGAAATCATGAGCTAAATGAGAAAATCTCTGATAACTGAAAGACACAGTGGACTCACCATGTGCTTTTCTTCATAGATCCTCAGAAAACAGGTAAAAGGAAGTCGAGTGATGTCATCAGTGTGACTTTTATTTCAAAATAAGAGATTTTTTGTTACGCTGTAACACCAGTGACACGACTCCTGGGGAACTTTCATTATATATTTTATAATATTTATTTGGATTCGCATTTGGTTTCTTTATGTCATTTAAATCACATATTTCATAGTCATGTATAGATTATTGTAGTTAAAATTTCAGAAAAATGTGTTTTTGTCTTCAAAATATGGCCTCTTTACACATGACTGTGAGGACGAGCTCTTCTGTGGTGCTTGGAATTCTGTATGATTGATTTATAAACCAATATTGCTGAACTGATGGCTAAAAAGGGTGTAATTGCTAAAATAACATTGTTTTATTTAAAAATGTAAATAAACTGTAACCCTAACATGTTTTTCAACTGTAATATATCTGTAAACACTAAGGACACAAAAATGGACATTTCTGTAGAATGACCCATTAATAATAACCACAGTAAATGATCCACCCACCAAGTAATGTGCACAATAAGCTGTCAATGATTACTCGCATTAAATGCACAATAAACTTTAATAATTTACGATTTAATACTAAACCCCATTTCCACACTGAGTATCTTAGAACAGCCTTGAAAACGGCTCAGCTTATAACATTTTAGAAATGGTCCTATCCTGTTCATTTTCCATATTAATGTCATTTACAGAGAGGGGTAAACGTCAATACCTTTGCAGTCGTAGTAGACGACCCCAGCAAAGTGCTGGATGCCAAACTGCTTGCTGTGGTTGCTCCTGGACAGGACATAAATCTTGCTTCTGCTGTGTACCTGGTTCATTTTGTTCAGCAAGGTGGTGTCTGTGCCCTAAACATAAAACAGACATAAAAACACTTTCACTCTCTGCACTTAGAACAGTGTCTGAACGTCTGGAGCTCCACAGCACGACTGAGCAGATTCCCTTTCCTAATTCATGATTCAGCTCATAAAGGGACTGATAACTGTTTTCTGACCTGCTAGTCATACATTAAAACACACACAAATCATCTACACTATATGGACAAAAGTATGTGGACACCCCTCCTAATTATTGAGTTCAGGTGTTTCAGCCACCCCCATTGCTAACAGGTGGGTAAAATCAAGCACATAGCCTTGCAGTCTCCATAGACAAACACTAGCAGTAGCGGGTCGTACTGAAGAGTTCAGTGACTTTAAACATGGCACTGTCATAGAATGCCATCTCTGCCCTGCTAGATCTGCCCTAGACAACTGTAAGTGCTATTACTGTGAAATAGAAGCATCTAGGAGCAACAACAGCTCAGCCACAAAGTGGTAGACCACGCAAACTCAAAGGGTGGGGCTGCTGAGTGCCGAAGCACACAGTGCCTGTCCTCTGCTGAATCACTCACTAACTGCCTCTGGAAGCAACATCAGCAAAATAACTGTGCATTAGGAGCTTCACGAAATGGGTTTGCATGGCCGAGCAGCTGCACACAAGCCTGAGATTAAAATGCACAATGACAAAGGGGTGGGGGGAGACACTGGACTTTGGAGCAGTGGAAACATATTCTGTGTACGTTACCTGCCTGACTGCACTGTGCCAGCTGTAAATTTTGGTGGAGGAGGGATGATGATATGGGGCTGTTTTTCAGGGGTTGGTCTAGAACCCTTAGTTCCAGTGAAGGGAAATCTTAATGCTTCAGCACCAAGACATTTTGGACAACTGTACGCTTCCAACTTTGTTTGAACAGTTTGGGGAAGAACCTTTCCTGTTCCAGCATGACTGAGCCCCAGAGCACAAAGCAGCTCCATAAAGGCCTGACTGGGTGAGTTTGGTGTGGAAGAACCTGACTGGCCCTCACAGAGTCCTGACCTCAACCCCAGAAAAATTCTAAAATCACTCACATGAATCACTTGATTTCACTCAGATTTGAGTCTTTATCCTCTAAACCTGCTACGTCAGTGAGCCAGAACTGATGGTGGCTCAGCCTTCTTGCTGAGCCTCCAGACACAAAAGTGCAGGTTTATCTGCTCAGATTTGAGTCTTTACCCTCGAAACTTGCATCATTGAGGCTTCAATGAGCTGAAATTAATGTGTGGTTGTGTGTAAAGCTGTTAGGACTGCTAAGCTAGTGTAAGGAAGCTGCTAACATCTAGCAGGCTGGCTGCCAGACCACGGTGTTTCGACCCCAGGGAATGTTGCCAGGGGACATGTGGGCTGAGGCAACGAGGGAGGAGCAACAGGTTGCCCCTCTCCCTCTCTGCTCAGGTGCACATGCTGTTCTTAATGAGAGTCAGGTAATGCCGGTTCAGCATCAGGCTCATGCCATCTCTCGCAGCTCTTGGGTTTCCGGCACGCTGACCTCATGCCGCCTCCCATGGCCCTCATCGGGGCCTGGAACATCCTCTCATTGGCATATTTAAGAATATTGCACTGTGATAGGTTCAAGCTCATTTGTGATGATATAACTAAGCCGCCCCATCAATCATTTCTTTCAGATGCACTAAGGAATTCTGTTTTCAGTGGAAAAATTCCAATGGAATTCTGCATTATAGCTACACATATACAAATATCAGTTCATATATTCATAACAAGCCATCCAAGAGGAGTTAACCATTGAAACACACTTATGAGTGCAGGGTGTCTCTAAAGTTGGGAGAACACTAAACCCCGTAGTGTTGGGACCATTTAGGAATGTAGTATAATAGCAAAAATAATAATAACGTGTGTATAAAAACTGAACTATATTCAAGTTATGTAAGCACATTTTTAAACCTGTGTTTTTGCTTCTTGTAAGTGTTCTGTAAATTGTGTAACTGCTTCTGAAATATATGTGTGATTTAGCAGCAGTTCTAGTTTGACTGGCCTTGGGGAAGTGGCTCTCCTCGTCAATCAGAGCCAGGACGTTGAGGGGTTTTAGAGCCAGCAGGTCCAGCGTGCGCTGGTTATCGGTGAAGGAGATGTTTTTCCATGTGATTCCCTCTTTAAGGTATTCCTCCTGCTCCAGCTTAAAGATGTGCTCCACAAAGAACTGCTGCAGCTGCTCATTAGCGTAGTTGATACACAGCTGCTCAAAACTGGACACAAAGACGACACACACACACACACACACACACACACACACACACACACATTTATTATATATATATATATATCGCTGCCTCATATCCGCATTGTTGTCGTTTTTCAGTTTTTTACATAATTTGAAAAGGCCTGTTGTCCTTTACATTGTGTGTAAATTTCATGTAGAATGGACCAAAAGAAACAGACCAGAATGACTTGGAAAGAACTCTGGTTCCATTGACTTACATTAAAAGTTAAGTATGTTTTTTCCTTCTCCTGTAAAGTTACCATTTTGGAGATACGAGGTTTTCTTCTGACAACAGCGATTTGTATTATTAATATATATTATTTTTATTGTGTGAATGCTGGATTCACATGTACTGATTTCCAAACTCATAGGGACATGAGGTGAACATGAAATTTAGTATCTCCAATCGGCCTGACTGCATGTCTTTGGACTGTGGGAGGAAACCCACACAGACACGTGGAGAACATGCAGACTCCACACAGAAAGATCCCCGGTTACCCGGCCGGGGAATCAAACCCAGACCCTTCTTGCTGTGATGCAAGGCATTTCATTTGCTCCATTCATCATAAAATTCATGAAAACCCATACAATGTAAAGGACTACAGGCATTTTCAAATGTCAGAAACTAAAAAACGACAAAAACAAAGAATGTTTTGTGAAGACAGCAGTGACTGGTAGATATTTCTGTAAACAGAGTATCCACAGTGGGATTGCCATCTTTTGTGTAGAGCCTCAGTGTAGATGTCATATTCTATTCGTACCTGTTCATGCTGAAGTTTTCAAAGCCAAAAATATCAAGCAGCCCAATGGACCTCGGAGTAGAGGAGGCATCGGTCGGGGCTTTATGGATGGCGCTGTTAATTTTCCCAAAAATCCACATAAACAGTCTGCTGTAGGTGGCCTGAAAGAGAGAGACAATATGATACAGGTTAAAAACAAACCAGAGACTAAAATGTCACTTCAACATTCAAGCCTTTAGATCTGATTAATACCATTACGGATTAAATGAGAGCTAATTGAGCACCTTGGCTAGAGCGTCCCTGCAGTCCACCGCCTGCTCTGAGCTCAGGGGTTTCGTCAGTCGCTCTCGGTTGGCCACGAAAGTGCGATGGGTCAGACTCATGTCCAGAGCTAATTTATCAACCTGACACAGAGCACAGGGACACAGAGTCTGCACTCAGAGGAAAAGTTTGGCAAAACCTAAATTTACACAGGTTTCCCTTTACCTGGAACAGACGGAAATAGCTAAAAAAGTTGCAGCAGTGATTTTGTCCATTCTTCTGTCCATTTTTACACATAACTGCATGTCACAGTGTCAGAAACCACATAAGCCTATTTGAGTTTACTTAATAAGTTGACACAAATGAGGCAAGGCTATGCTAATTCATAGGCTAGAGGAGCACTGGGAACAACCTAACCAGGGCCACAGACCTTTTACACTGTTATACAGGGTCAAGCAGTGTGACCTTCTGGCCTCAACGCCACACTTCCTAGCTGTGGTCTCCCACCAAAATTCAGAGCGATTGGTCAGTGTTTTAAGGAGATCTGTGCCAAGGAGCGTTTTCAGGGCATGAAAGTCATTTTTTCGGTTACTGAGCTGTTTGTGTAAATCACAGAACCCAACCTTATATTACTTCAATCGCCACATTGTTTCACACAATGCAGCACCGTTTAGAAGCAGCTGACAAGCTCACAGGGAGAGCAGCTGGGCTTAAGTCCAGCCTCCGTACTGCGGGGTTAGTTCTTACATGGCGATGCAACTCAGACACCTTTAGTAAACAAAGACTGGTAAAGTAAATTTTGTCTTTTTGTTCCATGTTTACACAGATTTTAAGATGAAAAACAGAAACATCTGAAAACAGGGATTTTCTTCTGCTTTATTTGTGTCTTTCAGTTGTTTGTATTGAGGTTTTAAATGAGTATGTTAATGAAATTCCCATTAACAGTTAACATAAACAATGTTCATATTTTACTGATGTGGGATGTTTTTAAATTTTCCTTCACTGGACGAAAATAAACCTGTCATTGTTTGACACACAGTGTTCATGTCAGTGTTTATATATAATCTGATGTGTGTGTGTGTATCAGCTGATCTGTCTGTTTTATAGATGATAATACATAACGCAGTTTGGTTGGAAAATATATTTGTTTCTTACAACATATAATTATACTGAATTAACTCTGTTTGCACTGATTCCTTTTCTACCAGGTGTTAAACTGACCCTCTGTCTGTTACAGTGAACCCACTTATGGGCTAAACTGGAACACTGCACCTCCCGTCATTTTGGGTGGAACTGTACATGAATGGTAGGTGCTGGAAACAAAGTTCAAGTGTTTGTCTGCAGCAGAGATGTACATGCTGCTCGTATAAAAATATGATTATTCCAAATTAAATATTTGTAGAATTATTCCACAGAAACCAAAATGTTAGGTTGTGCTCTGTTCTCCCCTATAAGCCTCCATTAGTTATTATATTTTGCTCTTGCGCTAAACTAAAGCTGTCAGTCTGTAAACTGTGATTTTTGCCAAATGTTTCCTCTAAACATACAAATACCAAACAACAGCACACCAGTATAAGCTAATACAGTAAAGTGAAGCCAGAAAGATGTATGTGTGTTACCTCCAACAGCTTGGCAGCAACTGTGAAATGATTAGATGGCAAGACATCACAGCTGTCCATGTTATTCTCTGAGCCGGCTAAGACCAAAAAGCTACAATATCAAGCACAAAGCATTTTCACGGAACAGTTATACTGCCTGTCAAAAGTTTGGGGACACTTGCCTTTTATAAATTGCCTCTGTTGGTTTGTAATAACATTTAATACAATAAAAGGCTTAAGAAAGCTGTTCAGATCTTGCAATCTTTCTTTGAAAAACTGCAAAACTGAAGAAACAACTGACAAAATAACTGGAGTAGCAGGGAATAATGGCCTAGGTTGCGATGTCAGCACTCAGCACTCAGACCTGAGATTCAGGTGTTTAAACCACCTTTGGACCAAAAGGTAAAACCTGCTCTTCATATCAAGATGAACATGAAGCTGTGTGGATCCACAGTATTAGGTATACTGTACACTGCAAAAAATAATGTCTTAACAAGTGAAAACATCTTAAATGTAGTCAGTAAATCTAATATTCCTCATTATGAGGCTGTTGTAAGAATATTATAAGATTATTCCACCTGTTTCTGTACATTTTTACTTGTTTTAAGTGATTTTATCTGGTGAAAGTGTCTTATTCCATTGGCAGATTAGTTTACTTGTTTCGAGAAATAATGAAGATAATTTTGCTCATTTCAAGAAATAATGATTAAAACAAGTAACATGATCTGACAATGAAATAAGACACTTTTATAAGATAAAACTGCTTAAAAACAAGTAAAAATGTCTAGAAATAAGTTAAATAATCTCACAATATTCTTACAACAGTCTCATAATGAGAAATATTAGATATACTGACTACATTTAAGATGTTTACACTCACTAAGATCTTATTTTTTGCAGTGTATGACTTTACAGGTAACAGTGAAAATTAAACCAGGGATCTCCAAACGTTTGGTGAGCAGTTCACATCAATAACAAGCTTTCTAATGTCCACAGAGTCATATGCATCTTATTTTCTCTGACCTTCAAAGCTGATGTTGCCCAGGTGCAGAATGGCAGCTAGTAAGCAGAATATTTCCCAGCTTTCCTTCTCTGTGAAGGTGAGGACCTTGAGAGCCGTGCGGATTCGGCTAAACTCATCAGCATCGTCCTGTCCTTCGCACGAAATGCAGCCGCCCTGGAAGAGGACAGTCAGAAAGAGGTCTTCAAAACGTTTTGGACATGTGCTTTTTCCCCCTCTTACACCGTTTCTGTGATTTTATGTACCAAAAACAGTTATAAATCATTTTTAAACCAGTCTTTACCCTTTTAATACAACAAGCTGTTTGAGTTACTGCACTTTTAGAACTGATATATGTAAATAACCTCTGTCCTGACTGTCGGACCACTCCACATGACAAAGACCACTTTCAGAAAGCATTCCAGACTGAAATGTACAGAACTACAAAACTGTTGAATGGCCCATATAATTTTTCTCACTTTTTAAAAGTAAAACAGACTGATATAGTATGTAAACACAGTTGTGAGGAAACTGGTGAGAGGAAATGGAGACTGTTACATTTTGTTTGTTGCTATGGTAGCTAATACACCACCAACATCATGTAGTACAGTAAACTATACATCGATCAGGCATAACATTATGACCACCTCCTTGTTTCTACGCTCATTGTCCATTTTATCAGCTCCACTTACTGCAGTAACACTGACGTGGTGGTGGTGTGTTAGTGTGTGTTGTGCTGGTCTGAGTGGATCAGACACAGCAGTGCTGCTGGAGTTTTTAAACACCTCAGTGTCGCTGCTGGACTGAGAAGAGTCCACCAACCAAAAATATCCAGCCAACAGCGTCCTGTGGGCAGCGTCCTGTGACCACTGATAAAGGGCCAGAGGATGACCAACACAAACTGTGCAGCAGCAGATGAGCTATCGTCTCTGACTTTACATCTACAAGGTGGACCAACCAGGTAGGATTGTCTAATAGAGTGGACAGTGAGTGGACACAGTGTTTAAAAACTCCAGCAGCACTGCTGTGTCTGATCCACTCAGACCAGCACAACACACACTAACACACCACCACCACGTCAGTGTTACTGCAGTAAGTGGAGCTGATAAAATGGACAATGAGCGTAGAAACAAGGAGGTGGTCAGAATGTTATGCCTGATCGGTGTATATTGTTGTATATATTTCATAGAATTCATATATGGAAACTAAGCTGGTGTCACAAAAAAACACAGTTACAAATAATCCTCCAAATATCCTATTCAGACTACAACACTTTAGCCCCGCCCACTCACACTTGAGTTCATTCGCTCATTTATCATCTAAGCCATTTATCCTTCTGGGTCGCAGGGGGTGCTAGAACTTATCCCAGCGCTCACTGGGTGGAAGGAAACACCCTGCAAAAATGATGTCTTAGTAGTGTAAACATCTCAAATGTAGTCAATATATCTAATATTTCTCATTATGAGACTGTTGTAAGAATATTGTGAGATTATTTAACTTATTTCTAGACATTTTTACTTGTTTTTAAGCAGTTTTATCTTATAAAAGTGTCTTATTTCATTGTCAGATCATGTTCCTTGTTTTAATCATTATTTCCTGAAATGAGCAAAATTATCTTCATTATTTCTCCAAACAAGTAAACTAATCTGCCAATGGAATAAGACACTTTCACCAGATAAAATCACTTAAAACAAGTAAAAATGTACAGAAACAGGTGGAATAATCGTATATAATATTCTTACAACAGCCTCATAATGAGAGATATTAGATTTATTGACTACATTTAAGACGTTTTCACTTGTTAAGACTGTTTTTTTTTGCAGTGCACCTTGGACAGGTTGCCAGTCCATCACAGGGCAGACATACACATTCACACTCCCACTCACACCTAGGGGCAATTTAGTGTCTCCAATTGGCCTGACTTTGGACTGTGGGAGGAAACCCACACAGACACAGGGACAACATGCCAACTCCACATAGAAAGAACCCCGGTTACCCAGCTGGGGAATCGAACCCAGACCCTTCTTGCAGAACAGATTTCAATTGTTTTTTTATAATAAAGACTCTTTAAAGTAAGTTATTCCTAATAGCGGAGACGCTGTGAGCTGTTTAAGGTGTGCATACCTCAGTTAGGTAGTTGAACTGTGTCGCATCACCCAGTGACAGGAGGTTCTTCTGCTCCTTCGGCATCCCCGATAAAAGGCAATAAAAAATGTGGTAGTTTCTCTCCATTTTGGCCTTTTGGAAACGAACATTACAGAGAGTTGTCATCAACTAAATTCAGCTGTTGCCTGGAGTTGTATTCGTTTCTTAATCCAACAGCTGCATCTGCTCACCTGGTGGCACACCCGAGACTTCTCCAGCAGGTACTGCTCGATGTGAGCTCCTTCAATGATGCCCTCTTTGTTAAAGAAGATCTCCACATACTTCCCAAACCGGCTGGAGTTATCATTACGGACAGTTTTGGCATTCCCAAAAGCTGTGGTCAAAGAGAAATGTACTTTTTAATAGATTTTTTTTCCTCAATTTAATGTTTCTATATAACAAACGTCAAATCAGTACAGCAGATAAAGCTCATCTATATATTTTTCCTTTTGTTGAACTTTTCTAAAGCTACTCCCCGAGGCTCATTAACACCCCTTTACTGTGGATTAGGAAAGCACTAAAATGAGCAGGGCAGTCTTCCTCTAGGACCAGGGCGCGGAAGGCACTGGCTCCAGCTAGAGGGGTATAAAGCCCCCCAGCATTGGGCTGTGGAGCAGTAGAGCTGTGTTCTCTGGAGTGCTGGAGCTCCATCCAATACCTTTGGGATGAGTTGAAGTGATCCAGAGCTGACCAGCCAACATCAGTACCTGACCTCACTAATGCTCAATCAAATCCTCACAGCAATGTTCCAACATCTAGCGTAAAGCCTTCCCAGAAGAGTAGAGGCTGTCACTGCAGCACAGACTCACTATTAACACCCTTTATTTCAGAAGAAACGCTGGATGGACAGCGTTTGGGTGAACAGTGTGTGTCTACAAACTTTTGGACACGTACTGTATGTGAGGGAAAGGTGTGAAGCAGAGGAGAGCGTTACCTTCTAGGATGGGGTTGGCCTGCAGGATCTGCTGCTCAATCCAGGAGTGCTGACCACTCACTGCAGCCAGGAACTGCAGAATCAGCTTAGTGCTCTCCGTCTTGCCCGCACCAGACTCTCCACTGGGGCAGAACCAGACGCAGAAACAGACACAAGAACATTAAGGCATCTCACACACTCACAAGCACATCACAACACACGGGTGCTTTCATCATGGTTTTATGTTGAACTGTGTTGTTACTGTAGCTAAGTTATGCATCATCTAATCCTGCATGCTTAAAAAGATGGTTCTTCAAGGGTTCTTTAGTAAAGAAAATGGTCCTATATAGAACCATGAACACTCAGAGAACCCTCTGATTGCATAAATGTTTCTTCAAGGGTTCTTTAGTAAAGAAAATGGTCCTATATAGAACCATGAACACTCAGAGAACCCTCTGATTGCATAAATGTTTCTTCAAGGGTTCTTTAGTAAAGAAAATGGTCCTATATAGAACCATGAACACTCAGAGAACCCTTTGATTGCATAAATGTTTCTTCAAGGGTTCTTTAGTAAAGAAAATGGTCCTATATAGAACCATGAACACTCAGAGAACCCTCTGATTGCATAAATGTTTCTTCAAGGGTTCTTTAGTAAAGAAAATGGTCCTATATAGAACCATGAACACTCAGAGAACCCTTTGATTGCATAAATGTTTCTTCAAGGGTTCTTTAGTAAAGAAAATGGTCCTATATAGAACCATGAACACTCAGAGAACCCTCTGATTGCATAAATGTTTCTTCAAGGGTTCTTTAGTAAAGAAAATGGTTCTATATAGAACCATGAACATTCAGAGAACCCTTTGATTGCATAAATGTTTCTTCAAGGGTTCTTTAGTAAAGAAAATGGTCCTATATAGAACCATGAACACCCAGAGAACCCTCTGATTGCATAAATGTTTCTTCAAGGGTTCTTTAGTAAAGAAAATGGTCCTATATAGAACCATGAACACTCAGAGAACCCTTTGATTGCATAAATGTTTCTTCAAGGGTTCTTTAGTAAAGAAAATGGTCCTATATAGAACCATGAACACTCAGAGAACCCTTTGATTGCATAAATGTTTCTTCAAGGGTTCTTTAGTAAAGAAAATGGTTCTATATAGAACCATGAACACTCAGAGAACCCTTTGATTGCAAAAATGGTTCTTTGCATAGAACGTGTTCTTCAGATTGATGGAGAATGTGCTGGAGATAGTTCTATATAGAACATTTTGAAAAGGGTTCTATATAGTACCAAAAAGAGTCTATTGTTACGATGTCAAGCGTATATTCAATTCAATAAAAGAACCCTTTTTGGTGCTGTCTAGAACTCTTTTCAAAAAGGTTCTATTTAGCACCATATACAGCACATTTTTCATTAATCTGAAGAACCCTTTCCACATGCAAAGAACCCATTGAATAATTAAAAGCATTCTTTGCATCACCAAATGGTTCTTCAGACTGATGGAGAATGAGCTGAATATGGTGCTAAACAGAACCTTTTTGAAATGGGTTCTATACAGCGCCAAAAGGGTTGTTCTATTGTTACAATGTCAAGCTTGTTACAAGCTGATCCTATTTTGGTGCTATATAGAACCCTTTTCAGAAAGGTTCTATATAGAGCCATCTATAGCACATCCCCATCGGTCTGAAGAACGTTTCTTGATGCAATGAACCATTTACGCATGCAAATGGTTCTTTGAGTGTTTATGGTTCTATATAGAACCATTTTCTTTACTAAAGAACCCTTGAAGGACCAATTATTTAAGCTTTATTTCAGCACCTCAAAAAAACTTGAAATGCTAAACTGGAACCAGCAAAAAGTCCCACAATGTCACAATTTTCTTGTTGTGCATTACCATGGGGAACTCGGTCCCCACAACACAGTAAAACAGTATATCGCTGTTGAATCATATACATCACAATCTCCACCAAATTCAAAAGATGGTTCTTCAAGGGTTCTTTAGTGAAGACAGTGGTTCAGTGTAGAACCATGAACACTCCATGAACACTTTGCATGCTTAAAGTTTCTTTGCATGTTGAAATGGTTCTTCAGATTGATGGATATGGTTCTAGAACCTTTTATGTTACAATGTCAAGCTTGTAAGGATATAAGAACCCTTTCTGGTGCTATGTAGAACCAAAAAGTTCTATATAGAATCATACACATCACAATCTCCACCAAATTCAAAAGATGGTTCTTCAAGGGTTCTTTAGTGAAGACAGTGTTTCAGTACAGAACCATGAACACTCAACAAACTACTTGCAAGCTTAAAGCGTTCTTTGCATGTTGAAATGGTCCTTAAGATTGATGGAGACGGTTCTAGAACCTGTTTTTTTGTTACAATGTCAAGCCTGTAACAATAGAAGAACCTTTTTTTGGTGCTATTTAGAACCATTTTCAAAAATGTTCTGCACACTGTACAAATATACAATGCATTTAATATTACATGCATTTACAAGCATGCAAATGGTTCTTTGAGTGTTCATAGTTCTACACAGAACCACTCTCTTTACTAAAGAACCATAATTTTCAGAGTGCACTGCTGTCTTTAAGCATAGAAGGCTGTTCCTCAGTGTCGCTGCTGGACTGAGAATAGTCCACCAACCAAAAACATCCAGTCAACAGCGTCCTGTGACCACTGATGAAGGACTAGAGGATGACCAACACAAACTGTGCAGCAGCAGATGAGCTATCGTCTCTGACTTTACATCTACAAGGTGGACTGACAAGATAGGTGCGTCTAATAGAGTGGACAGTGAGTGGACACAGTGTTTAAAAACTCCAGCAGCACTGCTGTGTCTGATCCACTCAGACCAGCACAGCACACACTAACACACCACCACCACGTCAGTGTTACTGCAGTGCTGAGAATGACCCACCACCCAAATAGTACCTGTTCTGTGAGGGTCCATGGGGGTCCTGACCACTGAAGAACAGGGTAAAAGGGGGCTAACAAAGTATCAGAGAAACAGATGGACTACAGTCTGTAACTGTAGAACTACAAAGTGCACCTATATAGTAAGTGGAGCTGATAAAATGGACAATGAGCGTAGAAACAAGGAGGCGGTCATGATGTTATGCCTGACCGGTGTATAGTTTGTTGTACTACATGAGCTTGTTGGTGTATTAGCTACCATAGCAACAAGCACAATGTAACAATGTAGTTCCCTCACAAGTTTTGCGCCGCAATTGCAAGAGGCAGGACCTTTTAGGTGACGTCATCACGCAGCCTCATTAGTGCTGCTCCAAATAGGCGACTATAGAGGAGTCTTCACAGGACAGTCCTCCTGAGGACCCGCCCTACCTCAGCTGCAGCCCAGGCTTTGGAACGCTGTTTCTGTTATAACACTAATTTTATGTTTTAAAACGAATTCCGAGCATAAACTGTTTGTGTTCCTTGAAAATCGTTGCTTCTTTTCATGTTTTGTCAGATAGAACCTTATAACTCCAAACAGAAGGTGAGTTCTTAGAATCAAAGGTTCTGTCTGCATTTGACCCGTTCCAAAAAACCTCATTTATAAGGATATATGAAAGGATTTTGATATTGTACAGTTAGAATAAGTGTAGAAATACTGAATAAATAGAATAAATACAGTCTGTCATTCTCATGTATGAAGGACTCGTGTTCCACATATCAGTCCTGCTGTTTGGAATGCAAAATCTTTGAAGCTCAATATCTCAAAACTGCTCAGAACACAGACAGAACCGTATAATTCCAAGGGGACGATACGTTAAAGTGGGACGACATATACTGGAGGGGGTGCTGAGTGTAGGTCATGAGTGGGAAACACTGTAAAAGGTCAGTTTAATGTAAAGAAGCTCCAGCTCACCTGATGACGCAGCACTGGTTGCGCTGGTTGCGGCACAGATTATAGTAGCAGCTGTCCGCGATGGCGAAGACGTGAGGGGGCAGCTCGCCCAGTCTGCGTCCGTGGTACAGCCGCACCTGCTCTGCTGTGTAGATGGGCAGCACCTGGTAGGGATTCACTGCCACCAGCACAGAGCCGATGTAGGTCTACAAGGACAAAGTGAGAGACTCGGGTTTGAGTGAGTTCACTTCTCCACACACACAGCTCATCACACGTTTGGGCAAACCCTGATTTACAGGTGCTAGTGACGTCTAATCTCACTGCCACTTCTGATTACGTTGGGAAAAAGGCTTGCAGAGGTTATAATAACATCTATATTAAGAGCTATTCACTAACTTTGCGCTTCATGTTTGTATTTTGCTGTAAGTTTATTATCAGGTAAATAATAAATTGGCAGCTTTTTTCCAAACTATTATTAAAAGTATATAATGACAAAAGTATATAATGATCGTTTAGCCCGAAGGTGGTTTAAACAGAGGTTTGAAAGCTGGCATCGCAAAATGTTTAGTGAAGAAACACAGCAAACTGACAAGGACAACTTTATTAAACTTATTCATTAAAACATTCTGAAGAGCCAAAGCAGTATGAGTGTGTTTACATGTACTTAATAATCTGATCATAATCAGATTTCAGCAGTTATCTGACTACATTTAAAGGGCCCGTATCCTAAACTTTCCACACAACTATTTTTCAAAGTCTCTTTATCCCTCAGAATTAAACAGGCTGCTTTTGCTACCGTCCCTTTAAGACTGATATAGGTAAATGACTAAATTAAATGTTCTGGTTTGCTGTCCTGTTTTGTGCCTCCGTCAAATGGTAGTTTGGGCTGAAACACCCCTTATAAGTTCAGTCTGAATGGGTGGGGCTAAACGAATGGGCAGATGTATGTAAATGTGTTGGTTTTTGTGACATCACAGAAACAATTCATTCAAAATGGGATCTCTTGGTTCTCTTATGCAGCCTAGCAGTGAATGGTGTGCTTTAAAATGGTGTTTACATGCAACACTTCGCAAAAATTAGTAAAAGTTATTTTTCCATGATACGGGCCCTTTAAACTGCAGCTTAGTACGCCAGGCCTGCTAATCTGGCCATTACTGCCAAAGTTTCAGTTAAATGATGAGGAGCTGCTGTCTGTTTAAGCTGGTCTTAATGCCGTTTACACAGTTTTTATACACATTTTTACTATTCTGAGGACATTTTTACCCATTTTGTCCCACTTCAACAAGCAGCACTTCAAAAACAGTGGTCCCAGTGCCCCCCACTGTGAACTATGTGAGAAGACACACACTTTTCACTGGCTGAACGCTACTTTGGTAAAAATGAAGAGACAAAAAGTAATATATCGCTGTTATTGGAAGAAAACCTCGTATCTCCAAAATGGTGACTTTACAGGAGAAGGAAAATAACATACTTTACTTTTAATGTAAGTCAATGGAACCGGAATTTCTTCCAAGTCATTTTGGGTCATTTCTTTTGGTCCATTCTTCATGAAATTTACACACAATATAAAGAGTAACAGGCATTTTCAAACTATGCCAATAACTGAAAAACGGCAAAAATGGAGATATGAGGTTTTGTTCCGACAGCAACGATATGACTTTCAAAAATTCCAAAAAAATTCCAAAAAAGTGTTCACCTCTAAGTTGCATTTATATATGGAATAAATACAGTTGCTGACACAGTACAGTGTACATATAATTAAGCAAATAAAATAATGTGAAGAGCCCCAGAACTAGAGCATATTTTCCATTATGTATGTATATATATATATACACACACACATGATAACTACAATGGTCTAAAGCCAGCAGATGAAGCTGCGTATCATTCACAGTCCATATATGGAAACTATTTTGAATTCATTGTTTTTATGATGTCACAAAAACCAATGCATTTATACACATCTGCCTATTCAGCCTCGCCCAATCACACTGAAGTTATAAGGAGTGATTCAGCCTGGGCTGTTTTTATTTTTATTTTTTTATGGATGCTCAATACCAGGGCAGCCAATCAGTGGAGAGGTCATTTACATATATCAGTCTCAAAGGGAAACAGTAACAAACACTTAGAGAGCCATACAGAGAGGTTGAAATGCTCACACAGAGATGAATTATGACTGTTCTTGGTACATAAACTTCACACAAAAGCAATAAGTGGAAGAAGGCTGCTTACGTAGATGATGCCCTGTTTGTAGCGGATCAGTAGGTTCCTCAGAACGCCGGCCTCGGTCAGGTCGCCCAGTCTAATCATATCGTCCACTCCCTCCACGGAGGTGGGGTGCATGGGTTTGATGGAGGCTCTCTGACCCTCAGACACACACAGCTCCTGAAACAGCAACCAAACACGCAGCCCGTCACTGAGCTGTGGTCCAGAGGTGTGCGGAACAGGACAGACCCGTACAGTATCAGGTACCACTTCAGAACAAGACGACCCTTATAAAGCATTCATGAATGGTTCAAAATGAGTTTATTAATGGTTATTAATTAGGTCATAAAGACCTTAAAATCACCAATGAGAAGTTACAACACGTAAATAAACAGGCAACAGTGACCTGCTGTTTGCTGAATAGTGAACCCTCATTCATTTATACTGTTAAACCTCAGATTTTGATGTTAACTGATCTTACTGTATCTTTATCAGTCAGCAGTAAACCTGTCAGCTTCATCAGATATAACAGCTCACTTTTGCCCTTTTATTAACGTGCTAAAACTGTTTATTAATATTTTTTAAAGTGTTTATGACCTGAATAATAACCAATAACAAACTCAGTTTAAACCAGGAGAGTCTTATTTTAAAGTGGTACACTGAAAACATCCCTTTCCAAAAAAACAACTTCCGTACAAAAGTAGCAGCTCAAAAACTACTTAAAGGGGAATTCCACCTATTTTTCAAAATTTCTGAATAATTCGGTGTTTGAGGTGTAAACAGAGTCATTCAGAGTGGTTTGGTGTGAAATGGTTCAGATGTCTTTACAGTGGTGGTGATAAGAACCAGGGGTCGCCATGACTACAACACAAATATAGACATTTTATTTACTATCCAAAACCACCAGTGAACCTACACAAGTCTTCTGGGTTTTATAAGGAATGCTGATGATGATAAAATCTGAGAAAAAAAGAGTTTTTGTTGGGGGTTATTCTGCCTTAGAATACCCTTCATGTATCCCTCCACCATGAATATATTAAAATAAATAGATTAACAAATGTTTTAGACCAAAACTTTATCACAAAACTATCATAAAACAGTGTCTCAGTCATCAGGCAGTGAATTCATAACCATTTCATGTAGTAACTTTCTGTGAGGGAGCTTTTAGAGGTGGACATCTGGTTCCTATCACCACCACTGTGAACAGTTCTGACTCTGTAAGTTTCTCTAGAACAGAGCGTTTCACACCAAACCACTCTGAATGACTCTCGTTTACATCTTAACCACTTAATTATGCAGGAATTTTGAGAAATTGGTGGAATTCCCCTTTAAGTACTAAGTAACTTATAGAACAGAACTTCTTAGCAAATACAGCATCTCTCAGTATAAGAACTGAAGTTTGTTAGACTCCATTCTTCTCTTCTAGGACGCTGTTGCTGGTCTGAGATATGCCGCCACCAAAATAACCGAATGAAATTAAAACCAAAAATCTAATCAAAATTTCTGCATAATTAAATGGTTAAGATGTAAACAGAGTCGTTCAGAGTGGTTTGGTGTGAAACGCTCTGTTATAGATCAACTTACCGAGTCAGAATTGTTCACAGTGGTGGTGATAGGAACCAGACGTCCACCTCTAAAAGCTCCCTCACAGAGAGTTACTACATGAGATGGTTATGAATTCACTGCCTGATGTCTGAGACACTGTTTTACTTTAGATTTGACAAGGTTTTGGCCTAAACTGTATTATTTGTAAATTGTATTGTTCTATTTTTTGGCAAAATAGTCCTTAAAAAAACACATTTCTCCAGATTCATCACTGTTTTCCATCATCAACATTCCATATAAACTCAGAAGACTCGTGTAGGTTCACTGGTGGTTCTGGATAGTAAATAAAATGTCTATATTTGTGTTGTAGTCATGGCGACCCCTGGTTCCTATCACCACCACTGTAAAGAGATCTGAACCATTTCACACCAAACCACTCTGAATCTCTCTGTTTACATCTGAACCACTCAGTTATGGAGAAATGCAGAAAAATATGTGGAATTCCTGGTTAAGAGACTAAGCTGTTTCTCTCTTTTCTCACCTTCCCCTCATCATCAAGGAGCTGCAGCTGCTCCCCATCTGTGACTTTAACCCGGGCTCCGATCTGGACCCCAGTGCTGGAGTCCACCCAGACATAATCCCCCTAAAATCAGCACAAAGACAATCACTGCAGTGTCCAAGTAAACCTGCATGCAGGATGAATGTGTGTTGGCGCTTAAGCAAATGTACAACACAGAACACAAATAGTAAACAAATAAATACAAATAAAAACACACAGACACTCAGTGCATCACAAAACACACATATATCTAATACGTAAACTAAATGTAGGTGATTTATGACAATATAGAGCTGTTTCAAATGGAATATTAAGCTAACGTCATTGTGCATAATTTGGGCACCCTTGATCATATAACATGTTTTGTCAAAGTAACGTATATGTAATGTTATAGTAAAAGTACAGTAATGTTATAGTAAAGCATATCGCTGTTGTCGGAACAAAACCTCGTATCTCCAAAATGGTAACTTTACAGCAGAAGGAAAAAACCTGCTTCACTTTTAATGTAAGTCAATGGAACCGGAATTTTTTCCAAGTCATTTTGGGCCGTTTCTTTTGGTCCATTCTTCATGAAATTTATATGCAATGTAAAGAGTAACAGGCATTTTCAAACTTTTGCTCCGACAGCAGCGACATGTTTGTTATGTTGTAATTGTGAATAAGTGAGCACATCCTCTACAGAGAACACAGCTCTGCACATTTTGATTCATTATTACTGTTTATTTACTGATTTAAACATATTGTGGGAAAAATAACAAAGTGTGTCCGATGCAAACAATCTGGGACATTTTAAATGTTATGTTTTTCAAATATATTAAGCTGGCAAATGAAAAGCACCTAAAATTAGCAGAAAAATCTCATATTTACATTTGTTCCTTTTAGAGAATGTGTTAACAGGACCCTCACAGAGCAGGTACTATTTGGGTGGTGGGTCATTCTCAGCACTGCAGTAACACTGACGTGGTGGTGGTGTGTTAGTGTGTGTTGTGCTGGTCTGAGTGGATCAGACACAGCAGTGCTGCTGGAGTTTTTAACACCTCAGTGTCGCTGCTGGACTGAGAATAGTCCACCAACCAAAAATATCCAACCAACAGCGTCCTGTGGGCAGCGTCCTGTGACCACTGATGAAGGACTAGAGGATGACCAACACAAACTGTGCAGCAGCAGATGAGCTATCGTCTCTGACTTTACATCTACAAGGTGGACTGACAAGGTAGGAGTGTCTAATAGAGTGGACTGTGAGTGGACACAGGGTTTAAAAACTCCAGCAGCACTGCTGTGTCTGATCCACTCGTACCAGCACAACACACACTAACACACCACCACCACGTCAGTGTTACTGCAGTGCTGAGAATGACCCGCCACCCAAATAGTACCTGCTCTGTGAGGGTCCATGGGGGTCCTGCCCACTGAAGAACGGGCTAACAAAGTATCAGAGAAACAGATGGACTACAGTCTGTAACTGTAGAACTACAAAGTGAAACTATATGGTCAGTGGAGCTGATAAAGTGGACCATGAGAGTAGAAACAAGGAGGTAGCTTTAATAAAGTGGCCAGTCAGTGTATTTAAGGTTATATAATCGTTTGTCAGAACAAAACCTCATGTCTTGAAAACGCCAGCCGGCATTTATTCAGTGTCAAAATGATCAATTTCAAGATGAACAGAAATTCATGATGGACCCACATATGTTTCAAAACTATTTAGAATAAAATGTTGTAACATCAAAAATGAATGAATGAAAAAAGAATGTTTTTGTCTTCTCCTGTAAAGTTACTTTATTGGAGGAACAAAGTTTTGTTCTGGCAGCGATGATATAAACATAAATATATGCACAGTTTCATTCTATAATATAAAATATATATCTACAATAATTTTGGACATAATCGGTTTTTGAAAAGAATAACAATTGAGGAATAATGGAAAACATATTTCTGTAATAATGGAGGTTATTAATCACAATATAGAATATACTTACTACACTACATTTGTGTATACACACACACACACACACACACACACACACACACACACATATATATATATATATATATATATATACATACATACATACACACACATGATATATATACACATACACACACACACTATATTTTCGGCCAATTTTAGTGTATAATAAATACACTGTGTTTTTAAAGCTAAAAGAACTGAAGCTCTGTTACATACCTTACTCAGCACCACCATTAAGACAACCCCTTTAATCTTCTAACAAAATCTGGTCAGTATTCAGCCTCAAAAGTCCACAACGCTGGCGAACGGCACATTTAGAGACAAATCAGAACAAACGTTGACCATTAAATAAAATAGATCATTTTAGTTCTCCTTGAATGACGAAGCAGCTTTTCTCTATCTGAAGATGGCACCTAATCACAGCAGCTTCCAAGAAGGCAGTTCGGGTCTGAGATTTTTTCTCCCACCCAGCTGAATGACGGGAATAAGGAAGCGGGCGTCCCCCCCTCACACACGTCGCTTTATGGCACTTTGACTTTGCTCTGGCGAGTGAGGCGATGTTGCAAAACTGAAGAACCGTAGAAGAAACTCTTTATCACTTCATGCACTGAGCTTCCGAACGACGTCATTGACGCTTCAATAAAACCTGAATGGTCCCCACTTCAGGTCAGAGGTTAAGAGGGACCAACTAGAGAAGCTCCAGACCGAGGGGGCTCAGGATAGATCGGAGTGAAATACTACAAAACCATGCCAAAGATGTTTGAATTGTGTGAATGGAATGAGATTTAAATGTTATTAGTCTTTATCAATGCACTCCCTCATCACATACAGCAGAAAGTGGCCTTTTGGACCCTCAGCGTCAGGCGCAGGGGAATACACCAGCTCAGTAATGAAGGGCAATTAAGCAGTAAAGCTCAGAAGCAGAAGGTTAAGCACACAAACCCAGCAGTGTTTATTAAGTAAAGATTTCAGTAGCTGGGGAAACTCCAAAGAAGCAGAGACCTTGGTTTATGTAAATCAAGGCACATCTCAAGCCCCCACACAGCGAGGGTAATAAACCCACAGTACTGAGACCACCCTTCATTTTTCAGGAGATACGTCCAAAGGTTAGATAGGAGATAATCCACTTGCATAAGGAGGAGAAAGTCAAAGAAAAAAAACTGATTAAAAGCTACAGAGAAAATGAGGCTCCTAACAACCACCTGGAAAACCTGGTAGACACCAAAACTGCCCCCATCAGATAAACAGCACTTAAAGCTTTCATCTCTGAGAGAGAGGAGAAAATCAAGCTGCTTCAGATCTGAAAACATCCACAGGTGTTTCTGTCCATCCTTCCACTGTGAGAAGACGACTCAGCGCTGTGGGTCTGAAAGGATGTGTAGCTGTCAAGAAGAACCTCACTGAGAAAAGGAGACGGACACATCAAACAAAGAAGCTGAACGATGGACTGACCACCCCAGAGTCCAGACCTCAACACCACTGAATGTGTTTGATTACTTCAGAAAACGATCAACCAGCTTCTAAGACTGAACTTTGGAGGTGTGTCTGCAGATTCTTTGAGGAGCTGAAAGTGAGTCTCCTGAAAAGAACGGAAGCTGGAATAAAGGTGAAGAGTGGACAAATAATGAAAAAATTGATATTATATTTATTTCTTAGGGCGTTTTTAACCAAATGGCTGTTTTGACTGGAAATTAAACATGATGAAAGGTGGTCTCAGACTTTTTCACAGTACAATATATATGCACATTACAATATTTAAAAATAGCATGTTTGCCTGGTCAACAACCTCAGTGTTATTTCTACTGTAATAACCGCAGGTAGATGATGCAGCTAGTCAGGAAACCTGCGTGCGAAAATAAAACAAATTACAGGTATAAATGTGATACTGGTTTGCTTCCTTGTAAGATCTCCATGGTGATCATGGATGAGTCTCTATAAAACAATAAACCTGAGAGGACTGTGGACGATAATTTACATAAGAACAAGAAGCCCCACCCTGAGATACAAGCCTTATCTTAGCATTACCGTCTGCCTAATGTCATATATTATATATGGCTGCAGATATAAATAGGTTAACTCTACTTTCAGGCCACTTTGATTACACAGCTATGAACACTAATACACCTATGACCAGATTAGAACTGCTCGAATATGCTTTGCTTTTACATGTAACTTCAAACTCACTTCAGAAAAACATTATAAATACAAATAAAAATGTGTAATTCTGCTTTAACCTGTATTTCAACAAAAACAGTACAGCAAAAGATATTCTATATTTTATCAGCCTCGTTATTTTTTGCAAATATACGCTCATTCTGAAATCGATTCCTGGAAGACATTTCAAAAAAGTTGGTACAGGAGCAATTTATGACTAAGAATGTTGCAAAACATTCAGAAAACAATTTAAAGGTCTAAAAGGAGCTTCCAGGAAAGGGTGAGTCCTTTATGAGAGAGGATGGGACGAGCATCGCCAAAAAATGTGTCAGCAAACTGAAACTTTCTCTGCAAATCCAAAAACCACCACTGAATGCCATGACCTTTGACCCGTCAGACGACATTGCCTTAAATACCGGCGTGTTTTTGTGATGGACATCACAGCACAGGCTCAGGAATACTTTGACAAACCATTGTCAGTAAACACCGTTTGTTGCTGCATCCACAAATGCAGGTTAAGACTGTGCTACACTCAATGGAAGCAGTACTTCAGCATCCAGAAACGCCGCCGACTTCTCTGGGCTCCAGCTCGTCTGAAATAGATTAATGCACAAAGGAAATGTGTACTGTGGTCTGATGAGTCAACCATTTCCAAATAATTATGGAAATAACGGATGCTGTGTTCTTCGGGTCAATGAAGAAAGTGAGCATCCAAAGCTCCAGATCTGAATTCATACCCTAACACAGCATCACCCACCACCCAAATAGGACCTGCTCTGTGGGGGTCCTGACCACTGAAGAACAGGGTAACAAAGTATGCAGAGAAACAGAGGGACTACAGTCTGTAACTGTAGAACTACAGAGTGAAACTATATGGTCAGTGGAGCTGATAAAGTGGACCATGAGTGTAGAAACAAGGAGGTAGCTTTAATAAAGTGGCCAATCAGTGTATTTAAGGTTATATAATCGTTTGTCAGAACAAAACCTCATGTCTTGAAAACACCAGCTGGCATTTACTCGGTGTCAAAATGATAAATTTCAAGATGAAACGAAATTCATGATGGACACAAATGCTCCAAAATTATTTAGAATAAAATGTTGTAACATTAAAAAAATGTATGTTTCTGTCTTCTCCTGTAAAGTTACTTAAATATCGGCATGTTTCTGTGATGGACATCACAGCACAGGCTCAGGAATACTTTGACAAACCATTGTCAGTAAACACCGTTTGTTGCTGCATCCACAAATGCAGGTTAAGACTGTGCTACACTCAATGGAAGCAGTACATCAGCATCCAGAAACGCCGCCGACTTCTCTGGGCTCCAGCTCGTCTGAAATAGATTAATGCACAAAGGAAATGTGTACTGTGGTCTGATGAGTCAACCATTTCCAAATAATTATGGAAATAACGGATGCTGTGTTCTTCGGGTCAATGAAGAAAGTGACCATCCAAAGCTCCACTGCTGAAGAGTCCAGTGAATGCCCTGCTTTGCACCACTCCAGCCAGCACTTAGCATTGCACATAGTGATCTTAGGCTTGTGTGCAGCTGCTCGGCCATGGAAACCCATTTCATGAAACTCCCAACACACAGTTCTTGTGCTAATATGGCTTCCAGTGGCAGTTTAAACTCTGTAGTGAGTGATTTTCATGTGCTACTCTGTGAGTTTGTGGTCCAGCTCTTCATGGCAGAGCTGTTGCTCCTACATGCTACCTTTTCACAATAACAGCACTTGGTGACCAGGGCAGATCGATCAGGGCAGAGATTTTACAAGCTAAATGCTTGATTTTATACACCTGTTAGAAGCAGGTGTGTCTGAAACACCTGAACTCAATAATTATGAGGGCTGTCCACTTTTTAGGCTGTACACTGTATTGTATTTTTTCCCCATATCTTCCACCCCAAACCAATATCACAATATCACCCCCCCTCTCACCACCCCCACCCATCATGGAAAGGAAACGTTCAGCTAGCTCAGAGACCCTGTGAGAGTTTGGTTTCACATTTATGTTAATTAACTTCATTACATTGCGTTTACATGCACTCAATGATCTGATCATAATCAGATTTCTGCAGTTATCCGATTATTCAAATGGTCACAAAACATTCTCTTCCGATCTAGAAATCCGATTAAGAAATCTGATAAAGAGGCTGGATTATAGGCCCAGTAATCAGATTCCTCAGTGCATGTGAACTCTTACTCTGATTTCTTTCAGATTTGCGCATGCGCGTGAACAGACGACGGTACCAGAAATAAGCAAGCAGCAGAACTCTTTTGGAGCGGCGCTGAAACCAAACACAAAATGAAGGATTTAAATATTATTCATCTTCTAAATGATGTACGTTCATATTTTCATTTAAAGTGGCACAAAGTTTAAAAAAAAACCCTGTGCCATGATGTGTTTATTGGCTGGTTGTAAAGCAGAAATTTGATTACTGTCTGACTCTTTTAGACCTGGAGTTTCCCCATTATCTGACTCCTCAAGTGCATGTAAATGTGTTGATTACTGACAAAATCTGATTTTCTGCAGTTATCGGATTATTAAGTGCATGTAAACACACTCAAAGTGCCTTAACTGGAGCAGAGGTGGATCTTCTGAAATCACAATTCAGTCTTAGTGTCTGTAAACATTCACCGGCTCACAGACAGACTCAATTAGGCTGCTTTGAACAGAAGAAAGAAAGCTTGAAAGAAAACATGTTAGTTTAATTTATAATGCAAAAAAAGAACAAAGTGGGCATCACTTACATATGTTTTAAAGGAAATGGTTTGACTTGCATACACTGATAAACATACATACACAGTCCCATCCACCCATACAGTCCTGTTTTTATCAAATTCATATCAGAGTCACGTGTTTGACCATGATCTGGGATTCCCAGGATCTTTAATTCACGATCCTAATAAAGCCAAGCTAAGGCAAACAGACAGTAAATGAATCCAGCGAGCTCTGGAGCAGCTGGAGGACCGATCCACTGTAAGACATCACAACATTCATCAAAGACGAACTAGCAACACCAAAGCAAAGAGAAAAATCACCCAGAGGATCATCCAGCAACACGTTTCCACTTCTGATTCGTTTGATAGAGGATTTTTCATTCCCAAAGACGTTAAAGGAGCATTTCAGCATTTTTCAGATCAATCCCTATCCGTCACGTCTGTAATGCACTGTCCACTTCCACTTCCTTAAGCGTTACTATGGCTACGTTCACATTACCAGGTTGAAGTGGCACAAATCCGATTTTTGCCCTAATGTGACTCAGATCTGATGTTTTCAGGGCTGTGTGGACACACAAATCTGATCCTTTCAAATCCGACCTGAGACATTTTCATATGTGGCCCTAGATTGGATACGTATCCTATTCGTGGCCATGCGACCTTAATGTGACGCTCAGATCTGAATTCATGCGCATGAGGGTCATTTCAGGACACCGGTTCGTCACATTAATGACAGATTTGAATCACTTACCTAAATGAGTGTGAACCATTGTGTCAGAGAGATCGGATTTGAGCAAAAAATCGGATTTGAGCAACGAGGCTTGTAATGTGAACGTAGCCTAAGAAAGGAAAAGAAAACCCCGTGACTTCCCAGTCAGAAGACAGTCGACAGTCGACGAATTCCACCAGCAAATATTTACGCAAATCATACTTTTGTGTAACACTATAAATCTGTACAGCTGATTCTTTTACATTTGGGACTAGTTTTTAGAGGGAGAGGTTTGAGTTGTTTTGTTGGAGTAGTGGTGTGGGCGGGATTTTCACAGCGCCCCAAAGTAACTGGAACTACTTTTCTTACCAAGTTGAAAAGCTTTGGTAAGAGATGATCTCAGTCTGTCTTGTCCTAAACATCTGTATTCTTAGAGTTGAACAACTATATTACGCAAATGTAAAACTCCAGTCTGCTGTTTGTGAAATACATCGAGTCCTGGACTGCACAGCCTTTTGAATGTTGATTTTCTATTGAAATTAAAAACAGTCCATGCATAATCTGGGAAGCCTGCTCACACACCGACATAAAATTTTAGGAATTACTCTTAAAATTCAGCAACTCCCCATGAGCTTCTGTTACACAGTCATATGCAGAGGTTTGATTAGCCCTGGTCAAATTACAGGTTTCGCTGACTTGGTGAAAATAAGGCTCACACAGCAGGAAAAAGTGGCCCAAATCTGATCTTTTTCTTTATGTGTGACACAGATGTGTGTCTGTGTGTCAGACAGATAAACACACTGAATCTGACATTCAATTCCGATTTGAGCTTTTTAGTATGTGGTACTGAAATCCGATCCGTATCCGATACTCAGCAATGCGACTCAGTCTGAACAGCCAGATCGGAATTCATACAATGTTTCTGTACAAAACATTAGAAGAGACTCGTCCAAAACCCTCTGAGTTTGAAGGGATTTAGAAAGAAAGGCTGAACGCGGTCGTAGGAGAACAAGGCTGCAGCGTCAAAGAACAGATAAAAGTCTGAAAGCAAAGTTTAAAGAATCCGAGGACGCGAATCAAAGAAGTGACCGCGCCCTTTTTACATAGAGCTCAAACACATTCTGGGTGATGAGCCCAGCTGTCAGTCAGTGAAGCTTCATCATGGCTCCTGTGATGCTGGTGAAGATGAAGCTGATCCTCCGGGAGCGACTGGCGTTCGTTGGCAGTTGTGACTGTTTACCTCTGAATGAGCCACATGAAGCTCTGTCCTTTTGCGCATGTGGGTCAGTTTAGGAGCTGAACTGTTCAGACTGATGTCACATACAGATCACATTTAAAAGATAATGTGAACAGCCAAACAAAAAAAATCTGATTTGGTGAGAAAATCAGATTTTGGCCACTTTTACCTGCTGTGTGAATGTAGCGTAGCCTAAGTTGACATCCTCTACAAGTTTGAGGGAAAACATTTTTGCACTTAATTTCTATTTATTTGCTGAGTTTAACATAATGGAAAAAAAAACCTGCCAAAACATTTTCATACATTTTATATTTTATATTAAATCCAGCAAATAAACAGTAACTGTGCATTAAAACGTGTGTGTTCTCTGTAGAGGATGTGCTAATTTACTTTATTTTAGAAAAAACACCAAAACATGGGAAAATGGGTTTTCCGTTCAATTCCAAGTATGAGAGCGTAAACTGCTGTCCATGGCAATCAGCCGTACACTGCATGTGAAGACGTGAAGGACCGGGATTAGGCTGAAAAATGCTGCAGTGTTCCTTTAATTACCAGGAGACACACAGGAAGGCACCACTGCCTTTCCAAGCAGTGCACTGTGAGAGAAAATACTGTGCAGGCCTAGTTTAACTTCACTAACCAGAAATAAAGAAACCTCCTCCATAGATAAACACACAGAACTGCACAGGATAGATCACAGCATGCTCTCAGCACTAGGCCATGGGGCAAGGCACCCATACGAGGGGAAAAATAGATGTTGGAGATAAAATTCAGCACTGTGGCCTTTGATTCTCATAGCGTTTGCTCAGGTTTTTATGTGTTATGTTGCAAACGGAAGAATGACCAGACAGATATTGAGTATTGTGAGAGAGAGAGAACTGTAGGTGCAGTTACAAAGGTCACTTACGAGGTAAAAGATGTGAATGAACAACCTAGAAAATCAATCTTTCTTTCCATGCCAGTCCCACAGATGTACAAACCCAAATTACTGGCTTAATGAATTGAACTACATTACTTCCAATTCAGTTTAAGCCTCAACGGAACCGTTTTAGTTTGCAAGCCAACAGATCATAAACTGTTCCCTGGCGCTCTCGCCAAGCGAGCTGTCCAAGCTGTGTAGCCTTTTTTCTTTTGACTCTTGCTACAGACGTTCGGCTTCATTGTAAATGTGCAATAAGTATTAGTGAAGATGAACGACTTTTAAAGTTTTTCACATTATGAAAACATTATTAGTGGGCGGCTAAATGGTGTCAAGAACCATCAGGTTTGTGCAGGTCACACGTCGCTGTTTTTGACATGTGAAGAACTACAGAACGCCATCTCCAGTTTGAATGCTGCATGGATTTTAGTGCATCAGCCTTTCAGAACATACTGGCGTATATTCTAACCATCCTCGAGTGTCGGCTGTAGTGCAGTGAAACGTCATTTGTACGTCTAAATGTGCGGATCATTTAGACATGATTAAAAAACATCACTGATCAACACAATCACTGCCAGAAGCGAGTAAACTCGAAGGCAAAATTGTGTTGATGTAATACGTTGTACACGTTTAAATCAAATAATAAATTCAATGCTTTTTTTCAGTGTGAAGGTAAGGCTTTTGCACCGAGGATGGTAGCACGGCCTTAATGCTGATGGGTTCCCCCTCAAGGTCCGTCTGATGACCCATCTGGTCATTTCTCTGTAAGTATTATGGGAGAGAGAAAGTGCTACCCATGTAAAGCACTTCATTTTAGTTCCTCTTGAATCAGTTTCGTTTACTTTCGTCCATCACATCAGCAGCCCGAGGCTCCACAAGGTGTTAAAGTGAGATCCCAGGCTGGGTGCGTTTGTGCTGGGTGTGAGGGGTCGAGAGGCCTGCTTTAGTCTCAGGCTGGAGCAGAAAGCTGCTGAGTCAGGCTTCTTTCTTCCGCTCAAGCCCTGTCTTTACGCTTCAGCTTGTGCAGCTTCTTGGTGCTACTGTTCTTGTTGAGAAGCTTCATGACTCGCTCGCGGTGGTCCAGCACCTTCAACATGGCCTCCCGCGCCTCCGTGATCTGATCCATCACCAGCTTACAGCGCTGCATGTTCCCCTGCACAGAAAAAGGTACAACTAATTACACCAGTCGTCTTTACCCACATCAGCTCGTCTTAAGAATGCGTGGAGTTTCACCTGTTGAAGCACCTGAATGTGATTCATTATCAATGAAATCTGTGGTTTTAATCCAGTATGAATCTGCAGTGTGTGTAGTTTTTACAGTCTGACTGTAATAATTGTGGAGCGATTTTAATCCAGTATGAATCTGCAGTGTGTGTAGTTTTACAGTCTGACTGTAATAATTGTGGAGTGATTTTAATCCAGTGTGAATCTGCAGTGTGTGTAGTTTTACAGTCTGACTGTAATAATTGTGGAGTGATTTTAATCCAGTGTGAATCTGCAGTGTCTGTAGTTTTACAGTCTGACGGTAATAATTGTGGAGTGATTTTAATCCAGTATGAATCTGCAGTGTGTGTAGTTTTACAGTCTGACAGTAATAATTGTGGAGTGATTTTAATCCAGTATGAATCTGCAGTGTGTGTAGTTTTACAGTCTGACAGTAATAATTGTGGAGCGATTTTAATCCAGTATGAATCTGCAGTGTGTGTAGTTTTTATAATCTGACAGTAATAATTGTGGAGTGATTTTAATCCAGTATGAATCTGCAGTGTGTGTAGTTTTACAGTCTGACAGTAATAATTGTGGAGCGATTTTAATCCAGTGTGAATCTGCAGTGTGTAGTTTTACAGTCTGACGGTAATAATTGTGGAGCGATTTTAATCCAGTGTGAATCTGCAGTGTCTGTAGTTTTACAGTCTGACGGTAATAATTGTGGAGCTATTTTAATCCAGTATGAATCTGCAGTGTGTGTAGTTTTACAGTCTGACAGTAATAATTGTGGAGCGATTTTAATCCAGTATGAATCTGCAGTGTGTGTAGTTTTACAGTCTGACAGTGATAATCGTGGTGATTTCCTACTGAAATCTGTTATGTTAAACAGGTGGTGCATGACGCTGAGTGAATAAACTTGCCTGTATAAGCTCACTGATGCGGTGCAGGTCATCATCAGATCCAGATTTCTTTTTCGGTATGAGTCCTTCCTGGAGAGTGGTCAGACGGCTGTAGACGTCATGCTCCAGACTCGTCTGCAGTACAGCAGCAAAACAAGGTAGTTAGGATACGCAACAGGATATAAGCAACCTCCATTTCCAAGAAAAAAAACCCACAAACAAACAAACTAACAAACAAAATGATGTGTGTTGGATGATCCCAACATGCATCACGTTAAGTCGGCGCTGCGCAGGGTCGCATTAAGTCGACTGCAGCCGCTGTCCTGTTTGGTTCTGGGTCATTCCAACTCACCCCAAAGGTACTGGTATGAGCTACATCACTCCAGAGAACGTAGTTCCACTGCTCCAATGCTGAGGGGCTTTAAACCCTTCTAGCCCATGCTTGGCATTGGGTATGGTGGCCATTCAAATAGCCTACTGGTTCAATGCGCAAGTCATGAGACAACTAATTAACCCTAGTAAGTAAAAACCTTAGTTAAGAACTACTGTATGACTCATGTCTCTTGGCTTTGCTACTGTCTCACAGCAGTAAATGTAAATCTTAGCAGTTTAAAAATCTCCCAAATGTAGCCTTTAATTTGACTGCATCTTCATTCAGTAGTTTGTATTTTTTAATTAAAAATATTGATAATTTAATTTAAAAGTTAGCGATATTATGTTTTGTTTACATTTTTTTGTCTTAGTGCAGATTCTTATTAACAAAAAACATATTTTAAAACACTATTTTACTAAAAGAGGAACTATTAAGATGTTAAAGTAAGAAATAGTTGTCCAGCAAACTTAGAAGACTTACTTTGTGTTAATTAGATTAAAAAAAAATACAGGAACATGGTTTAAATGAAAGAAACTGCAAGGACAAACACAGAATGACTGAAAATAATGTATTCAAATGCTGAGGCTTGGACAACATGAGAAAAAAGGATTGTTGAATTAAACATCTCTAAAAGGAAGAATGAAAAAATAAAGAGAGAACAAAAGCAAAACAAAAAAAAAGGAGCACCACTGGTACTGGCAAAAAGCGTACTACAGAGCCCTGTGGGCTCAAACACAGCTGCTGCACAGCACCTCAATCTATTCGTCAGCGCTTTTCTATAAAGAAATGAAAAAGCTGTGTGCACAGTTGAATTCCTCTGTCTGCAATGGGGGGACTAAGTAGTTGAATCTACTCTGAGGGGCTGTCTGAGCACTTCTGGACATACACAGTGTAGCTGTGTCCCCCAAAGTCATTTCTTTTGCCCCCTTGTCTAATTAATCCTGCTGAAAGTGTGTGTGAATCCAGCTGTGCACCACTTGGTGGCAGCGCAGCAGCAGGAAGGACAGAAGCCTCACCAGCTGCAGCAGCTGAGCAGCACACAGATGGATCTTCCAGCCCTGAGCGCGACACACCGCTCCCTTCTGACTGGCCACATCCTGCAACGTGCCTTTCTTCTCCTCTGGAACAACACCACCACAACACGGACACACACATCAGTTCAGTGGTCGAAGATTTAATGAGAGTCTGAATTTCATTGCACTGTATTACGTGAAAAACGTTTGCATTGTCCATTTATTGCTTAAATAAACGTTATGTAGGTAAAGAGATCAACTGATGCTGGCTTTTTTATTTATTTGCATGAGAAGGTACAGTAAATACAAACAAAACAAACAGCAACCAGAAAAAGAGAGTGTATGCAGGAAACGTAAAAAAAAACAGAAAAGGAAAGTACTTTCGCTCAAGGGGAAAGAAAAACGTTTATTAAATTTATTTAAATAAAAAAAAAGGCAAAATCAGAAAAAACATGAACACATAGTTAGAGTGAGTAGATGAGTTTAGCTCTTTAGTTTAGCTTTCTCACTGTGTGATTTAAACCTATGTGAAGAAGGAGAGGTGCATTCAGCTACTCAAAGGCTTTCTATCTCCTTCCCACACAGTTAAGACTACATTTGCTGGTTTGTATTATAGCCTAGAACGTACGTTCTGGAATAATCACTGCATTTCTTTACTGTTTTTGCCTAGAGCCTGCTACCATGCCGCACTCGGCACGTGTCAAAAATACAAGATTTCAACTATAACAGATAAAAAAACAAAGAAACATCTGTGATACTGCGTGTGTCCCCGTTTCTTTAAGGACCTGTTCTGTTTTTTTCCCCTCAGTCCAACAAATCCACACCGATCAGGCATAACATCATGACCACCTCCTTGTTTCTACACTCATTGTCCATTTTATCAGCTCCACTTACTATATAGGTGCACTTTGTAGTTCTACAGTTACAGACTGTAGTCCATCTGTTTCTCTGATACTTTGTTAGCCCCCTTTTACCCTGTTCTTCAGTGGTCAGGACCCCCATGGACCCTCACAGAGCAGGTACTATTTGGGTGGTGGATCATTCTCAGCACTGCAGTAACACTGACGTGGTTGGTGGTGTGTTAGTGTGTGTTGTGCTGGTCTGAGTGGATCAGACAACGCAGTGCTGCTGGAGTTAGCAGGACACTTGAAAGCTGAATGATGAACAAAGCTGTAGATGATTCTAAAATTACCAAGAAAGCTGTAGAACATCAAGAATGATGTTTTACTAAAATTAACATTCAGATTTAAGTTAGTTGTGCTTACAGTGTATAATAATTCAAACCCTTGAAATTTTGAACATCTAAAAATACATTTTGGTGTCCAGTTGAATTTTATAAAATTTACATGCACATTGTTTTAGTTATTATAATATATCAAATAACACACAATTATTATAAGTGATTATATTCCGACAAACTCGGAATGGTACTGTACAGTTAAAAAGGATTAAAATGATGGCTTAAGTGGAATCCAGAGGCGGGGTAATGTTTTGTTCGATTGGCCAAACCTTAATCTGATCTAGCTTAATTCTTTTTGGTGCAGCCCAGCGTTAGAATGACAGACTCCTTTTTCAGTTCTACACTTTCATACTAAAGTACTGGTTCTGACAAATGATCTGAGTTTTTAAATCTACTCTAATCACAGCTGTGGATGAAAAATCGAATATTCAAATACGACGACTTGGCGCTCAAAGAAAAAGATACCACATTGCCTTTTACACGAACCTGTAATCATTTTATCATGAATGACTCTCAGTGTCATTAAAAGAGAGAAAGACACTAACGAAAAGAGTAAAGAGCATTAACTGGTCAGACCTTTGACGCGGACGTCGCTGTATCTCTGAAAGTGGTGGTACGCGGCCTTCCAGGGGTTTCGGTAATGTCTCAGCAGAGTGATCGGTGGGCGGATCCGCACTGGAACGTACCGCACTCCCTCCTCATCTACAGCACAACAACATAGAAACAGTACAGAGGAATCAATATGGATGCTACTTTCACATTACAGGCTTCATTGCTCAAATCCGATTTTTTGCTCAAATCTGATCTCTCTGACACAATGGTTCACACTCGTTTGTGTACGTAATTCGAATCTGTCATTAATGTGACGAACCGGCGTCCTGAAATGACCCTGATGAGCTCATCCTACTCAGTAACGTCATGTGAATGAATCACGTTCATCATCAGCTCAAACTAACGAGCAGAACGAGCTTCGCTGAGAAGATCATTAACTCTGATCAGCTCTCAGCTTCATTATTAGAGCGAGACGAAGGAGAAAAAGGTGAGATGAGCTGCTTTTCCACCGTTTACAGGCTTTAACTTCTGTTCGGCGCTGCTGCCATGGTAACGCTGAATGATGGCGCAGTGGAAAAAAGCACATGAATTCTGATCTGAGCGTCACATTAAGGTCGCATGGCCACGAATTGGATACGTATCCGATCTAGGACCACATATGAAAGTGGCTCAGGTCGGATTTGAAATGACCAGATTTGTCGTGTCCACACAGCCCTGAAAACATCAGATCTGAGTCACATGACAGCAAGAAATCTGATTTGTGCCACTTCAGCCTGGTAATGTGAACGTAGTCTTAGTGCTGGGGGGTGTAAAAATATACTGATGCATCAACTGTGCACTATTCTTAGCCAAAACAAAAGGCCTGGGCTATTTTCAAACATAAAAATAAAAAGGCACTTGTTATATCGTTAACAATCTGGGGTGGACAAATGCGCCACCGTGTCAAAGTACAGTTTCTTAATGTTTTTATCATTATCTTTGTGATGATCCAGTTCAGAAATCCAGTTCAGACACTTCCTGAATCTGTAGAGTCGCCCTTTCCATTCCATCTTATCACGAGATCATACGAGACTCACATCCGGAGTTATGAGGCTATGAAGAGGGGCTGAGATACACGTCATCTCTCTCTCACCGTGCGGAACTGGTGGATTTGTGTGTCCGTCTACATTCTGATTGAAACTGACCAATGGACACTCAGGAAATCACTGAGAACTGACCATCACACTGGAAACTTTAAATTTATGCTCCAGTCGCCTCAGACGTAGGCATGAAATGGTGTGTAAAAAGTTTGCAGCTGCTGAAGAAGAGGAAAGTAGCGATGAGGAGAACATTAATCCACTGCTTTATTCATACATTCCACTACTTTTGTGATCCTAAGACTTTGGTGAATCCATTTCAAGCACCAAAACAATTCATCCACATGAGTAAAGCTGTTTTCATGAGACAAAGACTTTCTAAAACCTTTAGAGTCAAACTATCTCTGCACACAGTGCTCCAGGTCAAAAGGGCCTCATTACAGACAGCTGAAATTGTTCTGAACATTGATATATATATGTTGGTATCATGTCGTATGCAGGAGCCTTTAAAGGCAGATTTAAGAATAAACCGATCAGGCATCACATTATGACCTTGTTTCTACGCTCATTGTCCATTTTATCAGCTCCACTTACTATATAGGTGCACTTTGTAGTTCTACAGTTACAGACTGTAGTCCATCTGTTTCTCTGATACTTTGTTAGCCCCCTTTTACCCTGTTCTTCAGTGGTCAGGACCCCCATGGACCCCCTTAAAGCAGGCACTATTTGGGTGGTGGATCATTCTCAGCACTGCAGTAACACTGACGTGGTGGTGGTGTGTTAGTGTGTGTTGTGCTGGTCTGAGTGGATCAGACACAGCAGTGCTGCTGGAGTTTTTAAACACCTCAGTGTCGCTGTTGGACTGAGAATAGTCCACCAACCAAAAATATCCAACCAACAGTGTCCTGTGGGCAGCATCCTGTGGGCAGCGTCCTGTGGGCAGCGTCCTGTGACCACTGATGAGGGACTAGAGGATGACCAACACAAACTGCGCAGCAGCAGATGAGCTATCGTCTCTGACTTTACATCTACAAGGTGGACTGACAACGCAGGGGCTTCTAATAGAGTGGACTGTGAGTGGACACAGTGTTTAAAAACTCCAGCAGCACTGCTGTGTCTGATCCACTCAGACCAGCACAACACACACTAACACACCACCACCACGTCAGTGTTACTGCAGTGCTGAGAATGATCCACCACCCAAATAGTGCCTGCTTTAAGGGGGTCCATGGGGGTCCTGACCACTGAAGAACAGGGTAAAAGGGGGCTAACAAAGTATCAGAGAAACAGATGGACTACAGTCTGTAACTGTAGAACTACAAAGTGCACCTATATAGTAAGTGGAGCTGATAAAATGGACAATGAGCGTAGAAACAAGCAGGTGGTCAGAATGTTATGCCTGATCGGTGTATATGCCAAAATCAAGACAACACCCTCAGACCCCAGAGGGTTACTACTGATGTGCTTTTATATAGGAAAATAAAATCTGATCTCATCTGATAACACAATCCAGTCAAAGTAAATTAAGATACAATACTGAAATTAAACAAGTTAATGCAAGGTGTGATCTATTAGTGCTCTAACAAAGTGCATCTACATAGAAAACATGACAACTGCTAACATTTTTTCCACGACACAGATGAAGAAAATCAATAAACCACAGAAAGTGAGGACGAAATAAACTGACCGATGTACTCCTTGGGTGGGGATTTGCGCTTTCTCAGGCCGATGGCTGGGCGGTTTGGTGAGGACCCTTTCCTCGTCAGTGCTGTTGGCCTCCATCATCTCGCTCTCCTCAGTGGAGATCACGTGCTGCTGCTTGCGAGGTTTCTTCCTGGGCGAGGCGCCGGGGGCGAGTTCCGCAGCTGGCACTGCCAGAGCAGGTGTGCCACTAGGAGGCGCTGGACCCACTGAGACACAGAACACACCTTGCGTTAACTTGCGTTAACCAAAAAGAAATTATCAGACACAACTGCAGGCATCGTAGTGAGGGTCACTGTTCCAACTAGGGTGGTCAAGATTATTCAATTAAAAAAATCATTGATTCAAATAATTGATTTTGATTAACCAGCTTCTGCTGTATCTGCAGGAAAAAGTCATGAAGTTTCTCCACAAGGGGGAGCTAAATGCACTTTGAGGCTATGCATGATTTGTCAGTGTGTGTATGTGTGTGTGTGTGTGTGTGTGTGTGTGTGTGTGTGTGTGTGTGTGTGTGTGTATATATATATATATATATATATATATATATATATATATATATATATATATATATGTATATATATATATATATATATATATATATGTATAGAATGGATACAGACCAGTGGCTGGAGGCTTTTTTCTACACTCATTGTCCATTTTGGTTCTGACGCCCCAAAGGACAAAAACAGACAGGTACTATTTGGGTGGTGGGTCATTCTCAGCACTGGTGTGGGGGTGATGTATTAGTGTGTTGTGCCGGTGCAAATGGATCAGACAGATGAGCTGTTGTCTCTGACTTTACATCTACAGGTGGACCGACAAGGTAGGAGTGTCTAATAGAGTGGACAGTGAGTGGACACAGTGTTTAAAACTCCAGCAGCACTGCTGTGTCTGATCCACTCGTACCAGCACACACTAACACACCACCACCAGTATGCAGAGAAACAGATGGACTACAGTCTGTAACTGTAGAACTACAAAGTGAAACTATACGGTCAGTGGAGCTGATAAAATGGACAATGAGAGTAGAAACAAGACGGATATATATCAGTATATGCTACATATTACTACAGTGGCTCTACAAATAAAGTCATAATTTAAAAACAGGCCTTCAGGGGTTCCGAGAAACACCATCCAATGGCTTGTTAGCGTACCTGGTTTTGATGAGTCCATTGGCTCCGCCTCCTGCTTTACGTTAATCTCTGGGAGGGTGGAGCTAACGGGACAGGCCGCAGTGCTAGTGGCTGCTGGGTGAGAAGACGGGGCTACAACATTGGCCATTGATGGGATGGGCGGGGTTACTGCCATGGCAGCAGGGACAGGCTGAGAGGGGGGCGTGGCTGAGGTCAGTAGGGAGGAGACAGGCTGGGCGGGGATTTGAGATGGAGGAAGAGCAGAGTTCTGCTGCTGTTCGGCGTTTTGGCCTGAAACTGAAACGGCCTCCACTGCAGCCGTCACCGGAGGGGCCAAACCCACCAGGATGTCCGGTTTGGGTTTCACTCTGTAAGAAATCACGAAAGAGCAGTGACAGTTTAAAAACAAGACTGTGGAAAAACATCCTGATACACCTAGTTTAGCTTCCACTGTTTTAAAGTAGAGGTGGGAAAAATATCGACACAGCGATAAACTGTATCGCTTTCTTTTGACGCTGGCGCCAAATATCGATTTATTTATTGAAACATGCACGTGCTGTACACGCTCTAAACAGACTCCCCCTCCATTCACTACTTCATGACTCCACATGGTGGCGCTAAGGCACTAATCAAATGAATAGGGTAAACCTGCGGTGAAGAAAAAGAAACTCATGGGAGAAACGGCGAGAAACCCATCAGACAGGCACCGTCCTCTGTCAAGTCGAAGGTCTGGGCCACTTCGGCTTTCACAGCATTGAAGAGACAAAGGAAATAAAGACTCTGCGATTTGCAAGAACTGTCTCGTTAAAATAAAGTACACAGGCAACGCAACGAACATGCACAGCCATCTTCTTTATCATCATCATCCTGATCTGGTTGTTGAGAAAACAGCTAACGTTGCCACAACTCAAAGTCAGCCTTCGTTAGAAAAGATTTTAGAAAAGATTATAGTGACTGCTTTATGGTAGTTTATGGCTATTTTACACTGGAATAATGACACACGCAGTCAGTGTATGTCAGTCAGTCAGTCGTGTTAAAGAGGATGAAGCTAAGCTACGCACTTTGTTTAAGCAAAAGAACACGAGAGGGAGTGTGTTACCACGAAATAACATCACGGCTGTGATTTGGTCACGATAACACACTCCTCGAGTGTTCTACTGCTTTTATACAACAGTGAAATAAATAAAGTAATAAATTAATAAACTGGGCCGTGAACGCGGCGTTTAATATGTTTTAATGTTCGCAGTTCCTTCACCAAATTATAGTTCCTTAACGAGCAGCTTGTTGCTATGTCAGAGTAACGAGCTCCGCCGACTTGCTGCACAGTCTGCTGTAAGCCCCGCCTTTTGAAGTACAGACTGAGCCATAAAACTTCCACAATATCAAGTTCAGCTCAGTTGTGTCAGTTTTTGCCAGATCAGTATTAATGTTGTTTTGTTCCAGTCAGTCTGTAAAGCATCTTACAGCCCATTTAGTTTGGCGAATGGTGTTGGGTTCATTTCTGGCTGATTCCAGGTTGTTTAGCTGTTCTTCTGTCACAGCTGCCGACTGAAAAGCTGCTCAGTGGTGATGACAGTTTGGGAATTTAGTGTCGTCTCATCTTCAGAGTCTGACCAAATCGGCTGTCGGTCAAATGTGATCTTAAAAGTGTCCATTTTCTGTTTGTGGCAAAGTAAGAAGTAAAAACATTCAAATGGCTTGAGCGTCTCCTACAGCGGTCAAAGTCGTTGCTTAACAATGGCGTCTCAGCGGAGTGATACAACATGAAAAAAACGTGATGTTATGGTGAAATAACAGCACGGTTAGAATGCTTCTCAACCAATCAGCTTGTGTGGCCGGAACTAACTTGTATAATGTACATTGTTTCATATTGGTTGTCAAATTCTGTGAAACTGACACTTATAGATACACGTAGACTGTAGATTTCACATGGAACTACACATAAACTGCTTTTGACCAGAAGTTGTGTTCTTATGCAGGGGAAAATAATGAAATCACAAAAATTACAAAAAAAGTGAAAGCGTTGCATTTTAAATGGCAGGAGAGCCGAGTCCTACCCTGCAGGTCGAGGTGACCCTGAGGTGCTCCTCAGTCCCCCATCCATCCTGCCAGAGTCGCCAAGCTGAGTAGGGATCAGGTTTTTCCTCACGGCAGCACTTCAAACATACGATAGATCAAAACAGAAAATCAGACACAAGTTTCATACCACATTCTGTTCAGCAGGGAAGCACCGATCATACTTTTTTATGGCTCATTCTGATTTCTTTACAGCCAAACTGTTTTGGCTGATTTTTATCAGCCTTTTTTAATCTGAAGATCACACTAAGGGGGAAAACAAACATATGAAACACACTAGTTCATTTCCAGCATTTAAAATGCCGAATCCAGACATTTAAAATGCCAAAATACAAATGATTAATTGGCTGATTTTGTGTTTTGAGCAAAGATTTACCGATCTCGATCCTGGCCTGTTTAGAGGGGTATTTTCAGTGAGGATCAGAATAGGCAAATATCGGAATGGGCTGAATTTCAGTCCAAACACATGATCTGCAATCTGCCAATTTATTGTTTGATTTTGGACGATCTGTGTAGCAGCTGCAGTAAATAAGGTGAGGGAGTCAGTGAGTAGTCAGTTCTCTCTTACTTTCAATGTAATCATTCATGTTATGACTTCCAGTAATAGAAAGTACTGGAAAAGTGCAAACATGTTACAAATGTGCATTTAGACCACACAGTGTTAATTTTGGGTTTAAAGAAAGACTAATACAGGAATCAGGAACATGTGGCTCTTTTACTGCCCTGTTACGGCTCCACAGCAGAATCAGATTTGTAGGTAAAAATAAAATAATCCTCCTTTACAGTAAAATTAAGCTCTGCTGATCGTTCAACACAGTTTAACAATAAATGGTCTTAAACTCTGGAGTTAATGTAGAACTGCTAATTCACCCTTTAACACTGAAGATTGGCGAAGACTCCTGGTCACACAGACAACAGTCTCGCCTAGCTAGTATCTAACGGAAAGGCACAGAGAGAGATTTAAGACGAACATCGATAATTTGGAGACGGATGGACTTATTTGCCTTTATAATCACTCCAGCTGGTTTCCTGATACGTTTAATCTGCAACCAGAAACTGAAACACTAAAAAGCCAAGAAGCTGAAGTCAGTTTCTGGTTTGAATTTTCCCATTAACCACCTTAAATGGTGAAGCAGCTGCATTCTGTTTCCTGCCAGAGATGTGAGAAAAGTGACTATAGCCGAGCTAAAGCTTAAAGCAGAGCAAAGTAAGTCTTTATTTATTTTGTTTGGCCTGTACTAGGACATTAGCTAGCACATATTAAGACATATTTCCAGCCAAGATGGTAAAACGTTAAATCAATAAAATGGACGATATGTTGTCGCTTCCAAGGTGATTTGATTTTTGTTAAAAGGACAAAATGGCTCTTCTTAACATTTGGATTACCCCTGCACTAATAAAAATCAGCCATAAGCCAGTTTGGCTGAAAAACAAAATCAGAATCGGCCACTGAAAATCATGACTGGTTCATCCCTGTTTTCTGCTGAGCTGAATAACTCAAGTTGAAAGTCTAGACTGTCTAACAGGAAAGGAGGGAAGCGACATCACTTTTGGGCAATCTTTATTTTTGGCTCAAGTTATCCAGTTTAGTGAAACACCCTGCTTTGTTTACATACTCCAAGCCTGGGGTTCTGGTTATTTCTGGATGTCTTGAATGCCTGAATCACTAAACTGTGCAGAGCAGTATCTCTGCAGAACTGACAGAGCCTGGAGGCTTGCAGAGCAGACTCACCCCTCACTGGCAGGCTTCTTGCGGAGGATGCTGGGCCGAGGAGACGACACGAGCGCCGGACCCCCAGAGCCGCTGCCCTGTGGGTGAGGCTGCGTTACCGTGACAGCAGGCTGACTGGTGTTGAAGGTGCTGTTGATTGAGTTAGCCACCAGCGTGGAACCATCGGGCAGCATGACTGAAAAGAGGGAGAACAGTCAGAAGGTTAAGTGTAACCAGTTAATTTACATGGTGACCTGGTAACTAATTAATTCACAGGGTAAAGAATTTTGGTCTTCCGTCTACATTAAATATTACAGGACATAATCTAACAGAGAGGAAATACGCACGGAAACTAGAACACCATAACTCTGATTATAGAAAAAGCACATTTACTTAAAATAAAAAGTGCTCTATGATGTTCGGGTCCGCGCGGGACTGTTTTTTCGGTCCCACTCCTGCCCGCTCCTGTGAGACTTCATCCCGCTCTCGCAGAAAATCGTATTCATTTATCGACACGCCTGCAACCAAAACGATTTGTCCCGCTCCTGCCCGCGCAGTCCAGCGCACATCCACTATCTGACAGTCTAATCACAAACACATTATCCTCTGCTGAAATAACACGGCAGTCATGGTCACCAGGCTCACTGTGAGTAACTTCACCAAACACCATTCAGTACCAGTAAATAAAAAGCAGGAATCGAACCACAGAGTGGTTATTTTTGGTGTTCTGGGCAGCTGTGGCCGTCGGACTGAAGGCTCCGCCCTCTCTCTAACACCTGATTGACACATGCTGCCTCTGCGTGGTGAGAGTGAAGCGTCAGCGCGAGCGCTACAGCTCGGACACGCTGGCCTTTCATGATGGTCACTTCAGTCACTCTGCTTAACAAAAATATAATTTATAAATGCACATAGGATGTGTGTTTATCCTGGACAGCATTCTGACTTCTGATTAGGGAAAAGTTTCTAGCCTGGGCAGACCAACCGGGAATCTGTCTGCAGCACGGAATATTTATTTCATCATAAATTGCATAAAAATCACCTTTTAAAGTTTTTATACGGTCTCCTGTTAAATTTTCAGTGATTTTCATGGCTTATTTTAGTGTATTTAGCTGCGCGCCGTGCGCGGGAAAAATCTGCCCTGGGTCTTTTCTCTAAACACAGCTGCACTTCAGTGTGGCGTCTGGGACTCTGCCGCTTCGCACGCGCAGCGAAATGAAAAGCAAGACTTTCCGCGTCGCTCACAGCCGCAGTGTGTGTGAATCAGATCTATGAGAATCTGCGCGTTGTTCGCGTGATCGATTCCTCGAGAATGACTTCATTTCATTTTAACTGTTTTACTGTTATCATTTTATACTGTTTACATATTCGCTTTAGTGATCGTTCAACTTTTCATTAATGTGCTATTCATTAATTTGAGGGATTTTTCTATATGCATGTTTCCGCCGCTCCCGCCTGAATGGATTTCCGCTCACGCAAGCAGCACTGAAAATAGCCGCAAGCAATTGTGTCGGGTCCCGCGGGAGTGCAGACTTCTACTATGATGCTCAGATAAAACTAGCTGTTATTGTGAGAGACTGCAATACAGTAGTGCAGGAAGCGTAGGGGGCGATACACACTATTAAAAAAAAAACAAAAAACGAATCTCTGTCCAAAAAACAACAGATCTCTCTAAAATGGCAGCTTTACAGGAGAAGGCAAAACGTTCATTTACTTTTAATGAAAGTTAGTGTGCAGAGATTTTATTCCGAGCAATTTTGGAGCACATCTGTTGGTTCATTCATTATCAAATCTTTACCCAACGCTACACTACAGTCTGTAAAGCTCTGACAAGCGTGTGACATCGCAAAAGAGGAAACCAAAGAAGCCATAATAGTTTAAATAGTCAATGGTTTGCTGTGCCAGTTGGTGAGCAATACTTAGAAATCAGGTCTGACAAAAATTCCAATAAAAATAATACTTTTGTGTAGTTAATTGTGATAAATCACAGTTTGACCCTGAAGAAACATTTTTCCCTCCATTTAAAAAGCAGATAATTTCATCATAACTATATGAGTGCTAAACTTCTTCAGAATGTATTTACTATCTTCAACAATTCAACATCAAAAATGAACCTGAACATAAAATCACATTACCGCAGTGTGGACATGAAAATAAAGTACATGCAGTTTCCAAATTATTTATTTATGGTTTATGCACCGCAGAAAATCTTACAAATGAACAAGAGATTTCATTTTTATTTAAAGATAAACAGATTAATTTAGATTTGTATGTATTACATTATTATTAAGCGAGCTAATCAATTTTTTTTCATAATTGTTTAATCTCATATTCCTTTTTTAAGCATCTGTTTGAAGTTAATGAACCAGTTTATTAACATATGTGGCCTTTTAAAACATGTCTTGCCTAATTTTGAAGTATTTTCGGGAATGTATCTTATATTCAGTGTTACAGTGACGATTTAAGACCGTTACAGAGATTTTTCTAGTACTGACCTTCAAGCTTTTGTACTAAATGAGGTTTTGAAAAATGCTTAAAACAAAATTCATATGCTAGTTTTTGCTTATTTTAGGTTATTATGACACTAGATCTAATTAGTGTTACTTAAAATCTAGCCACAATGCCTTCAACCAATTAAATATTTAATGATTAAGATTATTAGATGATTTACAACAACGCGTTTTTCTTATTTTAAGAAATCTTACCAAGCAATTTTCTCTCATCATATTGGCAGATCATCAGTTTCTTTCAGTATTTAGTTTAATTTTTTGGTTAAGATGTTAACTTTGAGAACACTATTACAACTGCAGAGGACCAACTAATACTAAAACACGGCAGGCCTGTTTTTGGCATTTCCTCACCTGAAGTCTTGGCCTCAGTGGGGGGTTGCTGGGGGTTGACAGGCGCAGGCTGGATGCTCTGGGGGTTAATGGTGGTGGAGGTGTGGAGCCCCTGGGCGGTGATGGCTGTGGGCTGGACCCCCTGTGCTGCCACTGTGGCCGGCTGGATGTTCTGGGTGTTGATCTGAGCGATGCGGTCCACGGTCATCAGCTGCATGGAGTTGAGGTGCACTGCAGAGGCCACGCCCACACTGGTCTGGGCAGGCATGGCGGCTGTAGGGGCTTGGGCCGTCACTGTGACCAGAACAGACACAACCACACAGGAGAACGTGTCACACTGGAGCACCGAGCTGATGCTGACAGCGTACTCATACCTGATTTTTTTTAATAAATGTGTAACAAAAAGCTAAAATCCACTTTAGCCAAATTATAAGCAGCAGCCACTTCCAGTCAGGCCAAAGCGATTTGCTGTTGTCCATATGCAACAAGGATCGTCTTCCTCCTCTTTCTCTGACTCTCTATTCAGAGTGTTTTACAACTGTGTACTTTAAGGCTAGTAGATTGCAATTTTTTGGGGCAGAGCAGGTGATGAAAAAGCTCTGCTGGAGAACGTTTATCTGAGCCGTGTAGTATAGAACCAGAGTGCTTGAAAATCGTATAGAACATGAAAATGTGCATCATTACAGCCCCAACAGTGACGGGAAAAATCCTAGTACACTGACTGTCCTACATACTCCCATCAAATTTGTATAGTGTAGAACAGTGAACGTAACTTATCAGGCTGTGATGTCCGATTAAAAAGCGTTTTACCTGGATAGGGCCGAATGGTGGACACGGAGCTGGTGATGGGTGTGTAGGTGTGAGTCAGTGGGTAAGGGGCTGATGGGTAGGTTGGCAGAAAGTACTGAAACTGCACAGGAACAGATTGCCTACGGAGAATAAAGATATCATGAGTTACCACAGTGGATCTGCAGATACAGTGCAGCTTTAAAATGCAAAGCCATCAACTATAAAACAGTCCTAGCAATGAATTTAAAGCTGACAGAATGTAAGCTAAACAGAAGGCCAGGGTTAGGAAAATGGGCTGGGATTAGGTTTTGGTATGATTTTAAGGAGAGATTTGTGGTTAGTATTGGGACAAGTTTTGAATTTAGGACCAGAGGTAGGATTAGGAATAGGACACGGGTTAAACAGAAGGCCAGAGCTAAGGTTAGGATTGAGAAAATGGTTAAATGTAGGTCCAAAACCATGGTTGAGAAAAGATTTGTGGTTAGTATTGGGACAAGCTTTAAATTTAGGACCAGACGTAGGGTTAGGAACAGCACAAGCGTTAACTGCACCCCACTGGCATTTACTCTTCATTAGCAACATCATTAGTACCTCCCCTTTAACCAGCGTGTACCTGTTGTCGCTGCGGTTCTCCATGGTGATGGGGTTGGGGGAGGAGCGGTGGGCGGAGATGGGGATGAGGTTACCTCTCTCTCCAGGAAACTCAGACTGGATCCTGGGGGAGGTGTGCGTGATCGGCTGGGGGACCACTTTGGCTAAAGTAGAAAACAAAAGACTAGTGAGGGAACCTGTCAATGGGACACAGTATTAAGGTTGAGTATCAAAATAATCATGTCAATAGGCATCAAGAAAACACCCTACATGCAGAATGATAAGAAGCTGTGGTTTACATTCACAGCATGCTGCATTAACTAATTCAACACTTGTCTACAGCTTCTGCTCACAGCGCTCAGCTACACAGTGAGGTTGTGTTCACTTTTATAAGGCACAGTTAGTCAGGCTGTGTTCTAATCCACATGGACAAGTGTGCTTAACCTTAACGAAGACCTGGACGAGGTTTGAGTAGTTTGTGAAAGTGTTTACAAAAAGGATTTGGGCGACTACCGACTTCACTACAGCTACACTCTTAAAAAAGATGGTTCTTCAAGGGTTCTTTAGCAAAGAAAATGGTTCTGTATAGAACCATGAACACACAAAGAACCCTTGGCATGATTAAAGGGTACTCTGCATGGTGAAACGGTTCTTCAGATTGACGGAGAATGTGCTGTAGATGGTTCTACAGAAAACCTTTCTGGAAAGGGTTCTTCTAATGTAACGATGTCAAACGTAATAATAGAAGAACGTTTTTGGGTGCTTATATAGAATTCTTTTCAAAAAGGTTCTACATAGAACCATAAACAGCACATTCTCCATGAATCTGAAGAACCATTTCACCATGCAAAGTACCCATTAATCATGCAAAGCATTCTTTGAGTGTTTATGGCTCTACACAGAACCATTTTCTTTACCGAACCATTTACTTTCCTGTTCTCATATAAATACAACTAATGTGTCTTATATGCTATGCAAATATGCAAATAGATATACTTTTATTCCAACTCTCTCATACTTTAACTCATTTTTTTTTAATTTCTGCCTAATTTATGTCTGTTTTTATTTCTGCCTAATATATGTAAGTTTATGTGCAATTATATGTCTTGCTACTGTAGCACTGCAACCTCCCTTCGTGATCAATAAAGAAGTGTCAATGTTAGCATCATAGCTCCAGTGCTAAACTAAAGAAGCAAAATTTGGACACCAAACGTCTTGGCTGATGAACAACATCTGGCAAATGGAAAACTAAATTTGAATTTCTGACACAAAAAATCCTTTTAAGTCTCAAACAGAAAATGCAACTGATTTCCACACTAGAAAGATACGAATGAATGATTAACTGACCTATAAACTGGTTTGTTACGTATGAAAAAACATGATTTAGATAGATATATCTATTCTATCTAACAACAAGAGGCAACTTCATGAGTTAGCCAGAGATTTTGAGCCAAACTGTCCAACAGGTGGAGGTACATTCCAGATGGACAATGCTGGTTTAAATCCTGTGGTGTGAAATGCTGCTGTGTGGTGAGTTGAATGTCACTTACCCACAGGGATGGTGGAGGTTGTTACGGCAGTGGCGTGGGTGGAATGGGAGGCCATCGTCACAGCAACAATATTACTGCTAGATATCTGAGTTTGAGGAACAGAGCCTGTAAAGTAGAGCAAGTGTTTCAGAAACGTGATAGTCATTCACCAGTCTAGTCCAAAGTACAAGTTCAATTAAATTATCTTCTGGTACATGGACACCTTAATCTGGGCCTACACTGCACAATTTTAACCTGATTTTTACCCTCCCAAATTTGCCTATTCTGGCAAATTATCACAGTCCGAAGCCGGAAGCTCAGTCAGAGGCGAACGACAGCATGTATGACTGTGGCGTGAGAGCAGAAACTAGGCTCTCTTCAGCCTCGAGAAGAGACGTGACTGCACGCTGCCTGTGCAGCCCACAGAAATGAAGGAACTGCTACTAACACACAGGCTCATTAGAGCCTTCATCATGTTTATAATGTTTGGATTCAGATGTCAAGTGACTCTTTTTACAATTTCAAATCATCTGCCAGTTTGTAGTGGAATATTCCTCCAGCTCTCACTGTGATATCTGTGTTTCTCAGCCACACATTCATCCCCAGTTTGTGCTTTTGCTAACCTTTAAGCACAAACAGGTCCGGCCCAGTTTAGCACTGAGCCGAAACGTTTGTCTTCTACTCTCTGTCTGCTTCAACATCTAGTGTGCGTGCCTTCACGACAAAAACATAAATTCTGTGAAAGCCTGATGATAAGACTCTCCGTTTTATGATGTCTCACACGACACTGTCGAGCCGAGAGGGTTAACTTTACGTAGGGATCTATTAGGGAATCTGGTGAGCTGAAAAATATTATACATTAGATCACTGTTAAATTACTATGCTCATGTGTTTTAATAACACATCTAATAATGAGAGAATCAATCTAGCAAAACAAATGCCTGAGTACTGAAATAAACTCCGTCCTATCATTTCACAAACACTGAGCCTAGTATATTTTTAAACGTATCTGTTTAGATGTCCGTGCCGTCAGGGTTCAGTGCCCTACCTGCTGTTGTGGGTGATGGGGCAGCGTTAGTGGCCAGAATGGGGGCCACTGTTGCTGCCGCAACAGGCGTCACAGTGCTAAAGATTGGTTTCTGCAGACAAAACGAAGGACAAAGATGAAGAAAGTGTGCTGGGATCACAAAACAGAGAAACTCTGAGAGCTATAATGTGACTTTAACATAGAATTAATGTAATGGTTCACAATCTCAGTCTGGCCAAACCCAGGCTGAAGCCCAAACGGTCCCTAAATAGTGTTCTAGCTATGAAAGTTTAGAAATTCTAGCCTCTACAGCCAAATAGTGCATCATGTATCGAGTGTGGATGTGTCTGAGTCCCAAATGACTGTTTCTTAGCTATATTTGCACTGTTGTGGTGCAGGAGCCAGTATTTAAACTCCTATGTAGTGCACTATTTAGGGAGCAGGGAGCCGTTTGAGATTCAGCCCCAGCGTGAGAAGAGGGTACCGCTGGATTCGTGCTAAATAATACTTGTGGTGGTAATTTAGTGATCAAAAAGTGCTGATAAAGCGAAAATTTGTGTATTAAACAGTTCTGTGTTTTCATATATTCATTGTCATACAACAAGAAGTTAAAATGTTCATGAAATGACGATGTACAACGATGGGCGACTGAACGTTCTCCTCATTCAGAGGTCCATGGTTGCTTGGCAACGATACCATACTCTAAAGGAACTACATTTCTTGGAGGAATACTTGTTTATGTTGATTATTATTAATAACAACAAACGATTTTCTAAAAAATTGTGTATTTTATCATATTTTATGTTGGCCGCCGTTTTATAAAAGCAATAAGCCACTCGAGGCTGTGTTACTGCGATTTTGTCACAGGGAAGGGAGTTTTACTCCACTTCACGTCGTGCCTAAGAACACCCTTCCCGTGATAAAATCGCAGTAACGCATGGCCTCAGGTGGCTTATTGCTTTAATATAACCCAAAAAGTCAGTGCAGGAAAATAATCATACCACACTGTTTTCCCCATAATCACGTCTATCTACCAGATGTGATTAAAGAGGGGGAAAAAAAGAGGAAAGAGGGGAAAAAACAGACATTGAATCTTTACCAAAAAATGTAAAACATTTATGCGTTTCAGTTGTGTTCAATTTATGTCCTGGGAAGTAGGACGGTTCAGCGCAGCTGCTGCTCCATCAACAGACCTCTGAAGTCATGCTGTCATTCTGTAATCAGTGTCATGCACATATTAGGAACTACAGGTTCAGGCTGAACTTCTCTCTGACAAAAAAAATTAACATGTTGGTTATAATTTGGAAACGTTTGATTCTTCGATTTTTAATTATTAGGCCTAAGTTCATCTTTTTTCCCCCACTTATGTTTTTATGACTTACAGTGACGTTACCAGCCCACTATGAACTATTTCCTCCCCCTGAGAGCCACTAGAGGGTGCTTCACAGCCCACTGGTGGTCCGTGGCCCACGGGTTGAGCAACTCTGGTCTATACTGTGTACTGAAAAAGATCTCTAACCTGTGCCATTGAGTGAGGGAGGGGCTTTTGAGCACCAATGGCTGGGTGTGAAGGAAGCGTGATGCGGGTGGGCGTGTCCCGAGCTGGGGGAGGCCGCTGTATGCTCAGGGCTGCGGGAGCGTGGATGGTCAGAGCTGAACGCCTAGATTTGAAACAGAAAAATTCAGATGACAAAAATGATAAGAATGTAAAGAAAAAAAATTGGATAATCAAAAAACATCTCTGCAAATTTACAGTACATGAGAGAACTCTAACACACAATTATTCCTAATATGTTTTCTCCCAAATTTATCAACAAACCTATAATCGATGTACATGTGCCTAGTATAGCCGTGACATTGAAAACTGGTTGGGTGAATATTTGTGCAGTATCTAATGTAAAGTTTCTAACAGCACTGCGATTGCTGCTCCAGACCCGTTGGGGGTTTCTCCTCTTACCCATGCACAATGTCTCCTGAGTGAGCCGTCACTGTGCTAATGACAGGAGACTGGGGCCTGGTGGCTGTGACTGGAGCCACCACTGTAGGCAACACAGGCGTGGAGGTGGTCACTATGGGTCGTGACTGGAACACAGAAACAAAGCCATTAAATACAGCATAACATTCAGGAGGTTCTTTTTGGAAAGCTGATATAACAAAACCTTATTAGGAATTGCTGTAACTGGCTCTCAAATTCAACTCACCCACTAAAACGTACAGTGGAAAGATTTAAAACCCTCTAGGAGCATAAACTGAAGCAACCAGCCTCTCAAGGCTGTACGTTACAGCAAAGCAGTTTGACGTACATAAACATAATGTCACAATTAATTATTTATATCAATAATTACTATGAACAATTCTTCCACCAAGAAAGGCAGGTAGGAGTAGGCTTTGAATGCCAAGCCACAAAACAGTGAAAAAGCGTCAGATTTTTAATAACATGCTGCATTAATACAGAATTCAACTGACGTTTGTGGTTATATGTGTACAGCCATATTTAAAGTTTGAACATCCCTGGTCAAAATAGTTTACTAGGTGAAAATAAGTTCACACATCCTCCACAGGAAACACGCTTATATATAAAAATTTTCTGTAAACTTTAGTGCACAATTTCTATTATTTTTTTTGCAGAGTTTAATATGTAGGAAATAAATAAAACATAAAACATAAAATGTGTCATTTTGCGTATTATTCTGTCCTCCAATATATTAAACTCAGCAAATAAACAGTAACTGTGTATTAAAACGTGCAGAATCGTGTTCTCTGTAGAGAATGTGCTAACATATTTCCATAATCAAATAATAAAATGGTGTTTCACCCAAAGGCACCCAAACTTTTGCATACAACTGCATATACTGAGTATTTTACAACAGCTTTAAATTGAGCTTGGATGTCAGAAGCATAATAATAAACTAAAACCAATTCAGCTGTTTCTGTAACAGCTGTGACATTTTCAGCATTTCGCAATTATGTTTTTAACAGTTACTAGCATGAATAAAGCAGAAAGGCAGGAACCTGAATGGGCTGATGGATGATGTGCTGGACCGTGGGCTGCCCTGTGGCGTTATTTGGGCTGGACGCCGGTCTCAGCACAGTTGCTCCTTTGGTACTGGACATTACAGCAGCAGCTGCAGCTCCTAGAGGTAATAGGACCATACAGCAGTTCAGCAACTACACTAAAACTAACACACTGCACTGTTGTGTTATTTATAGTTTGTGTCACATTGTAAGCAATTGGTCGTGTCATCTACTCCTAAACATTTACATTTACACTACTGTTTAAAGGTCTCAGTCATAATTGTCATATTACTCAATACGAGCTTAAACAACATAGGTTTTTGGGAATAACAAAAGATTATTAAATCCATCGCAATTATTTATTTATAGTAATTTTTTAAGTTATCTGCTTCACGCCAATACAGGGACTGTCTTTCTGGAGTACCTTTAGATTAAATACTCAAGGGCAAAGCAGAATCCAATCCAAACAGCTGTACACCGATCAGGCATCACATTATGACCACCTCCTTGTTTCTACACTCATTGTCCATTTTATCAGCTCCACTTACTATATAGGTGCACTTTGTAGTTCTACAGTTACAGACTGTAGTCCATCTGTTTCTCTGATACTTTGTTAGCTCCCCTTTTACCCTGTTCTTCAGTGGTCAGGACCCCCATGGACCCTCACAGAGCAGGTACTATTTGGGTGGTGGATCATTCTCAGCACTGCAGTAACACTGACATGGTGGTGGTGGTGTGTTAGTGTGTGTTGTGCTGGTCTGAGTGGATCAGACACAGCAGTGCTGCTGGAGTTTTTAAACACTGTGTCCACTCACTGTCCACTCTATTAGACACTCCTACCTTGTCAGTCCACCTTGTAGATGTAAAGTCAGGACGATAGCTCATCTGCTGCTGCACAGTTTGTGTTGGTCATCCTCTAGTCCTTCATCAGTGGTCACAGGACGCTGCCCACAGGACACGTGGCTGGGCTGGATGTTTTTGGTTGGTGGACTATTCTCAGTCCAGCAGTGACACTGAGGTGTTTAAAAACTCCAGCAGCACTGCTGTGTCTGATCCACTCAGACCAGCGCAACACACACTAACACACCACGTCAGTGTTACTGCAGTGCTGAGAATGATCCACCACCCAAATAGTACCTGCTCTGTGAGGGTCCATGGGGGTCCTGACCACTGAAGAACAGGGTAAAAGGGGGCTAACAAAGTATATTGTGGCCAGTGAGTCATGACCACCCTAGATTTAATTCTGAGGTACGTCACCATGAGCAGCCGACTGACCTCTGGGTAAATGGGAGGGAAACTGGTGCTGAGGAGCCGCAGAGGATCCGATCTGCAAGGCAGGAGTTCCGCTGCGGATGATCTGAACGTTGGTGGCCATGATGCGGTGCAGGTTTCCAGGGTGACCCTTGTAGCAAAACAAAGCAAATTACAGAGCCTTGCAAAACAGTGTAAAAACAATTCTAATGAGCTACTGCAGCTTGCAAAGTGCACCAAAATCATTCTGATTAGCTAGACAGTAAAGCTGCATGATGAATCGCATTTTTATCGTTAACGCGATACGAATTTCCATGACAAGCACATTAATAACAGCTGCGACAACAGAACAGATCATATTACCACACACACAGCTCCACAGAGAAGCCAGCACAAACTGTTAGAAGCCTAATCAGTGCTTCTCTATGCTGGAACTGAATGCTGATCTCTCAAGTGGGCAACGAGTAACTTAACCATTAGGCTATACAGCCAATTACAAAACACACATGTGCACAGCTCAAACACTCCTCCATCCTGAAACTACACGTCTATGAAAACACATCAAACACTAGGATTGTTCTCACATGAAGGACTGTGTTAAGTGTGCGAGGCAGTGAAAGCTACTGTCAAAACAAACATATTTAATAATTAAACAAAATTAATTTTTAATATGTAGGAAAAAATAAAACACAAAATATAAAATGCCTCATAAGCCATATTTTGTGTTTTAGTTTTTCCCCAATACATTAAATTCAACAAATAAACAGTAATTGTGTATCAAAATGTGCAGAAGTGTGTTCTCTGTAGAGGACGTGTAATTTATTTTCATAATAAATAATAAAACGTAATTTGACCCAAAGGCACCCAAAATTTTGCCTCCATCCTGAACTACACGCCTGTTAAAACACATCAAACATTAGGATTGTTCTCACATCCAGGACTGTGTGCGAGGCAGTGAAGGCTACTGTCAAAACAAACATATTTAATAATTAAACAAAATTAAATATATAAAAACAAAATATCTGTGTGCCCATAGAAAAAATAAACATTATTTATTTGTTTTTGTGTCTTTATAGAAAAAGCTGCCTTTCAGTGCCCCCCCAAAAAAGCTCGCTGTTCTGATGTAAGCAGCTGTTAGTATTTCATTTTGCTATTTGCTTAAATGAGAAGTTAGTTAGATTTATGTTTACACACAAAAAAATAAAAATCTGCATCACGTCCAGAAATTGGCACACTATTTTAATTTGTCACTACTCACATCGTCATGATTGAACATCAGCATTTTATGTCTATCATACAGCCCAACTACAGAACCTCGCAAAACTTTGCAGAACGTAGCTTTAATGTTTCCCTGGTAAAGTTTGAAAAAAAAATAATAAATAAAATAAAAAAAATAAAAAAAACTAAGATGCAGCTTTCCTCACCTGCTGGCCGCTGATGGTTGCCACGGGTATCCCAGAAGCCTGTGGCATGGCACTGTCCATGGTAACCGTGATGTGGCTGGGCACTTTGTGTGACACAGCGAGATGCCCCTGAGCTGAAACTGGGGCGGGGGCAATTACACGGCTAGGCATAGGAGTCTTCAGAGTAGACTGCAAAACAGAGAAAGACCATTTACGCCCAGTGTTTACACTGATTTTACACATTTTTAAATACAAAAGAGGGGTATACACTGGGGCAAGTTTCATCGACCGGTCAAGACGTCCATCACTCACTTTCAGAAACACACACATGCTTAGTTACTGAATAATTCATAGGTGTTCTGCAGCAATTGAAGTAAATTAAGCTTTGAAAGTTGATGCAATCAATTTCTACAGGAGTCCCAACTTTTGTTCGTTAATCCTCTGTGTGTATAGAAGATAAGGTAACAGAAAGAGGCTGTCCTGGGAAGCCTAATGAGTGCTTCTCTATGCTGGAACTGAACGCTGCTCTCTCAAGTGGGCAATGAGTAACTTAACCATTAGGCTATACAGCCAATTACAACACACACATGTGCTCAGGCCAAAATTTGAAATTTTGGTTCATCATACAAGGTTTTTGTTTGGCGATGAGTGGGCGAAAGGATGGTTCCTCACCAACTGTCAAACATGGAGATGACATGATGGTCTGGGGCTCTTTTGCTGGATCCAGAGTAAATTGTGTTGTTCTAAAATTTTTGACCGGTAGTGCTGTTACTGAGTAATTCATAGCAGTTACCAAAGAATTCATAGCAAATACAGAAAAATTAACAGAAGTTTCCAAATATTTCATAGTAATTGCTGAATAATAAGCCTTGTTTCCATGTCATTAAACAAACTGACTAAACAGAGTAAGGCCCAATCCCATTTCACCCCTCGCCCCTACCACTTAGCCCTACCCCTCTGTTTTGCGAGTTCAAGTCTAAGGGTAGGGTGTCCCGATTCTTGTTCAGATAGAGGGGTAGGGTGAAGTGTTGGGGCTACATGACCCTCCAAACAGAGGTTTTTCCAGAGACTCCAAACAGAGAGTTATGAGAAAAAAAGAAAGAATGGCAAGACGGCTGAAAAAACAACAAAGAAACCCACAAATGTGAGAATTTTCTCTGTTAAAAAATTACGATAAAACATTGAATTCTCTTTGTTTAATGTCGTTTTAATGCATCATGGTCGTTTTATTCATTATAAGCATAAAAAAATGATAAATAGTAGCTGAAGTCTCGGTAGCCGGCTACCTAATTTTCCCATTCCACCTTAAATGGTGCAGGAGTTCTGATGCTCGAGGCGCCAGACTGTAACTGCTGCCTCATTTAAGGTGGAACGGGCAAATTCAAACAAGAAGCTGGTGACTTCAGCTTATATCACTGAAGAATTAGGTGTGGGCAATAATAAATAACAGTGCCCCCCCCCCTTTAAAGACATATGATTCCCAATTTAACTGAAGTGAGGTTGCAGCAAGCCTGTTAATGAAGTAATGCTCTATTTGAGGGTCGTCCCACTTCGTAGGGGAAGATTTCAACCACTACCCCTTGTAACTCAGTCCCAGAGGGCAAGGTGGCACTCGAAAACAAGGGGTAGGGGTAAAAATAAGAAATAGGATTGGGTCCAAATCATCAGCTGCCAATTTAAGACTAAGCTCTTCACTCCCAGTCATTAAAAATCACAGCACTACAAAAAGTACAGACAGAATCCAGGCAACCTATAGCTGTTAGTAGTATTTCAGTAGTGCAACATATTTACAGAAGCTTCCATTACCTGTGAGCTACGTTACTGTTGTACTTCAAGCGCATAAAAAAGAACTTCAGGCACCAAACAGGTCTTTGTTGATCGACTACATTTGACTGCATAAATGAGTCCGATTCCTCAGCAGAAACTCTACAAACATGAAAATCATACTCTTTGCACCTCACACTGATGGCTGTACCTTTCCTGGCCCCTCAGTGAAAGCGAGTGGAACGCCCTGGGGCAGGTGGGCGGAGGTGTTGGAGGTGGTTGGAGCGGAGGCAGTAGCTCCAGGCTGCAGAGCGAGGTGCTGGGCCAGCTGGGGCGCCGCGGTAGACGCTGATCCGTGAACCTGGGGCTGAGGGTACGGCCGGACCACCACCGTCTCCTGCTTATCATCTCTGAGGGCGGCTGCTGCACTGGAGCTTGGAGCGTGGTCAACATCACGGCTGCTTTCGTCATGGCCTCCTGTGGAAAAGCAGCATTTGCTCAGTGACTGGAGCATCAATTTAGGCTCATATAAATAAAAATATCCAAGATTAGGATTCTGAGAAGTCTGATGTCTGATTAGACACAGTGGTCCTTATTCATTAAAGCTGGTCAAATCTGACCACACAAATGAGCAAATTTCACAGTTTTTTCAGTTTCATCATTGCTGAAGCTGAACGAACTCACGTCTGGAAAAGTGAGTGTGATATTTTAACAGCCTAAACACCGGATATGCTGTTAAATAAGCAAACTTATTGTCAATAACATCAATAATGTCAGCAGTAACAGTTCGAACAAACAATAACAATGATAATACTCTTCATTTTGCACTGAGCAAAGTTGTACACCTTGTACAAAATTGGATGTACGTCCTTTTTACGCGCACACTGACAAAATAAATTCTTCGGTTATATGTTCTGTGTAAAGACATTAGCTTTATGGTACTAATAAAGTAAAAAACTTCCTGCCTAAAATACAAATGATAGCTTACCTACTACAGGAGGAGATCGTATACTGAAATATTATCAATCAATCGGCCCATGTTTTATGAAAAGGATCACACTACACAACTACCTCACCTTCCTGTCTGACAAAAGCTACATTTTGTTTACGTTCGGGGGCGAAATGGGAAAAAAAACAGCATATCACAATTCTTTGAGGCATTTTCACAACACGCAATACAAATTATGATATTCTGACACACAAAATGCGCTAGTAGTGTCACTCAGACTCACACAACAACTTTTAACATATAACAATATACATTCATATACTGCTCTGCCCTGAATCCGATCAATCAGGATTAATTATGTTGTTTTTGTGACGAAATATGCAGCTGCTCAGTGTTTAAGTACTGATACACACAACATTCTCAGAAAAAGCAGATAGTTTATAATAACAATTTATCACAATAACGATAACATATCATTACACTGCCCAGCCCTGGTGCATTTCACATTTTATTGTTTTCAGTCGTTCTAATTTTAACACTATAAAGCTATTTAAGCTCTGGTCAGTAGGGGGAGCAGTGCACCTCCTGCTCCCCCCCGAACTCCACCAATGAGGACAACCACTGGTTCATGAGCTGCTGAATACTTTTCTTTAATTGCCTCACTACTAAAACATCCACTAATTAGGGCGTATAAGGGCACAGTGGGGCGTGTCTGCTGTAAATGATTTGTAAATAAGGTGCTCGTTCTAGTGCTAATTACGAACACGCAATTCACGTTAATCACTTTCACACAAAAACAACTAACAGTGAGTTAGTCTCAAAGTGAACGGTAAATGTTGCACTAAATAAATGTCCAAATCAGGATAAAAACTTAAAAGGACTTAAGAGAAAAACTGTATTTACTACATGATATAAGCTTTGACATAATATCAATTACACATTTGATTGTTATAATATGATATAACTGCATAATAAGCCACACCTGTGTCTAACATTTTGTACTTATTTGTATTCCATGCATACCTAGCCAATAAAGTGATTCGGCTACTGACAAGTGCCACTCACCCGTATTAGTCTGCTTTCCTTGGACCGCTGTCGCGTTTCCGCCGGGCGTCTGTGCTTGGGCCAGTCCAGCGGGCAGTCCTGCTCGAGGATACTGCTGCTGAGAACTCATCTTCTACCACTATCAGGTCCTGAACACACAACGTCAGCAACATCAGATAAATTCAATTCATTAAAGTTCACTTTACAAAGTCGGGAAAACAAAATAACACGATAAACAAGAGCAAGAGCTGCACTACACGTCCAAAAGTCAATACACTCCTCCAGCGTTTCTTCTGAAACGAAGGGTATTTATAGGGAGTTTGTCCTCCTTTGCTGCAGTAACAGCCTCGACTCTTCTGGGAAGGCTTTACACTAGATGTTGGAACGTTGCTGTGAGGATTTGATTGCATTCAGCCACGAGAGCATTAGTGAGGACAGGTGCGGTCATGTGCAATACTGTAGTGTCCCATTTTATTGGTCAGTGCACTTCTACGGAGGTTAAAATGAGCACTGAATTAAGTATTGATTGTAATGTACTGTACTGCACTTATGTATTGTATTGTATTGTATTGCACTGCTCTGTGTCTAACTCTGTTCCTTTTTCTCTAGGTGTCAATAATGACTTCCTGTTTCTAGCAGTATCTGAGCTCAGGACTGGCTTTCTCTCTAACCTGTTGGTAACTAGCAAATATACTTTCTCTGGATAGACAAAGCACTTTTTGTAAGTCGCTCTGGATAAGAGCATCTGCTAAATGCTGTAAATGTAAACGGTTCAGATGTCTTTACAGTGGTGGTGATAGGAACCAGGGGTCACCATGACTACAACACAAATATAGACATTTTATTTACTATCCAGAACCACCAGTGAACCCACACGAGTCTTCTGAGTGTTTATATGTAATGCATCCATGTTGCCTCAAAACACCCTGCATGTACCCCACCGCCACGCAGGGATTAAAAAAAAAAGGATTGAAATACATTTTTAGCCCATAAAAAACAGTGTCTCAGTCATCAGGCAGTGAATTCATAACTATTTCATGAAAAAAACAGCATATCACAATTCTTTGAGGCATTTTCACAACAAGCAATACAAATTATGATATTCTGTCACACAAAATGCGCTAGTAGTGTCACTCAGACTCACACAACGACTTTTAACATATAACAATATACATTCATATACTGCTCTGCCCTGAATCCGATCAATCAGGATTAATTATGTTGTTTTTGTAACGAAATATGCAGCTGCTCAGTGTTTAAGTACTGATACCCACAACATTCTCAGAAAAAGCAGATAGTTTATAATAACAATTTATCACAATAACGATAACATATCATTACACTGCCCAGCCCTGGTGCATTTCACATTTTATTGTTTTCAGTCGTTCTAATTTTAACACTATAAAGCTATTTAAGCTCTGGTCAGTAGGGGGAGCAGTGCATTAAATTCATTAAAGTTCACTTTACAAAGTCGGGAAAACAAAATAACCCGATAAACAAGAGCAAGAGCTGCACTACACGTCCAAAAGTCAATACACTCCTCCAGCGTTTCTTCTGAAACGAAGGGTATTTATAGGGAGTTTGTCCTCCTTTGATGCAGTAACAGCCTCGACTCTTCTGGGAAGGCTTTATACTAGATGTTGGAACGGTGCTGTGAGGATTTGATTGCATTCAGCTACGAGAGCATTAGTGAAGACAAGCTGTATGTGTGCAACTGAACTCCAGTGTCAGCAATAGGCGCACTTTAAAGTATTTCAATTGGCTAATTACACGAGAGTCTGAATACCTTTGGTCACACAGAGCGCAAAGTAAGAGACAAACCAGCATTCAAATCTGAACAGCACAGATAGACTCTCAACAAAGGGATCTGGGCAGCAGAGCCACCGGACACGGTCAGAAATGATTACAAGCAACACAGAAACCAGCCTGTTGCTGTATGGTCACCATCACTGCAATGCACAACTAGACATTCATTAAAGCTTAAACTAAAGTGTTTTCTCTAATTGTGGCTGTTCAAAACACAACAAAACTGGTTAAACGAGCCTAAAGGTGGCTTCCTATTCAAATGTATGATCCGCCTTAAATGGTGCAGCAGTTACAATATGATAGAGCAGTTAAGCAGCAATTAAACTGCTGCACCATTTAAGGTGGACCTGAACAGTCAAGTACGAAGCTAGTTAAAATCAGAAACAGTGTCAGACAGCAGGAAAAAAACATTTCGGCAGGAGAATACATGAGGGAAAAAGGGCAGGAGAGAATTTGTACGGGGACCTAGAACAAATTGATTAAAGGGGAACTCCACCAATGTTTCTGAATTTCTGAATAATTGAGTGTGTGAGATGTAAACAGTCATTCAGAGTGGTTTGGTGTGAAACACACTGAAGACACATCTCTTTATACAGCACTTAAATGAGCACTGAATTAAGTATTGATTGTAATGTACTGTACTGCACTTATGTATTGTATTGTATTGCACTGCTCTGTGTCTAACTCTGTTCCTTTTTCTCTAGGTGTTAATAATGACTTCCTGTTTCTAGCAGTATCTGAGCTCAGGACTGGCTTTCTCTCTAACCTGTTGGTAACCAGCAAAGATACTTTCTCTGGATAGACAAAGCACTTTTTGTAAGTCGCTCTGGATAAGAGCATCTGCTAAATGCTGTAAATGTAAATGGTTCAGATCTCATTACAGTGGTGGTGATAGGAACCAGGGGGGACCATGACTACAACACAAATATAGACATTTTATTTACTATCCAGAACCACCAATGAACCTACACGAGCCTTCTGAGCTTTATATGTGATGCTGATTTTTATTGTAAAATAGTAATAAATCTGAAGTGCTTTGGGGTCCATCCATGTTGCCTCAAAACACCCTGCATGTACCCCACCGCCACGCAGGGATTAAAAAAAGGATTAAAATACATTTTTAGCCTATAAAACAGTGTCTCAGTCATCAGGCAGTGAATTCATAACCATTTCATGTAGTAACTCTCTGTGAGGGAACTTTTAGAGGTGGACGTCTGGTTCCTATCACCACCACTGTGAACAGTTCTGACTCTGTACGTTTATCTAGAACAGAGCGTTTCACACCAAACCACTCTGAATGACTCTGTTTACATCTTAACCATTTAATTATGCAGAAATTTTGAAAAATCGACGGGGCTCCCCTTTAAGACTGCAGTCTCTTCTGTGGGAACCGTTGCTAGAAGCTTTAGCCAGCGTTAGCAACAAAAGCAGGCAAAATGACCGAGGACAAAATATCAGGTAAATAAGAAACGCCGGGCTGTTTTTAATCGAAGGTTTACAGTTAAACGTAAGTTTATTTCTGCCTTAGTGAGAAAAAGCAAAGCAGTCGTCTGTTAGCCAGTTAGCCAAGTTTGCTAATTACCCCAAAACCAAAAGGGGCTATTCTGTTTTTGGCCAAACACAAACTCACTCAGCTAATCTAGCTACATAAAATAAAAGCCAGCGGTTTGGCTCTGTGATCTAATGTAACTATAAAAACAAACAAATTCGGTTTTAACACATCTGGAAAAACCTGTGAGCTAACAGCTAGCAGCCTAGCCCAGCTACACCCGCAATCGCTGCAATTCAGCTGCGGATAACGAATTTTCCCGTTCCACCTTAAATAGCGCAGTTACAGCGTTACGCCTCATGCGCCAGAACGTGGCTGCTGCACCATTTAAGGTGGAACGGGTGAATTCGAACGAGACGCTGGCGAATAGGAAGCCGACTTCAGCCTCGCCCGCGGTTAACGGAAAACTGTCCCCGCGAATGTGGAGGCACTCGGTAGCTGGGTGTATTTAACGGCTCTGCCGACCCGTCCGGATGGATTTAGTTCAGTTATTTAAGCCGGAAAGTGGCGATTTAACCCACCTCGGACGCGCTGCCCAAACTCTCCATCCGTTTTGTGTCCCGGCAAAGTGACCAACTCCAGTTGGGGGGAGGGGCGATGTGAACGAGGCGTCAGTCAGCAGCTTCACATTTCAAAATAAAAGTGTCGGAGTGGGAGTGGACGCTGAAGACTTAAAGGGGAAGTCCATCGATTTTCAAAATTTTCAAACGTTCCACATGATTTGTATGGCATTTGGCAGACGCTCTTATCCAGAGCGACTTACAATTTGATCATTTTACACAGGTAGGCGAAGGTAGTGCTAGCCCAAGGACTCTTATTGGTATAGTGTATACACTATATAGTATATAATTTTGTACTAGGTGATGATTCTTATGTAACTACGGAGCCCCGTTGGTGACATCCCGTGTAAATAAAAATAACGCGTGGCCACGCCTTATGAACGCGTGGGAACGAGATCCTAATGCATGGCCACGACTTAGTAAGGTGTGGGAACGAGACGATTAAGTCATGGCCATGACTTAGTAAGGCGAGGGAGCGAGATCACGCCTTACTAAGTCATGACCATGCATTAGGATCTCGTTCCCACGCCTTACTACGTGGTGGCCACAGTAGGATCTTGTTGCCAGGCTTTACTAAGTCGTGGCCACGCCTTAATCATCTCTTTCCCACGCCTTACTAAGTCGTGGCCACGCGTTATTTTAATTTATACAGGATGTCACCAGCGGGGCTCTGTATGTAACTCGTAATTCACAAAAAAATAAATAAATAAAAATTTCAATGGCAGCCTCAACAGCTTCCAAAGAGACTATTTAAAGGGTTGGTTTACATTTATCTTCATCTTGGCTTTGCTATTTCTTAGATATTCTCATTTTTGAGAGGTTTAATTTAATGTAATATTTCTTTTAAATTTCATTGCTTGATTGCTGGTCTATAAGCATGATGCGCATACTATTATAACACCACCCCCACCCCCCACCAATATCTGTCAGTTTTCAGTGTTGCATTTAAAGTGTGTCTGTGTGTTATCAAAAACAAATAAATATTCATTGACAAAAAAAAGTTTCACATAATTAAATGGTTAAGATGTAAACAGAGTCGTTCAGAGTGGTTTGGTGCGAAATGCTCCAACTACAGAGTCAGAACTGTTCACAGTGGTGGTGATAGGAACCAGACGTCCACCTCTAAAAGCTCCCTCACAGAAAGTTACTACATGAAATGGTTATGAATTCACTGCCTGATGACTGAGACGCTGTTTATCAGAGTTCAGTGATAAAGTTTTAGCCTAAAACATTTTGTTAATCCATTTATTTTAATCCATTGATGGTGGAGGGATACATGCAGGGCGTTGTGAGGCAAAATAGCCCCCCAAAAAAACACATTTTTCCAGATTTATCACTGTTTTCCCATCATCAACATTCATTATAAACTCAGAAGACTCGTGTAGGTTCACTGGTGGTTCTGGATAGTAAATAAAATGTCTATATCTGTGTTGTAGTCATGGCGCTCCCTGGTTCCTATCACCACCACTGTAAAGACATCTGAACCATTTCACACCAAACCACTCTGAATCACTCTGTTTGCATCTCACACACTCAATTATGCCGAAAAATTAGAAAAAGTGATGTAATTTCCCCTTCACAGTTTTCTCTCTCACTGCAAATATAGCGAAACAGTCAAGACAAGTTTGGTGTCTGATGTTTGCTTCTTTGGTTTTGTATTGGAACTACAAGACTAATGTCACTAAATAATAGATAATTTCAGGTAATGTGTGTAAATTAGTTTTTTATGGCTGAACTTTCACTTTTATGTTGGTATTTCATCGCCATCACTGCAGTGATATGGTTTTATAGCAGTGATTCTCAATATGGCTCCATACTGTAAATTTTATTTTTTTTTTTACCCATTTAAAAACAACACACAACATAATTCCCAGGGAATTCCTAAAATTAAATTAAAATGGTCCATTACAGGGGCTTTAACTCAGGAAATATCCTTAGTTAAAGGATGCACTGCAGTGTTTTCCACCTCCGGCCCTGTAGTCTAACTGCTCTAAATGGACTTGCCCATTAGTTAATAGTGCTTTAGTGCTTATCTGAGGTAATGTATCGGTTTTTATTGCAACCTAAAGTTGTGGTTTTCAGATTTGGTGGTCCTGATTACTCAATTTGCTACTTATTACTAAATGGATTAGACTACTTGATTGCTAATCTATGGAGACAGCCCTAATCTGATCTCAGTGGCCCAATGACTCAACACACTATATATTCAGCCTGACTGCACATTCAACATGCTGGAAACATGGAGGTTTGCTTCTTTGGTTTTGTCCTGGAGCTGTGAGGCTAATATTGCTAACAAGTAATGATTACAGGTTAGCCTCCAGTACAAAACTAAAGAAGCATTCTTTAAGCATTCAGACATTAAAGGGAGAAACCCATAGTCCATTTTTTATTTCTGCATAATTAAATGGTTAAGATGTAAACAGAGTCATTCAGGGTGGTTTGGTGTGAAACGCTCTGTTCTAGAGAAACTTACAGTCAGAACTGTTCACAGTGGTGGTGATAGGAACCAGACGTCCACCTCTAAAAGCTCCCTCACGGAAAGTTATTATATGAATGAAGTTATTATATACGCTTATGAATTCACTGCCTGATGACTGAGACATTATTTTATTTTGGCCTAAAACATATTTTTAAATCCATTCATGGTGGAGGGATACATGCAGGGTGTTGTGAGGCAAAATAGTCCTCAAAGAAAACTTATTTTTCCACTATGTTACCATCATCATTCCATATAAACTCAGAAGACTCGTGTAGGTTCACTGGTGGTTCTGGATAGTAAATAAAATGTCTATATTTGTTAGTCATGGCGACCCCTGGTTCCTATCACCACCACTGTAGAGACATCTGAGTCTCTGCAATCAACCATTTCACACCAAACTGCTCTGAATAACACATTTTATTAGTTAATTCTCACAAAATATGTTTTTTGGGCACTATTTTGAATTTAACCCTCTGCCAGGAATGAATTAAAAAATAAGTTTTAGGCCAGAATCTTCTCAAACCTATCATAAAACAGTGTCTCAGACATCAGGCAGTGAATTCATAACCATATCATGTAATAACTTTCTGTGAGGGAGCTTTTAGAGGTGGACGTCTGGTTCCTATCACCACCACTGTGAACAGTTCTGACTCTGTAGTTTCTCTAGAACAGAGCGTTTCACACCAAACCACTCTGAATGACTCTGTTTACATCTTAACCATTTAATTATGCAGCAACATTTAAATATCAGTGGAATTTAAGCTTTAGACTCTAATTTGAGGTGTGTCTTCACTGTGATTCTGAATTAGGGCTGTCATGGTTAAATGTGAGCTCACAATTTAAAAAAATATTCAGTGTGTATGATGATGTGTATTTTAGCCTCTTATTGCTCTCTCTCCTGCAGTCAGATACAGATCCTGATGGACATAAACACTTGTCACATAGTGTTTGCACTTATTTTTAGTCTTTTTAAAGGCTTTGTAGTTTTTTTTCCTTTGGTAAAGTATTTCAGTATTTTAATACAACTCTATGTCACACTGACAATAAACATGGAGCCATTTTACAGGGAAACCTTTAATGTTCGGTGAGCTGTTGTTGCTGATTTGTTCAATTTTATGGCTGTATTTTACATCATAAGAGCGCAAATTAATTTCATCACTGGTCCTCTGGTACTGGTCTTCTTCCTTGTTTTTCTTGCTCCAGCTGGCTGTAGAATTGTCTGATCCGTAATATTACATTTAACATTTATAACATTTATGTTATTGATATTTACATATATGTTATAATTTATCACATTTCTTGTTTAGTGGCAAGTTTAATTATCTACCTAAAGTGAGTGTAAAAGCTTCTATGCAAATCAAGTCATTTTTACTTGACATGCCAAAATACGCACATGCAAAAGTTTGAACACCCCTAGTTAAATGACATCTTTAGCTGCTTTCAAGTGAACATAAACTAGCACATCCTTTTCAAACGTAATCATGACATTTTCATATCTTACTGCACATTTTCCAATTATTTGAATAGAACATATCAGAAAAAAATTAAACATAAAATACAAAATGTGCCGTAACTTTTGCACAGGGTACGTTTTATGTTCTAATTTCTTCCAGATATGTTAAATTCAGCAAATAAACAGTGGTTGTGTAGTAAAATGTGCAGAAGCGTGTTCTCTGTAAAGGGTGTGTAAACTTATTCACACACAGAAAACCAATGTCGTTCGACTAGGGGCGCACAAACTTTTGCACAGGGTACGTTCAATGTTCTAATCTCTTCCAGATACGTTGAATTCAGCAAATAAACAGTAGTTGTGTAGTAAAACGTGCAGAAGCGTGTTCCCTGTAAGGGGCGTGTAAACTTATTCACACACAGAAAATCAATGTCGTTCGACTAGGGGTGCACAAACTTTTGCATATGCGTTAAAATATGCGGATGGAAACCCAGCAAATGATGTGAAACACTGCTTTAAAGCTATCGGATGTGCTAATAGCGCCCCCTTGTGGAGAATCTCAAGCCTGGTTTGTTTCAGCCTGAAAAATCGTCAAAATAATAGTCGGATTAATTGATTACTGACATAATCAATGTAAACTGAATGTGAGGATGTACTGATTGTTCTTTTCTGGGGTGGTTCAGCATAAATTCAGCACAGCGGGTTCCTGACTGGACGAATCATCAGACGAGTCCTTGTTTTTACAGGTTTATCATGCATACAGTCTCCATATTGTTCAATGCAGCTACCTGTATTGAGCTTCCAGGTACATCAGCATCGTCCTCACAAAACACCTTTGGAAGCAGCGTTTACTTTTTCGTCTCTATACAGTACGTTTAGAACCAAAGGACTGACGGACAACACAGAGGAAAACATGTCAAGCAAATCTGCTTCCTAGAAAGCAGCTTCCTCAGACAACACGTACCCGACACAAACACATCAGCACTGGTAATAATACTTCAGGGTGACAGCAGACTTTTGTCCAATTACACCATTGGAGAGCAAAAAAAGAAAGGACCCCCACCCCCCACAATCCCCCCAAAACAAACAAACAAACAAACAAAAACTCTACCTGCATATTCTAGTGATTGAATAATTAACAACGTGACTTAAAAATAGGCTTTTAAAAACATTGACAAAAATCTATACATTTTTGCAAGTCAATATGTTAAAAAAAAATCATAAATATAGTTATTTGACAAAGTACAAAGCACTGAAGTGACCAAAGTGCAAAGTTATATAAATAAACAGGAAAAAAAAACAAAATGAAACAAAAACTTGTTGCTGAACATCCATCAGAAACATAAGATGATGAATGACGCTGTAGAATAGACACTCATAAGGGATCAATCTCTCAGCATATCCTGCACACGGCGGCTCGGTCGAGCCCAGTTCACAGGAAAAAAGGGGATTCGGTTTAGTACTTCAACTTCAGCCGCTTCAGCACGGACAGCTAACACTGGAATAATGCTAAGTGAGAGATTCACAGACAGTATTTAGTAAAAACATGATATTTTGAGAAGGCACTACAAAGGCGGATAGCTTTCCCTACATTAGACGGAATCCGTTACCAAAGCTTGAGGACGTGAACTCTTATTTTCTACAAAGCTAAAAAGCTTTGCGGCGAAACGTTTCTCTCTTAAAGCAAAACCTCACCTAAAAATGCTAATGCATATAGAAATTAATAAAAGCTAGGAGGGATGGGCGTTTTAGCCATTTTTGCTACTCGAATATCCACAAAGGGCCCATGTTTTAAAGGAATTTGTGTGGGTTTATGTACCACAAACAATCAAAAAAGTCATTTCCAATCTCTCTTTAATCAGGCTGTTTTTGTTACTTAAGCAGTAGAACATGAGAGGGAGTGTGTTATCGCGAAATAACATCACGGCTGTGATTTGGTCACCGTAGATCATCACAGCCGTGATGTTATTGGCGATAACACACTCCTCGAGTGTTCTATTGCTTTTATACAACAGTTAAATAAATACAGTAATAAATTAATAAACTGGGCCGTGAACGCGGCGTTTAATATGTTTTAATCTTCGCAGTTCCTTCACCAAATTATAGTTCCTTAACGAGCAGCTTGTTGCTACGTCAGAGTAACGAGCTCCGCCCACTCGCTGCACAGCCGGCAGTTCGTTCTACAGCTCCTCACACTAAATTCCCAAACTGTCATCACCACTGAGCAGCTTTTCAGTCGGCAGCTGCGACAGAAGAGCAGCTAAACAACCTGGAATCAGCCAGAAATGAACCCAACACCATTCGCCAAACTAAACGGGCTGTAAGATGCTTTACAGACTGGCTGGACAAAACAACATTAATACTGATCTGGCAAAAACTGACAAAACTGAGCTGAACTTGATATTGCGGTAGTTTTATGGCTCAGTCTGATTTGGTCAGACTCTGAAGATCAGACTACACGTCTGGCGAATGGTGTTGGGTTCATTTCTGGCTGATTCCAGGTTGTTCAGCTGTTCTTCTGTCTCAGCTGCCGACTGAAAAGCTGCTCAGTGGTGATGACAGTTTGGGAATTTAGTGTCGTCTCATCTTCAGAGTCTGACCAAATCGGCTGTCGGTCAAATGTGATCTTAAAAGTTTCCATTTTCTGTTTGTGGCAAAGTAAGAGGTAAAACCGTTCAAATGTCTTGAGCGTCTCCTACAGCTGTCAGAGTCGTTGCTTAGCAGCGGCGTCTCAGCGGAGTGATACAGTGTTCGTGAAAAAACGGGCTGTTATGGTGAAATAACAGCACAGTTAGAACGCCTCTCAACCAATCAGCTTGCATGGCTGGAACTAACTTGTATAATGTGCCTTTAAGCTGTGTTCTGATTGGCTGTGCCTCATTCAAAAAGCAGTCTGGGCTGAAACACTCCTTATAACTTCAGTGTGTGTGGGCAGAGCTCAACTGCTGTAGGCCGAATAGGCAGATGTATGTAAATATGTTCAGTTTTTGTGACATCACAAAAACAATTCATTCAAATTAGGCTTTTTCACAGCTTAGTTTACACGTATGGACTGAGAAGTGAACGGTTTTGAGACTTTTAACAATGTTTACATACTACATTGAACTCTTTTACATCAAAAAAGTGTGTAAAATGTGGTTTTAATTGACATGGGCCCTTTATACGAATAGGATTCAAATAACCCAATGATAAAATATGAAAAAAAAAAACGAAATATGGAGGGTTTGATATACATTTGTGCATGCAGCTAGTATAAGAGGTGATCAGTACCTTATCTGAATACCCAGTTAAAGGAATTTCTGCATAATTAAATGGTTAAGATGTAAAGAAAGCCATTCAGAGTGATCTGATGTGAAACGTTCACAGTGGCGGTGATAGGAACCAGACGTCTTAAGGAGTTTAATGCTTCTAAAAGCTCCCTTACAGAAAGCTATTACATGAATGATGTCTGAGACGTTGTTTTATGATGGTTTTGAGACGGTTTTGGTCTAAAACATATGTTTTAAAACACACTAATGGTGCCGAGGAACATGTAAGCTCTTTAAAGGTAAAATAAATACTTAATATTACTTAAATTTTTTTTTTATTACTTAAGTTTTACTTAAAATAAAACTTTTTCTTATTTTACTATTATCAACATCCCATGAAAAGCTCAGAAGACTCGTGTAGGTTCACTGGTGGTTTTGGATAGTAAATAAAATGTCTGTATTTGTGTTGTAGTCATGGCAACATCTGGTTCCTATCACCACCACTGTAAAGACATCTGAGTCTCTACAATGAATCTCTGAACAATTTCACATCAAAACATCAGTTTACATTTTTATGACTGAATTATCCTGAAATTTTGGGAAATCTGTGGAAATCTTATTTTAGGTAAATGAATACTAAGATGAGTTCACATAACTGCATGTTTAAATGACCACACCCATCCCTAAGGCTGCAAGCCTCACTGCTCAAATCCGATTTTTTGCTCAAATCCGATCTCTCTGACACGATGGCTCTCACTCGTTTAGGTAAGTGATTCAAATCTGTGATTAATGTGAACCGGCGTCCTGAAATGACCCTCATGAGCTCATCCTACTCAGTAACGTCACGTGAATGAATCACGTTCATCATCAGCACAAACTAACGAGCAGAACGAGCTTTGGCTGCGAATATAACAAGCTCTGAACAGATCTCGGCTGCTCATTATTGGAGCAGGACAATGGTGAAAAAGGGTCAGATGTTCTGCTTTTCCATCGTTTACTGGCTTTAACTTCGGTTACGCCACGGTAACACTGAAAGACGGCGCATACACAGTGAAAAAAATCATCTTAACAAGTGAAAACGTCTTAAATGTAGCCAATAAATCTAATATCTCTCATTATGAGACTGTTGTAAGAATATTATAAGATTATTCCACCTGTTTCTGTACATTTTTACTTGTTTTAAGTGATTTTATCTGGTGAAAGTGTCTTATTCCATTGGCAGATTAGTTTACTTGTTTGGAGAAATAATGAAGATAATTTAGCTCATTAATAATAATGCTTGAAACAAGTAACATGATCTGCCAATGAAATAAGACACTTTTATAAGATAAAACTGCTTAAAAACGAGTAAAAATGTCTAGAAATAAGTTAAATAATCTCACAATATTCTTACGAAAGACTCATAATGAGAAATATTAGATTTATTGACTACATTTAAGATGTTTACACTCACTCAGACATCGTTTCTTCTTTTTGCAGTGAATTTGTATCTGAGCGTCTCATTAAGGTCGCATGGCCACAAACCGGATACGTATCCAATCTAGGACCACATATGAAAGCGGCTCAGTAGAATGTGGATCGGATCTGAGTCACAAAAAAATCGGATTTGAGCCACTTCAGCCCGGCCCACATTATCTTTCAGTCCACATTAGCATTTTTAGATGAAACACGCCTTTAAGGCTGATACATGGCCGTCTCGCTCCACATCACCACGCTGAGCAGGGCTTTTAAGCTAAAAGGGGGAAAAGAGATGTGAGGGCAAATACAGTTGCAGTTCAGTTCAGTGAGAAACCTTTGCACAAAGCCCTTGGAGACACAAGCAAGTTATCCATGCCATCAGTGTTACGGCTCTGGCACAAACGGGTCTTTGTATTGTAACTAACTATTAATAACAAACCGGTATACAGTTGCGATGCCTATGGCGAAGTCACGTCCGTTCTGGACAGCATTGTGCCGACAGCTTCTTTAGGTTTAGTGCAAAAACGAAGTGTTGCCTTCATTTGATCGACCCTGAACTCCACCCCAGCCCTCTTGTTCGTTATCTTTTACAGTATTATGTCGTCTTCTTTTTTTTACTCCTTGTGCATTTATATGCTGCTTTCAGTACCTGTCCATCTGCCTCTGTGTCTGCTTAGAGGCTTCTTTTTCGCCGAGTGAGGTGAGCGATGGATAAAAAGCTTCCCTGTGTCATGTGGAGGTGGCCTCCAGGTAGCTCTGAAGTTTACGCACAGTCGATTCGTCCAAGGAGAAAAGGTCAAAGTCAAAGGTGGTGTTGGTGACGTTGAAGTGGCCTGTCTTTTCGATGAGGTTTACTATCTGAAAATACAAATCAGAGAAGAGTCAGAACAGAAGAAATGGTTAAACAGAACACTGGATGTGATGGGAATCAGAACGTGGACGAGTGGCTCCGCCACCATAGTATGTATGTATTTAAGCCTTTATGTTCCTCTTGGTTAGCAGTGGTTTTGGCCTTGCAACTCTTTCATGGGTAGCATTTTGGCCCGGTCTCTTTCCAACGATGGAATCACAAACGCTGACCTTATCTGCAGCGAGCGAGGCCTGCAGCTCCTAATATGTTCGCCTTGGTTCTTTTGTGATGTCCTGGGTGAGTCGTCACTGCGATTCTGTGAAGATTTACCACTGTTCCAACGTTCCACGTTCTCTCCTTTTGGAGATAATGACTCTCACTGAGGTTCTCTGAGTCCCAAAAAAAGGTTTTTCGGACTGATATATTTCTGCTGGAAAGGATCTATTTAAGCGATGTCTAGACTCAACGGGGCTGGCAGTAAAAAGCCTGGGTGTGTCTGGTTTAATTGATCCCAATTATCAGCTAAATTTAGTCGACTGGTAACTAAAGGGGCAATTACTTTTTCACACAGGGCCAGTTTTCCTTTAGTAAACATCATGAAATGGTTCTTCATGTGCATGATTGTGCTGTAGATTGTTCTATATAGAACTAGAATAAATAAATTAGAGTAAGTTAATGAACTGGATAAATTGTGACCCTAACGTTTTTCAGGTGTAATATATCTGTGAACGTGGACGTTTCTGTAGACCCACATATGAAACAAAGTGGACTTTGAGGCACTAAAGAGAGACAGTGTTGAGTGCTCTGACCTGCTGTAAGATATTCCTCTCTCTCAGAGCCATCAGCCTGCGATGGAGATCCACCAGCTCCTCAGTATAAGCCTGGAATGACACAAGTGACCCTGAGCCATGACTGAAAACACACACTCTGCAGTACGAGCAGCCGAACGCCACCTTCTCAAAGTCCTGCTTATTTAAATATAGTTTGTTTTATTTACCCTTCCTACCTTGTCGTATCCCCTCTTGATCATCTTCTCTCTGGTGCAGGAATCTGGACTCTTCTTCCCCAGCATCTACGAAAGAAATGAACACAAAGCCTGTTCTTTAAAGGGGAATTCCATCAAATTTCTAAATTTCTGCGGAATTAATAATTGAGGTAACGTCATTCAGAGTGTGTGTGTGTAAAATGGTTGATTGCACACAGTCAACAAAAATGGTTCTTTAAGGGTTTTTTAATAAAGAAAATCGTTCTATATAGAACCTTAGCACTCATTTGCATGATTAAAGGGTTCTTTGCATCATGAAAGTGTTCTTCAGATTGATGGAGAATGTGCTGAAGATGGTTCTAAACAGAAAGGGTTCTATATAGCACCAAAAAGGGTTGACATCTTAAAAATAGAAGACCCCTTTTTGGTGCTACCTTTTAAAAAAGGTTCTATATAGATCCATATACAACACATTCTCAATCAGTCTGAAGAACCGTTTAATGATACAAAGAACCCTCTAACTGTGCAAAGGGTCCTTTCAGTGTTCACGGTTTTATATAGGCGTGTAGAGACTCAGATGTCTTTACAGTGGTGGTGATAGGAACCAGGGGTCGCCATGACTACAACACAAATATAGCCATTTTATTTACTATCCAGAACCACTAGTGAACCTACACGCGTCTTATTTGTTGATGATGGTAAAATAGTGCTAAATCTGTGAAAATAAGTTTTCTTCAGGAACTATTTTGGCCTCAGAACACCCTGCATGTATCCCTCCGCCATGAAAGTATTTTCAAAAAGATGGTTTAGGCCAAAACCTTCTTAAAACTATTGTAAAACTAAAACAATGTCTCAGATCTCTCTCATACTTCACTCTAACTTATGTCTTATTTTTTATTTCTGCCTTTTTATGTCTATTTTTTTTTATTTCTATCTTTTATTTGTGCCTAATATATGTAAGTTTATGTGTAATTATATGTTTTGCTACTGTAACACTGCAATTTCCCCTCAGGATCAATAAAGTTCATTCTTTCTTTCTTTCCTTGTCTCTATCTATCTATCTATCTATCTATCTATCTATCTATTTCACATCAAATCACTTTCAATGACTGTTAGATCTTAACCACTGAATTATGCAGAGACTGTTATCCTAAAAGCCTTCAATATAGACAGAATATGTACAGATATAATGTAATGTGTTCCAGTCTATTTCCTGCTCACATTTTTAATGTGTCCCAGCTCCAAACACGCCTCAACTAATCAATCAACAACAATGAATACCTGGTATATTTGTGCTGGGAGCTGAGAAAATGTAAACTGTTTTGGGGTCAGCAAGAACCAAACTGGAAAACACTGACTTAAAATATGATGATATGCTCTTCAAGACATTTACTTGACTCTGACTCTTAGGCTTCGTTCACACAGCAGGTAAAAGTGGCCCAAATCTGATTTTTTTGTTTGGCTGTTCAGATTATCTTTTAAATGTGATCTGTATGCGACATCAGTCTGAACAGATCAGCTCCTCAACTGACCCACATACAAAAGAACAGAGCGTCACGCTGCTTCACGGCTCATCCAGAGGTAAACAATCACGACTGCCAACGAGCGCCAGTCGCTCCCGGAGGATCAGCTTCATCTTCACCAGCATCACAGGAGCCATCATGAAGGTTCACTGACTGACAGCTGGGCTCATCACCCAGAATGTGTTCGAGCCGTAAAAAGGGCGCGGTCACTTCTTTGGTTCTCCTCGGATTCTTTAAACTTTGCTTTCAGACTTTTATCTGTTCTTTGACGCTGCAGCCTCGTTCTCCTGCGGCCGCGTTCGGCATTTCTTTCTAAATCTCTTCAAACTCGGAGGGTTTTGGATGAGTCTCTTCTAGTTTTTGGTACAGAAATATCACCCCAAACGTTTATGAGTCTCAGCAGCGTGAAATTAAGACGAACGTCGAGTTGGTTTGACGTAAAAGTCGCATGAATTCCGATCTGGCTGTTCAGACTGAGTCACACTGCTGCATATCAGATACGCATCGGATTTCAGTACCACATACTAAAGAGCTCGAATCGGAATTGAAAATGTCAGAATGGGACAGTCGTGGGTTGGAGGTTAGGGAACCAGCCTTGTGACCGGAAGGTGGCCGGTTCAATCCCCTCAGCTGACAGTCTATGACTGAAGTGCCCTTGAGTAACCCCCAACTGCTCCCTGGGTGCCGTGGATAGGGCTGCCCACCGCTCCGGGCAAGTGTGCTCACTGCCCCCTAGTGTGTATGTGGGTGTTTCACTGCACGGATGGGTTAAATGCAGAGGTCTAATCCCGATGTGTTCAGACACAGTTGGCTAAAAGGTTCATTTCAGAGTCAGTGTTTTTTGCTGGTCACACTGCCACACAGACACACATCTGAGTCACACATGTAGAAAACTGTAGGATTTGGGCCACTTTTACCTGCTGTGTGAACGCAGCCTTAGAGAAAGGTTAGCTCTCAGTGCTAATAATTATAAATTGTACCTTAAGGTTGACTGTGCTGAGTTTGTGGGGAGGGGAAGGGGCTTCCTGGCTGGGGGGACGAGGCTCCTCCACTCCATCACTCTCACTGTCCATGCTCAAGCTGAAAAGAAAGGTTTCATGTTTATATTACGATCTGTGCAAATCCAAACGGCTTCACGTATCCTGCCAAGTGCAGTGCAGAACACATACATAATGGAGATGTAAGCCTCTCACCTCACAGCGATTCAGTTCAGTTAAAGCAACGGTTCGACCGAAAAATCTAACTTACACAGTTTACACTTTCTGCAGACGTAGTCGACCTGCTGAGACATGCCTGGAGGTTAGCGCCAGAGCAACGAGGCTAACATTGCTAGCAAACACTAGAATTCAATGGACACCGGCCCAGTCCCATTTCTTATTTTTACCCCTACCCCTTGTTTTCGAGTGTCTTCTTGCCCCTTGGAACTGAGTTATAAGGGATAGTGGTTGAAATCTTCCCTCTGAAATGGGACCCTCAAATAAAAAGAGCATCACTTCATTAACAGCTACCAGCGCTGCTCTGTAGGCGACCCTGCCAGTCTGCAGTGACAGCAGAGGAGGGTGAAGTTCAGCTCCTCACTGCTGGGCTTTAGTTACATTTAGGGCATCATATGACTTCAAAGAGGGGGGCAATTATTTATTATCACCCACCCCTAATTCTTCAGTGATATGAAGCTGAAGTCAGATATTCACCAGCTTCTTGTTCGAATTTTCCGGTTCCACCTTAAATGGTGTGGCAATTACATTCTGGCACCTCAGGTGTCAGAACTGCTGGACTATTTAAGGTGGAATGGGAAATCTAGCTAACTAGCTACCGAGACATTAGCATATTACTAGTGATTTTTTATGCTTGTTATGAAAAAAAGGACCATAATACACTGAAACAACATTAAACTATGTAATTCAACGGTTACTGTAAATCTATTTTCTCACAACACTCTGTTTGGAGTCTCTGAAAAACCTCCGTTTGGAGGTCCATGTAGCCCCAACACTTCACCCAACCCCTCTATCTCAACAAAAACCTGCATCCGGGTCTTCATTACAGTCACGCAGACATGCTGATGTAGCTTAAGACACAGTATGATTTACTGTGAATTATATGAACAGCCACTTTAGAAACAGGGTCTTTATTCATTAACCCCCTCAGGACTCAGGAGTGGTGATCTAGAATCAGGATTTGAGACAATGACCGTCATAATTATGGAGGAATCTGATCCGAGATCTGTCCTGCTTTGTGAAGAGCAGCCCTGGTGTTGTCTGAAATGGCTGCCTGTAGCGGTTTTGTTTATTTTTATATTTCACAGTAAGTCACACTGCATCCTAAACCACATCGACAAGTACGCACAACCTTAATAAAGAGCTGGATGTGGTTAGAGAGGGTTGAGGGCATATGGGGATATATTTTTACAGAAGCTAGATATTTGAGTGACTACTGAGTTCTAGTGTTTGTTAGCAATGTCAGCCTTGTAGCTCAAGTTCTAAACTACAGAAGCAAAATCTGGACTTGGAACACGTCTTGGCTGATCGACTACGTCTGGAGTAAATGGAAAACTGAGTAATGTGGGTAAAGAACACTGACCAACTACATGTTTCACTATGAAATGAGCATAAAGAGGCCTGTTTAAATGGATTTAGTGCAGTTTGCAAAATATTACTAGTATAACAGCAAATTGTACTGTATTGGGAGATTTATTATTCTTCTTCTTCTTCTTATTATTATTATTATAGTATTTTTCATATGTGGCACTACAGGTTCTACTTTGTCTGTTCCAACTTCTTAAATCTCGGAAAAAAACTACATATTATAATGCATATCACTGTTGTCAGAACGAAACCTTCTATCTCCAAAATGGTGACTTTACAGAAGAAGGAAAAAACATACTTTACTTTTAATGTAAGTCAATGGAACCAGACTTTTTTCCAAGTCATTTTGGGTCGTTTCTTTTAGTCCATTCATCATGAAATTTACATACAATGTAGAGGGTAACAGGTTTTTTTCAAATTATGTCTGAAAAACATAAAAAATGGAGATACGAGGTTTTCAGCGATATCGTGTATTGTGAAAATGTCTGCAAGAATCGTGATGTAATCGTTTTGCCGTATCGACCACCCCCAGTGGAATATAACAATAAAAAACAATATACCAAGTTTTTTTTTTTTTTAGTTTCAACATTTAAACTGAGAATTTTCGAATTTTATTTTTGGCCAAAAAATATTTAATTTAAATTACATACTTAATTTTAAATTTTAATATTCCAAAATCAATATAGGCAGACAAACGCAATACATTTTTACACCACTAATATATGGTTATACTTATATTTCAGTACTGGAGGAGTATTAAGGCACTAGGGAGTGACTAAGTGACTAATCTTATCCAGGCATGCTGGTAGGATTATTAATGTATGTGTTTATTAGCGATACGTTTACGTGTTTCATACCGTGAGTCCTGGTTGGGTGGAGTGTTCTTCATTGGTGTTTCCACCTCCGAGCTGCTGTCATCATCAGATCCTTCAGAGTGCATATCCTCCACCATGGAGCGTAAAGGTCCTGCACACAAAGCGCTACACTTAAAGGAACGGTTTGGAAAATGTACACAGTTTTCTGTTTACACTAGATACAGTGAACCAGCCGAGAAACGTCCGGTGTCTTTACTATGCTGGAGCTACGAGGCTAATGTAGCTCACAAACACTAGAAGTCAATAGTCACCCAAATCGTTTCTGTAAATAAATCCCCAAAACTTCTCTCAACCCACTCAAACCTCATCCAGGTCTTCGTTAAGGTGGCACAGACTTGCTGATGTGGTTCAGGACAGAGTATCGGTCAATCAACCTACCTTTATTTAATCTCGGAGAACATTGAGGGTGACCCTCGCTTACAATGGTGCCGAGTAGATACAGAGCAAGGGATTGATAACGTGTAAGAACATATCAAATAATAAAAGTAAATTTATAATAAAAAAGATTCAAATCAGGTAAGTATAAAAAAGTGAAACATTAGTAAATAAAATACATAAAAATACAATAAAAATATAAAACAATAATTAAAACATTGCTAAAATGTAAAGGTTAATAAAATAAGAGGAGAATAAGATCAAAAAGTAAACAAAAAAATTATTAAAATGACTAAAATAATAATCATAATTAAAATAAGAATATGAATAATAATAAATAAACTAAGAAATAAACAATAAAATAATGAAAATAAGATAATAATGGTAAAAAAATCAGGTAAACCAGTTGCAGGCAGAGTGGAGTATGACTTACTGTGAGCTTTAAAAACAAAACTTGGAGATGAAAACTCTGAGATTCCAACGTCCCTGCAGAATCCTGCAGAATATGGACGCTAGATTTCTAGATTTCTGTTATTTCTGTTTTCTATAATATTTAATAATATTCGTTCATATGTCTTCAGATTTAAAATTCAAGATAACAGCTACTTTTAAAAAAGAAACAACAGAAATCTGTGGCGTCTATATGCCTGCGTGACGTGTCTGGACACAAACTGAAGTCGGAAATTTGGCACGACACGACACGACACCTGCTGTCTAAAGTGGCGACCTGCAGCGTTCACAGCCGGGCATGCTGTGTCCTAAACCACATCGACAAGTCTGTGTGACCTTAATGAAGACCTGGATGCGGTTTTAGCAGGTGAAGAGAGGCTCTGGGGACATATTTACAGAAAAGATTTGGGTGACTATTGACTTCTAGTGTAACACGAAACATATCACTGTCATCGGAAGAAAACCTTGCATCTCCGTTTTTGTCGTTTTTCAGTTTTTGACATAATTTGAAAACACCTGTTACCCTTTACGTTGTGTTTTTTACTAAAATGACTTGGAAAAAAGTCTGGTTCCATTGAATTACATGAAAAGTAAAGTATGTTTTTTCCTTCTACTGTAAAGTTACCATTTTGGAGATACGAGGTTTTCTTCTGACGACAGCGATATCTTGGCTGACTGGCTACCTTGCGGAGCAAGAGGAAGATGGTGATCATTTGATTTTGGGTGAACTATTCCTTTAAACGAATCATGAACCCGCCATTTAGAAGCCTGAAGACCCAAAAAGGAGGCAGGACGTTCTGGAGAAACACTGTCCATACGGTCACCAGGAGTCGTAAACAACCTGACAGCACTTAATAATAACAGTAATAATAATAATTCAATTAAATCCAATACAGGAGATCTGGAACACATGCAAACCTTCCCTTCTCTAAAACAAGCTATTACACATATTCAGCTGATTATTAAGCTCTTCAAGAGTCCCTTCAGATGTAGAGCAAGATGTTCCCTCAAGGAAAATGCACTGAGCGCTGTAATAGAGTGGAAGAAAAGAGGAATTACTGAATATTTGTTCCCTCCTCAGCCCTGTGGTTCACCTGCACAGGTTCCTGCACCTGAGTCACGTCATCAGTAAGGATGGACATGGTTATCTGGACATATTTGAGCAAATGTGTCTCAAAACATCGTCCTGTTACTGAAGAAACCCACCAAAGTCTACAAAGCTCTTGCAGGAACCTCTGACTACCTTAATGGGTTCCATCAAGAAGCATGTTTCAGCTCTAGGTTAGCTACCTTAAAGGAGAAGTCCACCAAGGCTTCGAAATTTTGACATGACTCAATCACTAAGATGGAAACGAGAGTCATTCAGAGTGGTTTGGTGTGAAACGCTCTGTTCTAGAGAAACTTACAGAGTCAGAATTGTTCACAGTGGTGGTGATAGGAACCAGACGTCCACCTCTAAAAGCTCCCTCACAGAAAGTTACTACATAAAATGGTTATGAATTCACTGCCTGGTGTCTGAGACACCGTTTTACAATAGTTTTGAAAAGGTTTTGGCCAAAAACACATTCATGGCGGAGGCATTATAAGGCAAAATAGTCCCCAAAGAAAACTTTTTTTTTTCAATTTTGTTTACATCTCAACCACCGAATTATGCAGAAGTAATTTTAAAAATCGGTGGAATAATAATATTAAAAAAAACAGTTTGGAAATTTAGATAATCAATTAGCGTTCAGTAAAAATGCAGAATCAGGTGTTTTAAAGCAGAAAAAACCCTGTGTGGTGCAGGTGGACTATAGAAACAGTGAGGAAACTGCTCTTTATCTACTGTAAATACTGTATCTGATCTTACCCTGGCCTTGCTTCTGTGAGGGCTCAAAGTCGGAGTCCGAGCTGGAGCTAGAGCTGGACGTGGAGGGGCTGGTCTGGGCCGACTGCTTTAGGAAACACAAATACAAATACAGTACGGAACATGAGGCCAGCTGTTGAGCTATTTTACAATAATACAGACTGAACTGGAGAACCTGACACAAAACACTGTCATGCTCAGAATAACAAACACGTGTAAAATATCCAGACCTCGCCTTTAGTATCACAACAACATATGATAAGAAATTAAGAAAATGAATGAACAGTAACCAACACCACGAAGAAATCTGTGTAGCTCTGTCCAAAGTGCTACAATATTTATATAACTTAAGGCTGGAAGTGACGGCTGAGAACCGACAGGCGTATCAGCCAGTAAAGCACTACTGAACTAAAACTACTGGACACGTTACTTATTTAGCTTTTTTGTTTCAAGAGCAACATAATCACAACAACAGAACATCACTTACTGAATTTTTATGCCCTTAAAATCAGTATCTACCACAGAATTTTCATGCTCTAAAACAGGGGTCGCAACCCAAATGTTAAGAAGAGACATTTTGTCCTTTCAACAAAATTCAAACCTTGGGAGCCACAACATTATGTCCATTTCACCATCTTGGCTGTAAATGTGTCTCAGTATGTGCTGATGTGCCAGTATAGCATAAAAATATAATCTAAACGAAAACGCAGACTTAAACTTAAAAAACGCAGACTCTGCTTTAAGCTTTAGCTCAGCTATAGCTGCTTTTCTCGCATCTCCGGCAGGAAACTTTTCCGCAGGAGTAGAACAGTTTTTTGTGAAACGTCTCTCAACGTTCGACTTTTACAAGGCTGAATTATCTTGTTCCACTCGTTTCTCGTGGCGAATGAGAAACTGATTCATCTTCACGACTTTTTAGTGTTTCAGTTTCTCGTTGCAGATTAAACGTATCAGGAAACCAGCTGGAGTGATTATAAATACAAATAAGTCCATTCGTCTCCAAATTATCGATGTTCATCTTAAATCTTTCTCTTTGCCGTTTCGTTAGCTACTAGCTAAGCGAGACTGTTGTATGTGTTGCTATGGTGACCAGCAGTCTGCGCTGATCTTCAGGGTTAAAGGGTAAATTAGCAGTTTTACATTAACTCCAGAGTTTAAGACCATTTACTGTTAAACTGTGTTGAATGATCAGCAGAGCTTTATTTTACTGTAAAGGAGGATTATTTTATTTTTACCTACTAATCTGATTCTGCTGTGGAGCCACAAGAGGGCAGAAAAAGAGCCGCATGTTGCCAAACCCTGGACTAAAAAGAACAGACTGTGGATGTGAGCTGCAGCTTTATCCACTTGTTTCACCTCAGATTTGGAGGAGGCCTCGTCTTCTGAGTTGGACTCGTCAGACTCTGCCTGCCTCTTCACTTCCTGCACGTCCGGTCTCATCTTGGCCCAGTGGCTCTTTTCTTTGGACACTTTCTTCTCCGGGTAGGAGGAGGGAGTGGTTGAGGAAATGCGGGGGGAGTTGCTGCTTAAGCCTCCACTGGTGGATCCCTTCATGCTAGGGGTGAGTGATACGGCAAACACACATTATTATGACGTTTTCACTGTCATTTCATTTAATCACTGTAAAAATTATGACAGCTTACTTTTTTGGACAACTACCCAAAAGATTAATTAATAGACAAAAACAGGTCTGACGCTGGAAAAATGGCAAAATTAGACATTGTTTGGAAAAAAAGGTTCAGCGCTAAAAACCAGCGGAGATAAATCACTACACATCGTCCCCCTGTACATACAGTCTTCAGTGTTAGCTAATTGTTACTGTAATATAGCATAAGTCTGTAATACGTTGAATCTAAACAGAGATTTTGTGCTGTGAGCATCTTGACCAATCATAAATGTTCTCAAAATGTGAGGATGAATTCAAGAAATGTAAATCATACTAGTGAAAATATCCAGGCCAAATAAATGAATAATAAGTTTAAAAGCTTAACACAAATCACTGATCCCAACTGCATCATATAGCAACGTAGTGCCAATCTGGTATGTTGTCCACACCCTAATAGCCCTAATATACACCGATCAGACGTATATTATGACCACCTCCTTGTTTCTATGCTCATTGTCCATTTTATGGATCATTCTCAGCACTGCAGTAACACTGACGTGGTGGTGGTGTGTTAGTGTGTGTTGTGCTGGTATGAGTGGATCAGACACAGCAGTGCTGCTGGAGTTTTTAAACACTGTGTCCACTCACTGTCCACTCTATTAGACGCTCCTACCTTGTCGGTCCACCTTGTAGATGTAAAGTCAGAGACGATAGCTCATCTGCTGCTGCACAGTTTGTGTTGGTCATCCTCTAGTCCTTCATCAGTGGTCACAGGACGCTGCCCACAGGACGCTGTTGGCTGGATATTTTTGGTTGGTGGACTATTCTCAGTCCAGCAGCGACACTGAGGTGTTTAAAAACTTCAGCAGCACTGCTGTGTCTGATCCACTCAGACCAGCGCAACACACACTAACACACCACCACCACATCAGTGTCACTGCAGTGCTGAGAATGATCCACCACCCAAGGAGGTGGTCATGATGTTATGCCTGATCGGTACCTTCATACTGACCAGCCCTTTCGTAGGGCTACTTGTATTTTCAGTTTTAATACGTTTTTAATTGTGGTCACGATTAAAATATTTGATATTTTATGAATAAAAATGTCATAAAATCATATTTGCTGAAATGAGAAAACGGTAAATGAGAGATGCTGATCAGACAGTAGGGGCTTACTGGCCATGCAGATTTCCATTTCCATATATTGGTTGGAAAATTGTATTTTTTTAATTTTCAATATAGTCTAACCTCTTCTGCTTCTTGGAGCTGAGTTTGGGAGACTCTGTGGTGGACGAGGGGCGTTTATTTACGCCTCGTCCCTCCAGCTGCCCTCCTCCTCCTCCTCCTCCTCCTCCTCCTCCTCCTGCTGCTGCTGTTCCTCCTCCACCTGCGTCCATCTTAGATTCCCTCAGTGTGAGTTTGGGCTCTTTAAAGGCTGCTTTGGGAACAGGTTTCGCTTCCTCTTTTCCCCTGGTATCTGTGGCTTTCCTGGAAAAGGAGGAAGATTCCCGTGTGGATTTCCCTCCTTCGCGGTCACTCTCTCTGGATGTGGCTTTGCTCTCGGAGTCTTTCCTTGTGCGCTCTCTGTGCTCTTTGGCGGGTTTATGGGGTTTGGGGCCTTTGCTGCTTCCACCCGCACCATCTTTACTCGGCTCCTAATGGTAGAAAGAAAGTGTATTAAATAATACATAAAAATAATTATGAAGTATTAAAACTCTCTATTCCACAGAGCTACAGAGCTTCACAGAGCCATAGTTCCACAGAGCTACACTACAGAGATACAGTTCTACAAAGCTACACTATAAGGGTCTCACAGAGCTACTACAGAGAGAAAGGACGTCCATAGAGCTACTCCACAGAGCTGCAGAGCTCCACAGGGCAACAGAGCTCCACAGAGATACAGAGTTCCACAGAGCTGCTCCACAGAGCTACAGAAATTCACAGAGCTAGAGTTTCACAGAGCTACAGAAATCCACAGAGCTACTCCACAGAGCAACAGAGTTTCACAGAGCTAGTTTCACAGAGCTACAGAAATCCACAGAGCTAGTTCCACAGAGCTACCCCACAGAGTCACAGAGATCCACAGAGCTATTCCACAGAGGTACAGAGTTCCACAGAGCTACACCACAGAGCTACAGAAATCCACAGAGCTAGTTTCACAGAGCTACAGAAATCCACAGAGCTACTCCACAGTGCTACAGAGATCCACAGAGCTAGTTTCACAGAGCTACAGAAATCCACAGAGCTACTCCACAGTGCTACAGAGATCCACAGAGCTATTCCACAGAGCTACAGAAATCCACAGAGCTATTCCACAGAGCTACAGTTTCACAGAGCTACTCCACAGAGCTACAGAGTTCCACAGAGCTATTCCACAGAGCTACAGAAATCCACAGAGCTATTCCACAGAGCTACAGTTTCACAGAGCTACTCCACAGAGATACAGAGTTTCACAGAGCTACTCCACAGAGCTACAGAAATCCACAGAGCTATTCCACAGAGATACAGTTTCACAGAGCTACTCCACAGAGCTACAGAGTTCCACAGAGCTATTCCACAGAGATACAGAGTTTCACAGAGCTACTCCACAGAGCTACAGAGTTCCACAGAGCTATTCCACAGAGATACAGAGTTTCACAGAGCTACTCCACAGAGCTACAGAAATTCACAGAGCTACTCAACTGAGCCACAGAGGTCCACAGAGCTACATAATTCTAGAGCTATTCCACAGAGCTACACAGTTCTACCGAGCTATTCTGTATTATCTCTGAATTTTTACCCAGTTTCCTCTCCAGGTTAGTTAGTCAGCCAGGTGTCCCCCATGAAACAATGCTGCAAAACTAGAAGGGCGAAGACGAGCCAAGCTTCCTCTGAGACACGTGAAGCTCCACCGCATCACACACATCCAACATAAGGCTAAATATACTCTTTTGGACGACCAGCTGTGGCATCGAGATCAGGCCCGCCGTATCACCACACGGTCCAAATTAGCAGTTTTAAACAACTTTAATGACACAACTTTAAAACAGTACTGCATTTACATCTCTGCCACACTTTTTTACACCTGCTGCTCTTTACATTAAAAATAAATGGTGCAAAATTCCTTGGAATAAAATTTTAGGTATAATAAGATCTTAATAAAATCCTAATTAAGAATGTTAGAACGTCATAGATATGAGGGTTTGTTAAATCAGCAATAATACTTGCATTTATGTACATTAATGAAAACCTCTCCTCATTTTTGTGTATATTTACTGCCAGCATGAAGCCGAGTTTCTAGAATAAGGCTAACCTGTGTCCAGCTACTGACCTTTATCCCATGGGAAGATTTGATCTTTTTCGGGTCCGAGAAGGCCGATAAAGGAATAGTGGGCAGCATAGGATAATCCGGACTGGGCCTCGGCATCATCTCCGCTCCTTCGGGTATGACCATTACCTGAGAGAGAAGAGAGAGAGAGAGTAGGAGCAGAAGGAAAGGGTGAAACATCTACAGACCTGCTCAGTCAGCAAAGAGGCCAGCAGCAACACAAACAGGCCAACTCACCCCGCCAGCCTTGACCAGTTTGCGGCGAAACTCGTGCGTGGGGTTGTTAAACGTGAGCTTTTCACAGCGCAGGTGATTGACCGGTGGGTTGCCTTCCAGGTTCAGAAAGAGGTCATAATTAAAGCAAACTTTCTTAGGCTCCTCCTGTTTTGGACAAGATCAGAAAAATATATGTTTGTGATTACAGCATAGTCAAATAAATATGAAAAATAAATATATGTGAACATTAAATAATAAGAAGACTTGTTTATTTTTGTCTGAGACTCTTTTGTCAGTCAAAAATAACAGTTAAGAAGAGTCTAAGACTCATTTCCATCTTTGTACATGGCAAAAAACACGAAACACAATAAAACTAGGCTTCGGTTTCTGAAGAAGACATTATGAAAAATGAGTTTTGACTGTTATAATCAGGCTGTGAACTGCAGAACTAATGGAATCATTTTTTACCGTTTACTATTTTCTTAGTTCTCTCAAATACAACAGCGGCACACACAATAAAAGCTCTGCTAAACTACGTCTGTTTGTCTGTCAGTGAAACCGTTCTGTTGCATCAGTCTGTCACCCCAGAGTACAAACACTGCAGTTCAGTGAAAAACCAAACTGTACCCTTTGACCTTCGCCAGGTTGCAACATGTCTAATCGTTTTTCCTTGAGAGAAACACAAATAACTAACGGCCGCAAGTGGAAACGTCTCTGTGTGATCAAATCAGCTGCCAGAGCTGCGTGGCCGTTTCACTGAGGTGTCCTTGTTAAAAGGACGAGCGGTAGAAGTAGATTTTCAGGTTTAAAGGCTTAAACCCCCTTCAGGTGAGGCATCTCGAAGGTGGGAGGACTGGTTGACACCACAGTGGTTGTATGACACATTTGCGTAAGGCATGTTGGGTAATGTAGCGAGGGAACATAGACGTGAATGAACGCAAACATGCTGAAATATAAAATTGTGAACTCTGTCACAAGTGACAATACTGTGCAATAGAATACCGAATAACACAACAAATAAGATATTAAATGCTGATTTCAAGCCGAAATAAAATAAATAAAATATTAAATACTCATTTCTAGCCAAAATAAAATAGAAAAATAAAATGCAATATTAAATGCTAATTCCAAGCCTAAATAAAATACAAAAAATAAAAATATTAAATGCTGATTTCCAGCCGAAATAAATAAATAAAACAAACAAAATATTATGCTATTTTCCATCCAAAATAAAATAAAAAAAATAAAATAAAATATTAAATGCTAATTTCAAGCCGAAATAAAATACAAAAAAATTGTATATGCTAATTTCCTGCTGAAATAACATCAATAAAATAAATGAAATATTAAATGCTAATTTCCAGCTGAAAAAAAATAAAATAAAAAAAATAAAATAAAATATTAAATGCTATTTTCCTGCAGAAATAAAATAAATAAAATAAATAAAATATTAAATGCTATTTTCCTGCAGAAATAAAATAAATAAAATAAATAAAATATTAAATGGTAATTTCCAGCCAAAATAAAAAAAAAATAATAATAATAAAATATTAAATGCCAATTTCAAGCCAAAATAAAATACAAATAAATTAAAATAAAGTATTAAATGCTGATTTCAAGCTTAAATATCCCTTTAAACTGTGCATAAGTGAAGTGAAGTAAGTGAAGTGCATGTTAAAGCACAATTAGTGTTGGTTTGCTGAATTTAACATACTGGGGGAGAAATTAAGATATAAAAAGTGTCCTGTGGGTTAAAGTTATGTCACATTATAACTGCATGATTTATTTTTTACACATATGTTAAACTCAGCAAATGAAAAGGAATTGTGCAGTAAAATATGCAGAAAATGACACTGTTTAAGTGTCCTTTTAGAGCAGGAGCGTCCACTCTTATCTGCACAGGCTGGTGCCGCTGCAGGTTCTCACTCCAAACAAGCTGGAGCTCACCTGACTCCACTTGTTTAACCAGTCGGTCTCAGTCTTTTCAAGCATTTTATCAGGTGATCTCTGCTTTGCTGGAGTGAAAACCTGCAGCCACACTGACCCCCTGAGGATAAGACTGGACGACCCTGCTGGAGAGCGGTCAACTTACTTTTACACAATCAATAAAACACACAATCTGACCAGGGATGTTCAAACTTCAGCATATGACTGTAGGTTCACACTTAAAAAAGACGGTTCTTCAAGGTTCTTTAGTAAAAAAAAAAAAAAAAATGGTTCTATGAACCATGAACACTTAAAGAACCCTTTGCATGATTAAAGAGTCTTTACATGATGAAATGGCTCCTCAGATTGATGGAGAATGTGCTATAGATGGTTCTCTACTGAACCTTTTTGAAAACGGGTTCTATAAAGCACCAAAAAGGGTTCTGCTATTGTTACAAGCTTGACATTTATAGTTATAAAAGATGGTTCTTCAAGGGATCTCTATATAGAACCATAAAAACTCAAAGAAGCCTTTGCATGATTAAAGGGTTCTTTAGATTGATGGAGAATGTGCTGTAGATGGTTCTATATGGAACCTTTTTTTGGACCATTCTATATTGCATCAGAAAGGGTTATTCTATGACACTGTAAGAACAGAAGAACCCTTTTCAGAAAGGTTCTATATAGCACCATCTTCTCATTCTCATCAATCTAAAGAACCCGTTCATGATGCGAAGAACCCTTTAATCATGCAGAGAGTTCAAGTGTTTAGGTTCCACACAGAACCATTTTCTTTACTAAAGAACCCTTGAAGAACCATCCTTTTTAGGAGTGTTGTAACAACAGAAGAACCCTTTTTTGTTGCTACATAGAACCCTTTTTAAAAAGGGTTCTTTGAGTGTTCATGGTTCTATTACAGCACCATTTTCTTTACTAAAGAACCCTTGAGGAACCATCTTTTTAAGTGTGTAGAATTTATTACAATGTAATTTTTACTATTTAAACAAAACAATAAGCTGTGAGTTACACTGATTTAACCACAGCTATGAGGCTTTATTCTGTACAGACTGTAGTCCATCTGTTTCTCTGATACTTTGTTAGCCCCCTTTTACCCCCCTGTTCTTCAGTGGTCAGGACCCCCATGGACCCTCACAGAGCAGGTACTATTTGGGTGGTGGATCATTCTCAGCACTGCAGTGACACTGACGTGGTGGTGGTGTGTTAGTGTGTGTTGCGCTGGTCTGAGTGGATCAGACACAGCAGTGCTGCTGGAGTTTTTAAACACTGTGTCCACTCACTGTCCACTCTATTAAATAGACACTCCTACCTTGTCAGTCCACCTTGTAGATGTAAAGTCAGAGACGATAGCTCATCTGCTGCTGCACAGTTTGTGTTGGTCATCCTCTAGTCCTTCATCAGTGGTCACAGGACGCTGCCCACAGGACGCTGTTGGCTGGATATTTTTGGTTGGTGGACTATTCTCAGTCCAGCAGCGACACTGAAGTGTTTAAAAACTCCAGCAGCACTGCTGTGTCTGATCCACTCAGACCAGCACAACACACACTAACACACCACCACCACATCAGTGTCACTGCAGTGCTGAGAATGATCCACCACCCAAACAGTACCTGCTCTGTGAGGGTCCATGGGGGTCCTGACCACTGAAGAACAGGGTAAAAGGGGGCTAACAAAGTATCAGAGAAACAGATGGACTACAGTCTGTAACTGTAGAACTACAAAGTGCACCTATACAGTAAGTGGAGCTGATAAAATGGACAATGAGCGTAGAAACAAGGAGGTGGTCATAATGTGACGCCTGATCGGTGTAAATATGTGTTTTGAGTTTCCTCACCTTGTTCTTAAAGTAGACCTCGATGGGCATGAGGAACCCAGCATAGCCCGACTCTTCCACCTTATACGGAGGCTCCTTACACACTAGACAACAGAAAAACAAACACAGTGAATAAAGACAAACAACTAACCTCAAATGCAGCCAACAGCTTCACTGATTAAAAGGTTTGTTAAAGGGTTCTTCAGACTGATTGAGAACCTGTTTGAAAAGAGTTCTACATAGCACCAAAAAGGGTTCTTCTATCATTACAAATTTGACATTGTAACTATAAAAGAACCCTTTTGGGTGCCACAGAAAACCCTCATCAAAAAGGTTCCAAATAGAACCACACGCAACAAATTCTCCATCAATCTCAAGAACCATTTAACGATGCAAAGAACCCTTTAGTAAAGACAAAGGTTCCATATAGATCCATGAACACTCAAACAACCCTTTGCATAATTAAGTGGTTCTTTACATTGTAAAAGGGTTCTTCAGATTGATGGAGAACATTTTTGAAAAGAGTTCTACATAGCACCAAAAAGGGTTCTTCTATCGTTACACGTTTGACATCGTAACAATAGAAGAACCCTTTTGGGTGCTACGTAAAACCATCATCAAAAAGGTTCCAAACAGAACCACATACAACACATTCTCCCTCAATCTTAAGAACGATTTAACGATGCAAAGAACCCGCAAAGGGTTCTTTAAGTGTTCATGATTCTATATAGAACCATTTTCTTTACTAAAGAACCCTTGAAGGACCATCATTTTTAAGAGGGTAGTTTGCACTGTAGTCCGTGTAGTTACTGAGTAATAAACTGTACTACGTAATAATCCTGGGATTTTCAGGGGTTAAATGTATATTACTGTTGTTATTACTATGTTATAACTCTAGACCTCTAAGAGATGTAGGTACAGCGCTGCTGTATCTCAGTTTAAGTTGCACACGTGCCTCTCTTGGGTTTGGGGAAGCTGTCGTGCAGCCTGAAGACAACCCTCTCCACGAAGTGCTGGATGTCGCACGTCTCCGGGCCTCGAACGAACACCATCCAGTCGTGAGTGAAGCCCTCAGTGGTGGCTTTCTTCCTGAGCTGGGCTCGGTGGCCCAACTCCAGCTTCACCTGCACCGTACACTAACACCACACAGAGACACACAGCAGGTCAGCCTCCCTGACCGCAAACGAGCCCCAGTCCCAACACACAGGTCTGATAAAATGACAAATATATCACAGTATCCGGTGATTTTTAAGTGCATTAATACATAAAAACAATAAAACAATAAATATCCTCTCTGTTTTTGTTTTGAAATGTCTGAGAATATCTCTCTAAACTCATTCTCATCCTGAACACTCCAAAAAATTATATCTTAACAAGTGAAAACTTCTTAAATGTAGTCAATAAATCTAATATCTCTCATTTTGAGACTGTTGTAAGAATATTATAAGATTATTCCACCTGTTTCTGTACATTTTTACTTGTTTTAAGTGATTTTATCTGGTGAAAGTGTCTTATTCCATTGGCAGATTAGTTTACTTGTTTGGAGAAATAATGAAGATAATTTTGCTCATTTCAAGAAATAATGATTAAAACAAGGAACATGATCTGCCAATGAAATAAGACACTTTTATAAGATAAAACTGCTTAAAAACAAGTAAAAATGTCTAGAAATAAGTTAAATAATCTCACAATATTCTTACAACAGTCTCATAATGAGAAATATTAGATATATTGACTACATTTGAGATGTTTACACTCACTTTGATATAATTTTACAATGTGGGGTAAAATAAAACGGTAAAATTGAGTAGCTTAAATAGAAATAACTTCATTGCAATGTTTTGGGGGAAAAGGAAAGCCTGTGAGGAAGACGGACAGCACGTCTCTCTCTCAGGTTTCAGAGAGCAAAGGTAAGCCTGTCTTAACAAGTGAAAACGTCTTAAATGTAGTCAGTAAATCTAATATCTCTCATTATGAGGCTGTTGTAAGAACATTATAAGATTATTCCACCTGTTTCTGTACATTTTTACTTGTTTTAAGTGATTTTATCTGGTGAAAGTGTCTTATTCCATTGGCAGATTAGTTTACTTGTTATATATTAAATAATGAAGTTTAAGTCAGCATTAATAAAGCGACCGAGCCCAATCTGTCCTGAGTGCTGCTGTTATACACTGTAGGAAATTATGCAGCTTTCACACTTAAAAGAGAAATAAACCAGGTTAACTTGAAATACTGAGTTCATTGAACTTTGAATAATAAGTTAATAAACGTAAAACACAGCTTTTACTCCTGTTAAGTTAATATTACTAATATTATTAATATTATTAAGTTAATAAGTTCAATGATCTCAAAATGAACCCAGTTACTTACTTTTTTGAGTGTAAAAGCTGCACATTTTTCTACAGTGTATAATAAAAGAACACTTTACAAACCTGACATCTGATATTTGGCCTTTTTTCTTAGACCAAATGAGAACCTTACATAGTTCTGCAGTCGTAACCAGACAGATACACATATACACACACAAACAATGGTTCCTCAAGAGTTCTTTAGTAAGGAAAATGGTTCTATTTCGAACCATGAACACTCAAAGGACTCTTTGCATCATTAAATGCTTCTTCAGATTGATGGAGAATGTGCTACAGATGGGTCTATATAGAACCTTTTTAAAAAAGGTTCTATACAGCACCAAAAAGGATTCTGCTATTGTTACGACGTCAAGCTTGTAACCATATTGAGTGGTATATAGAACCCTTTTCAAAACGGTTCTGTATAGAACCATCTACAGCACATTCTCTATCAATCTGAGGAACCCTTTAATCAAGCAAATGGTTCTTTAAGTGTTCATAGTTCTATATAGGACCATTTTCTTTACTGAAGAACCCTTAAAGAACCATTATTTTTAAGAGTGAAGCTTAACATAGTAACAACAGAAGAACGCTTTTCAAAAAGGTTCTGTATAGAACCATCTACAGCACATTCCCCATCAATCTGAGGAACCCTTTAATCATGCAAATGGTTCTTTCAGTGTTCAATTTTCTACACAGAACAATTTTCTTCACTAAAAGAACCCTTGAAGAACCATCTTTTTTAAGCGTGTAGAAAGGAAACTTTGTTTTTATGCGTTTTCAGTGGTTCTATCAAATCAGTCTGAAGCGCCCAGGATACAAACTGCTTAATTAGGTTTTTGTTAACTATCAATATCACTAAAATTAAAAAATAAATATCGATACCAATATTGTATAAACGATATATCGGCCAGCACTACCAGCGTATCACACAGTTCAGTCTGTTCTCTGTTCTAATACAGTCAAGGTTCTGCTTCATTCACAACACAGATATAAGACAGCAGGCTGGACGTTTCTGGACTCCGTCAGGCTGAATCATTAAATAACTTTAAACAGTTGTTTAAGACGTTTTTTTAAACAGGACTTTGGAGGCCCGTAGTTTTGTTGACGCAAACATGACCTTCGACGTGTCCATTTGGCTGATTCAGCTTCTACGAAAGCAACAGAAAAAAGCTGATAGGACGGCACGTCTACGGGCCTCGGTGGTTAATGTGTCTCCTGCCACGCTGACGGAAAATAACAACACTAACCAGACTAGAAGACTTTAAAAAGACTTTAAAAAGACTTAAAAAGACTTTAAAAAGACTTTGAAAAGACCTTGAAAAGACTAAAAAAAGACTTTAAAAACACTTAAAAAGACTGAAAAGACTTTGAAAAGACTTAAGAAAGACTTAAAAACACTTAAAAAGACTGAAAAGACTCTGAAAAGACTTTGAAAAGACTTAAAAAAGACTTAAGAAAGACTTTAAAAAGACTTAAAACGCATGAAAAGACCGAAAAGACTTTGAAAAGACTTAAAAAAGACTTTGAAAAGACTTTAAAAAGACTTTGAAAAGACTTAAAAAAGACCTTGAAAACACTAAAAAAAGACTTTAAAAGGACTTTGAAAAGACTCTGAAAAGACTTTGAAAAGACTTAAAAAAGACTTAAGAAAGACTTTAAAAAGACTTAAAACGCATGAAAAGACCGAAAAGACTTTGAAAAGACTTAAAAAAGACTTTGAAAAGACTTTAAAAAGACTTTGAAAAGACTTAAAAAAGACCTTGAAAACACTAAAAAAAGACTTTAAAAGGACTTTGAAAAGACTCTGAAAAGACTTTGAAAAGACTTAAAAAAGACTTAAGAAAGACTTTAAAAAGACTTAAAACGCATGAAAAGACCGAAAAGACTTTGAAAAGACTTAAAAAAGACTTAAGAAAGACTTTAAAAAGACTTAAAACGACTGAAAAGACTTTGTAAAGATTTTAAAAAGACTTTGAAAAGACTTAAAAAAAGACCTTGAAAACACTAAAAAAAAGACTTTAAAAGGACCTTGAAAAGACTTTGAAAAGACTGAAAAGACTTAAAAAAGACTTTGAAAAAACTTTAAAAAGACCTTGAAAAGACTTAAGAAAAACTTTAAAAAGACTTAAAAAGACTGAAAAGACTCTGAAAAGACTTTCAAAAGACTCCAAAAAGACCTTGAAAAAGACTTTTGAAGACTAAAGTCTGACTCCCTCTCATATCTACAGACAGTGTCACGGTTTTGTCACATTGTATCTTCCCAGACTATGATTTCTCTAAGACTGGGAATCTGGCAGTGTCACTATTTACAAGACCGCAACTAGATTTTTGAGATTATGTCCCATCATGCACCTGGTGGAAATTTAGAAGCAGATAAGCCCTTTTCTTCCACTCTGTAGTGATACAGATGGGAAGATACGCTGGCTGGGCATGTTCAGATCTGAGTCTCAGCCCAGTTCACTGTAGAGCTGTATACTCTGACAGATCATCACCCAGAATCTTTAATTAACCTGTAAAATGTGCGGCTACTTTTTAATCTGATATAAAGATTAACATGCAGCGATTCAGCATTGCTGATTGGTGAATGAACTATGAACTAAACCATAAAAAAAACAAACTGTGTAGCGGAAAGCAAAAAAAGGGAAAAAAACATTGATGATTCTTCAATAAAGCCATTTTTAAAGTCCTCTGCACATTTCATCACATCACTGTTACACTGAGTGAACCTGAAGTATTAAAGCAGCCAGTTTACATTCTAAGTTAATGTGATTTTCGTATTAAAGTGGAGCAGATTTGCCGTTTTTACAGAGATTTCAGGCTCTCACACGAACATATTCTCTCTCTCTGTCTGTCGCACTCTCTCTATCGCTCTCTCTCTCTCTCTCTCTCTCTCTCTACCACGCCACTCACACGCGCTCGCCCGCTCGCCCTCCAGCACCCCTAGCACGTCACTATTTGCAGGAGCCCAGACTTAAAACTTACGATAATATTAACCTTTTAAACTCCTTGAGACCACCGGTGGTTCCAAAACGCACTTCGTCATATTCTTCATAACTTTCATATTTCATAAGCTACATTCTAAAGGTGGGGGTCGTATGAGAGCTGTAACTGTCTTCTCTCCAGTCAAATAGATGGGTGATGTAATTTTAAACCTTTATAATGAAAGAAGCTGAACTTTTCTACTGAAAGTCGACCCATTTTTCCACAAATCTGGGCTATAAACTATAAACAGATGGCGTCTCTTCAGTGATCTGCTCTGTAAAAATTATTTTTATAAAATAATACAAAGAGCGTCGAAGATTTTTGGCTTTCAGCAGTAAATTGTAAGCATAGCAATATGTGTGATCTGTTCATTTGAGGGGAACTTTTACAAAAAAATACATAAATAAATAACATAATGTACATTTATCTCATGCAGTTACTGAATCATTTGCCTCATGATTTGGTCATGTAAATTCAGATGGACAAACCAAAATATCCCCTGGTCCATAAGAGGTTAAACACGGTTTATTTTGTCGCAGCGTCAAGACGGGAAAAAGACTGACTTAAGACGGCCGCCTCACACTAAACGATCGAGATGACGCGACGCGACTCTGACAAGACCCTCATGATTTTATTCCGATACTGGATATTTGTGAAATCGCTTGAAAAGTCGTTTGGTGTAAAGCCGGCATACGACGCTTTCACCCAGGGGATGATGAACCTCAAACATCAGACATAAAAAAGAGCACATGACATCACTGGAATCCAATCAGTGATATTTAAAGAAGGTATTAATGACAAAAGTATTGCTGAGGCATCGGCATCAAAATCAAGGTATCAGTATAGACAAGGTTTGAATGACACCCTGTCCCAGTTGACTTCCACTATTCCAGTGTTTCCAGACTGAGTCACGTCATTAGTTAAATGGAAATTTCACACAATCCCTTCAGGATCAATTCATTAAGATGTAAACAGAGTCATTCAGAGTGGTTTGGTGTGAAACGCTCTGTTCTAGAGAAACTTACAGAGTCAGAATTGTTCACAGTGGTGGTGATAGGAACCAGTTGCCCCCTCTAAAAGCTCCCTCACAGAAAGTTACTACATGAAATGGATGCCTGAGGCATCATTTGTACAACATGATAAAAGTTTTGGTCTAAATTGTATACCAAAAAAGCCTTTTTAAGACTATTTTGCCATTTTCCCCAAATTTCGATTCATTTTTGCTTTCGATTAGTCAGTAAAACGGCTATATTCGTGACCTCCTATCACCACCACTGTAAAGAAATCAGGGTCTCTACAATCAACCATATCACACCAAACCACCATGAATGACTCTGTTTACATCTGAACGACCGAACTGTGGAGAAATGTCGAAAAATCTGTGATATTTCCCTTTCATGATAAGCCTTTCAGGAGAATCAGTGTCTGTAAACTAAGTTGTAACGTCATGCAGCAATGCCATTCCCAATATTTCCTGCAGATGAGCTTCCGATTTATATATATATCGCTGTTGTCGGAACAAAACCTCGTATCTCCATTTTTTCTGTTTTTCGTTTTTTTTACATAATCTGAAATTTTACTCTTTACACTGTGTGTAAATTTCATGATAATTGGACCAAAAGAAATGTCCCAAAATGACTTTTAAAAAATTCTGGTTCCATTGACTTGCATTAAAAGTAAAGCAGGTTTTTTCCTTCTTCTGTAAAGTTACCATTTTGGAGATATGAGGTTTCTTCCAACAGCAGCGATTTATATATATATATATATATATATATATATATATATATATATATATAAAGATGCATTAACACACTCTTAAAACAAATGCTTATTAGCAAGTGTTCTTTAGTAAAGACAATGGTTCTATTTAGAACCACGCGTTCTATACAGAACCATTTGCATGCTTAAAAGATTCTCTGCATGGTGAAATGGATCATGCTGTATAGGGTTCTATATAGAACCTTTTTTGAAAGTGGTTCTATACAGCATGATATAAAAGTGTTCTTCTCTTGTACGCTCTTAAAACAGACGGTTCTTCAAGGGTTCTTTAGTAAGGAAAATGATTCTATATAGAACCACGCACACTCAAAGAACCCTTTGAACGATTAAAGGTTTCTTTGCATCATGAAAGGGTTCTTCAGCTTGATAGAGAATGTGCTGTAGATGGTTTTATACAGAACCTTTTTGAAAAGGGTTCCATAGTTACAACCTTGACACTGTAACAGTAGAAGATGTCAACACATTCTCTATCAATCTGAAGAACAATTTCAGCATAAATAAGAACCATTTAAGCATGCAAGTGGTTCTACATGGAACTCATGGTTCTAAACAGAACCATGCCCTTGAAGAACCATCTTTTTTTAAGAGTGCACACCTGATAACAGACGGCCCAAACTGTATCTGTCTGTCTGCCTTAATGGAAAAGAAGGAAAATGGAAGATGTGGAACCCAGCTGGAGGTTTAGAGGCCAAGTGGAACAAATAAAAGGCCATTCTTTTCACACAAACTGCATTTATCCGCTCTTTTTCTCTCTTTTCTTGGTTGCAACCCTTCCTGATTCATCCCTTCTACGAAAAGCTTTGACGACGTCGAGCACTGAAGCTACAGTCGCCAGCTTCTTGTTGGAATTTTTCCGTTCCACCTTAAATGGTGCAGCAGCTGCATTCCGTGCAGCAGTTCGCTCTGTATCCGCTGCATCATTTAAGGTGGAACGGGAAAATTCGAACGAGAAGCTGGCGAATAGGAAGCCAACTTCAGCCTCGCAAGCTACAGCTACAGTTCAGCACGTTACCGACAGATTAAACGTTTAATGCTCACCCAGAGCTCGTTACTGTGACCTTAAGGAACACGGAGCTACTTCTGACACCGCATTCGTGTAGTTTGTGTTGATGTTTTGCTCATATTTGAGCTCTTTTAAGCTCCAGCTAGATGCCACTGCTGGCTGCTAACATCCTGACACACATCATCACGTTAGCGAAGCGGCCTAACGTTAGTGCCCCTCATCATGGCCACGATTCTGGCGCAAATCCTGCACATTTGTGCACCCAAATGGCAAATATAAGCTGTCAGAAAGCGCAGGTTCCTCATTACCATGTTCTCCATAGTGGCCAACTCTCTGGCTCTCTGCTTTATTTACTGAGGCGCTGCAGGAATGTGGAGCTGCATCCTCACTGGGACTCAGCTGAACCCGCATATAAAACAGCCAAGACTCGCAGGGCTTCAAAATAAAAGTCCTAACAGCAGCAGCATCAGAGGCCGGCAGACACTTAAAAGGGGAATTCCACCTACTCTCCAGAATTTCCGCATCATTAAGTGGTTGAGACGTAAACAGAGTCATTCAGAGTGGTTTAGGTGGCTCTTGAGAAACTTGCAGTCAGAATTGTTCACAGTGGCGGTGATAGGAACCAGACGTCCACCTCTAAAAGCTCCCTCACAGAGAGTTATTACATGGTAATAAATACACTGTCTAATGTCTGATATATTGTTTTATGACAATTTTGTGATAAAGTATTGGCTTAAAATGTATTTTAATTTATTTATTTTAATCCACTTGTGGTGGAGAGGTACATGCAGGTTGATGTAGGGCAAAATATATATATATATATATTTTTTTTTTCAGATTTTCCACTATTTTCCATCATCAACGTTCCATATAAACTCAGAAGACTCGTGTAGGTTCACTGGTGACTGCTCTATACAAGATTTACAGTCATATGCAAAAGTTTAGGCACCCCTGGTCCCATGAATTGTTGTTTTCTAAGTGAAAATAAGTGAACACATCATCTACACAGACACACGTCTGCACACTGTAATGCAGAATTACTGTTTATTTACTGAATTTAAAATAACATAAAAAACATGAAATCTGGTGAGTACAAAAACCCACAAAAACACTGGATATTTGATCTTGATTTTTTTTCAATATGGTAAATTCAGCAAACAAACAGTAAGTGTGTCTCTGTAGAGGACAAGTAATTTATTTACACTTAGAAAATAAAAAACATGTAATTTCTCTCGGGGTGTTCAAACTTTTGCATTCAATTGTATATCATGTTGAAGTCCAGAGTACGGAGCTCCGCTGGTGACATCCTGTATTAATAAAAACAATGCGTGGTAAAGCATTTAGTAAAGCATGGGAACGGGATCCTATTGCATGGCCACAACTTAATCATCTCATTCCCACGCCTTACTAAGTCGTGGCCATGCCTTAGGATCTTGTTCCCACTCGTTGATAAAGCCACTGATTATTTTTATTTATCTAGTCATCATCAGGGCTTCGTAGGGCTCCATACCAGAGAGGCCATGAGGTAATTATAATTTTTTGGATTATTTTGAGATAATGAGTTAATTATCTTGTTATCTCAAGATAACAAAAGCTGTTATCTCAAGGTAACAAGTTAATTATCTTGTGATCTCAAGACAGTCATCTCAAGATAATGAGTTATTTATCTTGTTATCTCAAGAAAAAAGTTGTCATCTCGAGATAATGAGTTATTTATCTTGCGGTCTCAAGATAACATTGTCATCTTGAAGTATTGAGTTACTTATCTTGTTATCTCAAGATAACAAAATTGTCATCTTGAGATAGAGTGATCACAAGATAATTAACTCATTATCTCAAGATAACATCTTTGCTATCATGAGATCACAAGATAACTGACTCGTTATTTCAAGATGACAAATTTGTTATCTTGAAATGACAAGATAATTAACTCGGTATCTCAAGATAACAATCCAGAAGATTATAACTACCTCATGGCCTCTCTGGACTTCTGTAATATCAGCATTATTCTGTACGTATTTCAGAGACGACCTCAACACCACAGCTGGGCTTTATACGCTCTGCACTCTTACAGGACTAGATCTGCTCTTTGAATGGACTATTTGATCCGTCTAAAGGGGGCCGAGATTAAACGAGTCCCAAAAATCCTCCTCAAGGCCTTTAACAGCTTCCAGAACAAATTTCCTGGTCTTTTTAAACTGTTTGGTCATTTAAAAAGTGAACTAAACTCCTACAGATTCACTTCATACAACAGAATTAACACAATTCTACAGTGATTACTTTCATTCTGCTACGCTGTTTAAATGGAAACACATAATTAATTACACAGCTATGTACTTAATTACATTTCCATTCAGATTACATTCTATATGAACAGGTTCATACTGAACACGCAATAACAGCCTCTCATCAAATTCAAATCATCATAGAATTTCATCTCTTCTACTAACAGATACAGATGTAGTCTGGATTAGAAGTTTAGGCTCAACCCCATTTCACCCCTCGCCCCTACCACTTAGCCCTACCCCTCTGTTTTGCGTGTTCACGTCTAGGGGTGGGGTGTCCCGGTTCTTGTTGAGATAGAGGGGGAGGGTGAAGTGTTAGGCCTACATGACCCTCCACACTAAGGTTTTTCAGAGACTCACTACAAACAGAGAGTTATGAAATAAATAAATAAATAAATAAATAAATAAAGTATATGTAGTAAATAATGATGTAAAAAATAGTACTTATAAAATAATCTCAATAGCAACAACTATAACAAAAGTAATAGTGATAACAATAATACGTTATATATTTAATAACTATTATATGAGGTAAATAATAATTATAGCAAATAATAAACAATAATAATAGTTCTATAATACTAACAATAATATTATTAATAAATAATCATTTATAATAAATGATATTTTGTTATTTTACAATAATAATACAATAAAATATATAATATATAAAAATAATATAATCATTATTATTATTAGTATTATTATTGCGCAATAACGACAGAACAAGTGTAAAACAGGAACAAAAGAAAAACCAGCAAGTTGGCTGAGCAAGAGACCAAAGAAACCTGTAAATGTGAGAATTTCTCTCGGTAAAAATCACCGTCGTAAATGTTTAACGTCGTTTCAGTGTATTATGGTCCTTTTCTTCATAACAAGCAGAGAAAAATCACTTGTAGTTTGATGACGTCTCGGTAGCTACCTAGCTAAATTTCCCATTCCACCTTAAACGGTGCAGCAGTTCTGACACCTGGGGTGCCAGAATGTAACTGCTGCTCCATTTAAGGTGGAACGGGAAAATTCAAACAAGAAGCTGGAAAATATCTGACTTCAGCTTCACATCACTGAAGAATTAGGGGTGGTTTATCACAATAATCACTGAATTATCTTAGTTCAATGTCGTTTCACTTATTATGGTCTTTTTCTTCACAACAAGCACAAAGAATCACTGGTAATATGATGACGTCTCAGTAGCTAGCTCGATAAATTTCCCATTCAACAGGAAAATTCGAACAAGAAGCCGATTCTTCTGTTCTTTGAAGTCATATGATTCCCTTAATGTAACTAAAGCCCAGCAGTGAGGAGCTGAACTTCACCCTCCTCTGCTGTCACTGCAGACTGGCAGGGTCGCAGTCACATGCAACTCCCAAACTGGCCACCAGAGGTCATCCTCTCCTGAATTCTAACTGTCACTCACCCACACCTGTTCTCAATCTCCGTTCACCAACTCCCCTATAAATACTCACACACTCTTTCTGCTCTTCAGTAGCATTGTTAGTGTGTCACTGCCATCCTGAGCCTTTTCTCTATAACGGTTTGACTTTGTGGTTTATTGATCTCGGCTAGCCTTTTTTGACTCTGATTTTTGGATCTGTTGTATGTCTTTGTGGCCTCTGACCCTCCGCTCTGCCCCGACTCTGTTTTTGGACTGTGTGTTTGTACCATTGTCTGTCACAATAAAGCCTGCTTATGGATCCTACCAACCAGCCTAGTCCTGCATTGTTACAGTCGCCTACAGAGCAGGGCTGGTAGCTGTTAATGAAGTGATGCTCTTTTTATTTGAGGGTCCCATTTCAGAGGGAAGATTTCAACCACTACCCTGTAACTCAGTTCTAAGGGTCAAGGTGACTCTCGAAAACAAGAGGTGGGGTACAAATAAGAGATAGGATTGGGCCTTAGAGTGTGGCTCTAACAGCCCATGTGTGACTTTAGAGGTTTTCTCAGTTTTTCAGAAGATTTAACATCAGCGTTCTCAGAGAAAATCCAAGAGGTGCTAACGCTAACAGGCTAAATCAAACACAAACACATGCAACGGCTCGGTTCCGAGTTGCTTGAGAATGAGTCAGTGCACATTTAAAAGAAAAAAAGACACAAATAAATATAACTGTTTAAAATCACTGTTGGTCTCTGGAGAGCAGAAGATACATTAGGAGTCCGAGACAGTAAAGAAAAAACATATCAAGATCCACAGAACCGTTTCACACTATTTTAATGTTGTATTTTGACACTGAAAAAGAAACAAGGACCAAATTATTACATTTACAGCACTGTACAAATCAAGATATAACTGCTTATATGCAAAACATACTGATTATAATGCAAACTAAATCAAAGTACTGCTTTATTAAAAAAGTACTGATACATCAATTTATACAGTAAAAAACGAGGATCATACACCGATCAGGCATAACATCATGACCACCTCCTTGTTTCGACGCTCATTGTCCATTTTATCAGCTCCACTTACTATATAGGTGCACTTTGTAGTTCTACAGTTACAGACTGTAGTCCATCTGTTTCTCTTTCTGATACTTTGTTAGCCCCCTTTTACCCTGTTCTTCAGTGGTCAGGACCCCCATGGACCCTCACAGAGCAGGTACTATTTGGGTGCTGGATCATTCTCAGCACTGCAGTAACACTGACGTGGTGGTGGTGTGTTAGTGTGTGTTGCGCTGGTCTGAGTGGATCAGACACAGCAGTGCTCATTATGATGTCAGAAACATGATCGGCTTTAAATCTCTGAAATGTTTGATAAATACGGGCCTGCGAAAAGAGTACATACACCAATGTACACCTTACATACTGTAAATATACTTCTTTAATATTGAACTAGCTTTAAATCTTGACGCTTCTATCTAATCAGCATAAACAGCATGCAGATAAAGGGTTTAAAAATGCTGCATAATGTAAAGGTTAAGATGTAAACAGAGTCACTCAGAGTGGTTTGGTGTGAAAGAGTCAGAACTGTTCACAGTGGTGGTGATAGGAACCAGACGTCCACCTCTAAACGCTCCCTCACAGAAGGATGTTGGCTTAAATATATTCTATAAACAATTAATAAGGAGAGGTACTTGCAGGACATTGCAAGGCAAAACAGTCCCTTAACAAAGCTATTTATTTCAGATTTTCCACTATTTTCCCATCATCAACTCTCCATATAAACTCAGAAGACTCGTGTAGGTTCACTGGTGGTTTTGGATAGTAAATAAAATGTCTATATTTGTGTTGTAGTCATGGCGACCCCTGGTTCCTATCACCACCACTGTAAAGACAACTGAACCATTTCACACCAAACCACTCTGAATCACTCATCTCACACACTCAGTTATGCCAAAATTTTGAAAAATCAGTGGAATTCCCCTTTAAAACATCAGCCACACGTGTGGCTTTTTTCCTTAGTGGGGACACAACTGTGATCAATATTTCTTGTTTAAGTCTGTTTGAAAATCACACATAATTCAAACTAATCATCAGGACAGAGACTTCACCTCCCTCTCCGGTCTCTCTGGCCGTGTCCGTCAGTAATCCGTCCAATCATGGGAGCTAGAGAAATGTCCAGTGTTGGGGTTTATGATTTAGTCTGAAGTTAGAGCTGAGTGTAACTGGAGTTTTCAGAGTCGGAGGAGATTTTAACCAGCGGCGAAGGCGAGCCGACAACTGTGTCTGTAATAACGCACAAAACAAGACCCATCCGTCAATGACAGAGATAAAAACAACAACAAGGCAAAATAAAAGACACCAATCTGCAGTAAAATACATAAAGTATAAAAATAAACAATGTTAAGTAAAGAATTAATTTAATTAGCAATAATAATAAAATACCAGGAACGGAATAATGCTTATACTAAATAAATAAATAAATAAATAAATAAATAAATAAAGTATATATAGTTAATAATGATGTAAAAAATAGTACTTACAACAATATTCTCAATAACAACAACTATAACAAAAGTAATAGTGATAACAATAATACATTATATATTTAATAACTATTGTATGAAGTAAATAATAATTTTTGCAAATAATAAACAATAATAATGGTTCTATAATAATAATAATAACAATTATAATAATAATAATAATTATTATTATAGTTATTATTATTATTGCACAATAACAACAACAGAACAAGTTTAAAACTGAGACACAAAATACAAAGAAATGATCCTATTAAAATGCAGTATGTTTTAATATATCATTAAAATGTACAGGTGTTCAGGTACACTGTTAAAAAGGTGGTTCCTCAAGGGTTCTGTAAAGAAATGGTTCTATATAATATCATGAACACTCACAGAACCCTTCGCATGATAAAAGGGTTCTTTGCATCATAAAAGGGTTTCTCAGACTGATGGAGAATGTGCTGTAGATGGCTCTATATAGAACCTTTTTGCAAAAGGGTTCTATATAGCACTCAAAAGGGTTCTTCTACTGCAACAAGATTGACATCATAACAACAGAAGAACCCTTTTGGGTGCTACCTAGAACCACCTACAGCACATTCTCCAACAGTCTGAGGAACCCTTTCATGATGCAATGAACCCTTTAATCATGCAAAGGGTCCAAAATATCTACATTAATCAAGCAAAGGGTTCTTTGAGTGTTCAGGGTTCTATATAGAACCATTTTCTTCACTAAAGAACTCTTGAAGAACCATCTTCAAGAAGAGAATTCCAGCTGGTTGCCATAGAAACTGAAGAAAGCCTTACAGAAAGCTGTGTTTAACTATACTAAACCTCACTATTGCACTAAACGTTAACGTCTGAGGTGGTCCCACCTGTATCAGTGTTCGGTTTGCCCCCCGGGCTTCTGTGCTGGCCATCTATGTGTGCGGTCATCTCTTTGCGGTCGGGGGTGCAGTGGCCGCACTGAAGGCAGCTGTAGCGCCCCCTGGTGTGCTCCCAAAGGATCCGACTGCTGAAAGACTGGCCTGAGAGAGGAGAGAGAACATCAGCAACAACAGCGACTGGTCACTTTAACAAACTCTTACTCAGGCAAGAAGCAACTCAGCAGCTGAGAAGAGATTCGGATCAAACGCGGTCGTGCCGATTATGAGAAATCAAAGCAAGCTTCAGTATAATCCACCACCAATGGGACACAGATTAAACCAAATTATGGACTATATTACTCTGGCAGCTTTTCACAGACAGTCTTTTAGTGGAGATGCACCAACGACATAATCATTTCATAGTAGTTTCAGCTTAAAGGGAAACTCCATCAATTTGTCAAAAATTCAACATAACTAAATGGTTAAGATGTAAACAGAGTCGTTCAGGGTGGTTTGGTGTGAAACGCTCTGTTCTAGAGAAACTTACCGAGTCAGAACTGTTCACAGTGGTGGTGATAGGAACCAGACGTCCACCTCTAAAAGCTCCCTCACAGAAAGTTACTACATGAAATGTTTATGAATATGAACATTGTTTTATGATACTTTTGAGAAGGTTTTGGTCTAAAACATTTTTTTTAAACATGTAGTGCAAATTAGTACCCAAAGAAAACTTATTTTTTCAGGTGTACCACTATTCATATACAACACATCATCATCAGAATTACCTATAAAAACTCAAGTCATGTGTAGATTCACTGGTCATTTTGGACAGCAAATAAAATAGCTATATTTGTGAGCCCTGTTTCCTATCACTGACACTGAAATGTTCTCCATCATAAACCATTTCACATCAAACCACTCCGAACAGTCAATGACTGAATTACCCTGAAATTTTGAAAAACTGGTGAAATTCTCCTTTGATGCTTAGGCTGGGTAATGTTGCATGAATAAATGGTTATCAACCCATTTATAGAGTGGTACCAATATCATCTCCAGTAATGATACTGGTATTGATACAGTGCTCTATTTTTAATTCTAGGACTATTCTCGATCCGCGCCTGCAGTACCAGCCCCTCACTGTTTACAGCCCTCTGTAGACCAGCCTGTCTCCTCACAAAACGCAGAATAAACATCAAAATAGTCCCAGTAAAACATGGAAATGAGAAAACAGCTGCTGGCATAGGTGGAGTTTGAGCTGACACTGACACTACAGGTGTAAACGAACATCGACGCTATTAGTGGTTTAGTGGATTTAAAGGCGTGTTGCATTTATACCAGTTACACAACACACAACTACTGCTATGGTATAGTAGAAGGCGTCTGCTCTACTGCAGTAACAAAACCTACACAGTCGGCATTTCAGGAAAAGAGACACTCTACATTATTTTTATTACCATAATCACACAATGAGCCATTACTGCCTTTATGTACATGTATATGTACACTATATAGACAAAAGTATGTGGACACCCCTACTAATTATTGAGATGGTTGGGAGAGTTTGGTGTGAAAGAACTTCACTGGCCCTCACAGAGTCCTGACCTCAACCCCATCCAACACCTTTGGGATGAACTAGAATGGAGACTGTGAGCCAGACCCTCTCGTCCAACATCAGTGTCTGACCTCACAAACGTTCTTCTGGATGAATGGGCAGAAATTCCCACAGACTCTCTCCAACATCTTGTGGAAAGCTTCCCAGAAGAGTGGAAGCTGTTACAGCTACAAAGGGGGACCAACTCCATATTAATGCCTATGGATTTAGAATGGGATTCATAAAAGCTCCTGTAGGTGTAATGTGTAGGTGTCCCAATACTTTTGTCCCACTTATGTATATACAGGGAGATTCACTCGAAAGAGGCCCCGAATATTCCGTAATAACTCTCTCTAGGACGAAGCAATCTGAACGAAACAACGTGCAAAGTGCTCCTCAGTATATGGAGCTTCATCAGAGCGATGAGGTAGGCGCCGAACATCCGCCACGACGTTTGACCTCTGTTTGCAACTTCCGGGTGCATACCCCTTTACCCCTTCACGTGTCTGGCAGAAAACGGAGATCACTTCCAGCATCGCATGTAATGCAATCGATTACACACACGTCAAGATATGTAGCAGCTTTTTTCGGTTCAGATTGCTTCATCCTAACGGGAGTTACAGCAGAATATTCGGGGCCTCTTTCGAGTGAATCTCCCTGTGTATATATATATATATATGTATAAAATCATTTTTTAGAGGTTCTGTGATATTGTTTTTGCATCTTGTTAAAAAGTAGTCCAGGCTTAAACACTCATTGTAACTTCAGAGGGTGGGGCTAAACCGCTGTAGGCTGAATAGGTGGATATCAGAAAAACAATTAATTCACTGAGATGTTTTTGTAGCTTCATTTTCCCTATGCATATGAACTGTATGGCCTGGAGAGTGAACAGTATGTTTTAAAACTCATCAGTGTTTACGTATGACATCAAAATTCAGTTTTCCATTATATGGATCCTTCAACTAAATCAACCCCTTAAATGGGCCCAGCGCCACCAGCAGGCCCAAAGTTTTATTACAGACTTCTATAACCTAAGAACAGCTTAGACAGTTTGCACTGAACTCCCTGTAGTTACTGAATAATAAGCCTCAGTATGTAATAAGCCTGTGATTTTAAGCGGTCAACCAATAATCCAATTTCAGACGCCACACCTGTCTTAGCCAACTGACCATGAGATCAGCAGAGAGCTGAGTAAAACTGAACCACTACTTTAATTTCAAAGCAGCTGACGCTCTGGTTTAGTAGAGGGTGTAATAAACCCCCTGCTTCACCACAAACTCCACCTATGGGCGCTGAGATGTAGCTGTGAGCAGCTCGAAACACCTCCCCTGAGCCTCAGGGTCTAAAAGGATTTGTCCAGCAGTGACCACCACCGAGCCCCACCAATGCTAAGGGAGAGGGGGAATCGGTGCAGGACAGGAGAAAGAAAAGGACTATGGCTCATACTCTCTGGTATCTGTGATCATCTGTTAGTGAAGCCCTCATCAGATGTGCGCCAGGTTGCCAGTTTATTAGAAACACCTACCTTGTATATATACTCATTGGCCATTTTATCAGAAACACCAACCAGGAGCCCATGACATTACAATACTGTGCAAAAGTCAGAGACCCCCCTTAAATTATTGAGTGCTCAGTGAGTCACTCTTTACCTTCATTCCAGCTTCCATTCCCACTTTCAGTTCCTCAAAGAATCTGCAGACACGCCTTCAAAGTTCAGTCTTAGAAGCTGGTTGATCATTTTCTGAAGTAATCAAACGCATTCAGTGGTGTTGAGGTTTGGACTCTGGGGTGGTCAGTCCATCGTTCAGCTTCTTTGTTTGATGTGTCCATCTCCTTTTCTCAGTGAGGTTCTTCTTGACAGCTACACATCCTTTCAGACCCACAGCGCTGAGTCGTCTTCTCACAGTGGAAGGATGGACAGAAACACCTGTGGATGTTTTCAGATCTGAAGCAGCTTGATTTTCTCCTCTCTCTCAAAGATAAAAGCTTTAAGTGCTGTTTATCTGATGGGGGCAGTTTTGGTGTCTACCTGGTCTTCCAGGTGGTTGTTAGGGGTCCTTTATTTTGTGTTGACTTTCTCCTTCTTGTGGAAAGTGGATTATCTTATATTTAATTTCATCAGATCTTGTCCTTAATGACTCTTTTGACTGGAAATTAAATAAATGAAGGGTGGTCTCTGACTTTTGCACAGTACTGCGTTTGAGTGGTGGACCATTCTCAATACGGCAGCGACACTGACATCGCAGTGGGATGGTAGTATTAATAAAATATCCTACAGGCTTTGTGGTCAGTAGCAGAAACTGATCAAGGACTAGAGGATGACTAACACAAGCAGTGCATCGACAGATGGGCTACAGTCTCTAGCTGTACACTACAAGTTGGAAGGTGTTTCCGATAAAATGGCCAGCAAGCGTATATCTAGGATTGAATGTAAGTGGATTGCGTTGCACAGCCACATGATTGGACTAGTAAAGCAGACCAGGGGACACAGTAAGCATAGTTAGAGGGGAGGGAGGGGGGGAGCAGAAGCATCTAAAGCGAATTTTGAGGGAAGTTCTGATTTTTTTTTTCCTGTCTAGCAAAGTGTGTGTGGATATTTCTCTGTGCCTCACCTGGACTTCCTCTCTACTTAAAGCCTGAGCCTGACTGCTCGGAGGAGAGTTCCATCTGTGCAAAAGGGGCGCAGGCGGGTCTGCCAGGACAGTGCAACATGACAAAACACAGTTCACTCAATAAACCGGCACAGTTTCCCCATTAGGACTTATTTAGTTTACTCTCAATGGGCACAAACCTGTTGACAGGCAGGCGACAAAACTGTGAAGTGAGCAGTGATAAAACACAAAGATGCACAAGACCTAAAATGCAGGGTGCTCTGAGGCAGGGGTGGCCTAGAAGGTCAGAGTCGAGCACATTTTCATGATTTTCCTGCTCAAACACACCTAATAAACAGGGCTGCAACGACAGACAGACTGTAATACACTATAGGAAGTGTAGGGGGCGATATGGCTTCTACTGTTTCATTTAAAAAGCCTCTATAATGTTCATATGATCCACACGGTCATTCTGACAGACTGTAATACACTACAGGAAGCGTAGGGGGCGATATGGCTTCTAATGTTTCATTTAAAAAGCCTCTATAATGTTCATATGATCCACACAGTGACTCTGACAGACTGTAATACTCTACAGGAAGTGTAGGGGGCGATATGGCTTCTACTGTTTCATTTAAAAAGCCTCTATAATGTTCATATGATCCACACAGTCACTTTGACAGACTGTAATACACTACAGGAAGCGTAGGGGGCGATATGGCTTCTAATGTTTCATTTAAAAAGCCTCTATAATGTTCATATGATCCACACGGTCATTCTGACAGACTGTAATACACTACAGGAAGCGTAGGGGGCGATATGGCTTCTACTGTTTCATTTAAAAAGCCTCTATAATGTTCATATGATCCACACAGTCATTCTGACAGACTGTAATACACTACAGGAAGCGTAGGGGGCGATATGGCTTCTACTGTTTCATTTAAAAAGCCTCTATAATGTTCATATGATCCACACAGTCACTCTGACAGACTGTACTACACTACATGAAGTGTAGGGGGCGATATATCTGATTATAACAACAATTTTAAGTTGCAGCCTATACCTGCTACTACTGATAGCTGTTGAATTGAATCAGATGTGTTTAAGCAGGGAAATCACCAAACAGCACTGGACTATAGCCCTCCAGGACCACAGCTGGACAGCCCTGCTCTGAAGAACGTTATGAATCATGACGTCTGGTTTAAATCAGGACCCGACTGACATACCAGTTGGCCAACAATATTGCCAATGTTGAGATCCCACAGATTTAAGAAGCACCTATTTAGTGGCTTGTTTACCAGCCACCTCTAATGTGAGAAAACCATTCAATTTTTAGGAATAAAAAAATAATAATAATTAAAAAAAAATGTTAAATGCATGGCATTAGGATAACATTTTATTACCCAAAAAACCCTTTTGATGAAAAATAAGAAAGATAATTAAAAGTTAATTTAAAAAAAAACAACAAAACTGCTGTGAAAGTGTTAAAACTTCATGAGTTTTTGATGTTTATTTGACTTTAAGGAAAATGACAACCGAAAACTGATAATCATATTTAACAATTAACAGTCACATCTGTCTGTAAAGCACCAACTGAAGCTACCGGAATCTATTTATTTTTTAATAACGTATTCAGTGCTGTGCAAAAGTCAGCCATGAAAACCGTTTAAAAGTGTGTATCTAAACACATGTTAACATTAGAATAAGTACAAATAATCATAAAAGCAGTAAAAACAATAAAACTTTCTTGCTTTTAAAATGTTGTTAATGAGTTAGAAATACACAGATAGAAGAACACAGGTTTGTTTCCGGTCTTCTCTCTGCTCTCCAGTCATCGCATGGATTTAATTCCATCAGCAGCACCTGATTTCATTTAATGAAGGACTGATTAGATAAACTAGGTATTGGATGTTAACTGTAATCACTGGACTTCCTCCACGAGAGATTTGGGAAATGGTTAAGACACCACACATCAAATCACAATGTATAGGTCATTTATTTGTATTTATTCTAATGTTGCGGTGTTTTGAACAAATAAATACATATTTATACTCAGATAAATAGCTTTTCACATCATTTTCTCAGAAGACTTCTGCACAGTACTGCATATCGTTGGTGATCAGAATTTGTAGCCCTTTAAAATCAGCATCGCTCACTAATTTTTTCATCTGTTTTATCTGTCGGGCCCTAGTTTAAACCGGACACTCTTCCGACGTCTCACAGCTCTGTGGAGGTCATTCACCTTGGTTCTTCCTCCAGACTGCGTTTGAGCCGGGCGGCGAGAGCGGAGGAGAGGACGCCAGGCTGGACTGGCCGATTCTGGCGGTCCACTGCTGCTGCTGCTCCTGCTGGGACGGGTCAGGCAGAACGGCTGGGTGAACAGGAGACAAACTGGGTGGGAAGGGGCTGTAGGAGGCATCCGGCTGACCGGACACGTTTTGGGTTTTCGCTGGCTCCAAAGCAGCCATGGACTCTGCAGGAGGCCTGATGGAAGTGGGGTCTAGTGAGGAGCCATTGGGAGTTTGCTGAACTTGCTGGTTGGGCTGGGGCAGCGCTGCTGAGTTTGAAAGCAGTGAAGGCTGAGCTTCCATCTGCTCAGGGGACAGTAGAGGCTCAGGGTGCTCCATGTCCACAGGGACCAGCGGGACACCAGAAGGATCCACATCAGGAGCTGCTCCAGGCTCCACCTTTGTTGCCTTTTTGGCCACCTTGGCACAAGTCTGCAGGTGTTTCAGGAGGGTGCGGTACGAGCGCAGCTTCGCTCTGCAGCTCTCACAGCTGTGGACGGAAGCACAGACAAGATTCAGGCTTCGGGCTGCAGCTACTGCTAATACACTGTCAATTTTAAGATAACACTGTCATACATTGTCAGAAAGCAAAGGGGAAAGCAAATTTCTGCATAATTATAGGGTTCAGATGTAAACAGAGTCATTCAGAGTGGTTTGGTGTGAAACGCTCTGTTCTAGAGAAACTTGCTGAGTCAGAACTGTTCACAGTGGTGGTGATAGGAACCAGACGTCCACCTCTAAAAGCTCCCTCACAGAAAGTTATTATATTAAATGGTTATGAATTCACTGAGACATTGTTTTACGATAGTTATGGGAAGGATTTCAATCTAAAACATATTTTTAAAATCCATTCATGGTGGAGGGATTTGTGCAGGGCATTCTAAGACAAAAATAGTTCCCAGGGAAAAAAAAAAATTTATATTTATGATCATTTTACCATGGTCAACATTACATATCGTTGTTCTCGGAAGAAAACCTTGTATCTCCATTTTTGTTGTTTTTCAGTTTTTGCCATAATTTGAAAATGCCTGTTGCTCTTTATACTGTGTGCAAACTTCATGATGAATGGACCAAAAGAAATGACCAAAAATTACTTTGAAAAAATTCTGGTTCCATTGACTTACATTAAAAGTAAAGTAGGTTTTTTTCTTCTCCTGTAACGTTACCATTTTGGAGATATGAGGTTTTCTTCCAACAACAGCATGAAACTCATGACTCGTGTCGCTTCACTGGTGGTTCTGGATAGTAAATAAAATGTCTATATTTGTGTTGTAGTCATGGCGACCCCTGGTTCCTATCACCACCACTGTAAAGACATCTGAACCGTTTCACACCAAACCACTCTGAATGACTCTTCAGGTGACTGTGTGATGACACAGGCTTGCAGTTAACAGCCTGCTAATTGGTGGGGTATAGGTTTTTACTTCGTTAGCTACATTAGCCTCATAGCTCCAGTGCTAAAACTAAGGAAGCAGACTTCAGACAACAAACATGTCCTGGTTCATCAACTACATTTGGTGTATCTGTGAGCTTTGGCCAAATGTGACTACCTTTAACACACCAACTGAAGTTAAATTACTATTATGAGTAACAAAGAAACATGAAGCATCTATGCTTCTCTTATGGCTCTCAAATCTAATAGGACTCACAGGAAAAAGTAATTTGGCTTGTGGTGATGCCTCCCATGATCCATGAGCTGCTGCATGTTGGAGAATGAAGCCTCACAGCCTATTGTGGAGCACAGGAAGGATTTCCCTAGGAGGGAGGAAGAGATGACATTGAGAGACAGCAGCCACATTTACTGGACTAGATTAGAGTGGCCGCTAACCTTGCATTACAAATGAGTAATGTGTACAAATCCAGCAGACATAACCTGCATTACAGCAGGTCCAATCTGCAAAACTGACAATGGCTTTAAAATGCATAATATTAAAACCCTACAACATACATAAAACTTTACAGTAGAAGCAAATAAATGTTCTCAACTTTAATGAGTCTTAGTGTAATTGGATTGTATTATAAGTAATTTTGTGCCATTTCTATTCCATTCATCATGAAATGTTCACGCAATGTAAAGGGCAGCAGGCATTTTCAAATGGAAATATAAAATTAGATCATTTTTTTAGTTTTGAGGTTTTGATGTAGCTATAACGCTACTGACAATGTTGATTTTTTTTTTAAATAAAAGACTTTGATGTAGTATGTAAACACTACTAAAGTTACCAAGCTGCAAAAAAGTCCATTTTGAATTCATTCTTCTTTTCACAAAACTCATTGCATTGACACATATCTGCCTATTCTATGGAGGACCAGATTCGCCAAAATGAAAAATAAATAAAATTAAAAATAAAAAAATATATTTGAAGTAGAATTGCAAAAAAATAATGATGATAAATCTAAAAATAAACACATATACCTAACAATTAATATATTAATAATTAAAATCTTATATAAATTAATATGGCTGCATTTATGTATGTCTATTTAGTAATTTCCCCTTCTCACTAATTTATGTATTTTTTTATTTTTGTTATTTATGTTTCTTTATTAACGTTTTTTGTTTTTCTATTAATTTATTTCCATAACTATTAATTTCTCTATTTATTTATTTCCCTATTTATTTCTGTATTTCCTTGTCCTTATGCTAATAAAGGGGCTGTCAGTCAATGATGTCACAGCGTCTTAATATTCCTATTGGTTGATCGATGTCAGACTCTGTAGATCGACAGTTTAATCAGCTCTTCTCTTCCTGAACTTGATGGCTAAGCCTGAATGTGAAAAACACGCCCCCTCATTATCATACGAAGGAAGAAATACAGAAATAAATTAATTAATTAATGAACAAATAAATAAATAAATGAATTGATGAAAAAAAAATGAATGAATACATGAATCAAAGAATAAAGCGAACAATTGTAGATATGGAAAATATATAAAAATGACATTAATAAAACAAAATAAATAATCCAGAAATAAATAAATTGAGAAATATATAACTGCAGAAAAAGGAAATATGTGTATAATTACAATCACAATAAGCAATATATACTTTATTTAGTGTTCTAATTTATTGATTAATTTACTGAGGAATTTATTTTTTAATGTTATTTACACCATGCAGTTATAAGGAGTGTTTCAGTCCAGACTGCTTTATGAATGATGCATAATAAAGGTCAGCCAATCACAGCACAGCTCATTTAAATACACCTGTCTTAAATGCATTTGAATTATGACTCTTTTTGGTATAAAACCACAAAAATTCCATAAACAGAAAAAATAAAGTACAAGAAAAATGCCAGATATGGGCCCTTTAACATCCACTACGCTACAACAAAGATTTAGATTTGTTTGCATACAGCCATAAACTGTTTTAATTCCAAATGAAAGAACATACCAGGAAGGGACTGCGCAGGGATCTTATGATGATCCTGGAGGTGACCGTTCAGCGCTTCTGAATTGGTATAAGTCCGCTTACAGCCATAAAACGAACAGGACAAATGGCAACCTGAAACGAAAAAGGATTGTCTGTGCATGAATACCATACTAGATCAGTAATGGACTTGGACTTGATGTTCAATATCACACTCAAAATATTGCTCCAGTCTAGTCCTGAAGTCTCTGTCCTGCACGTTTTAGAGCCTTCTTGCTCCAAAACCCCCCTAATTTACCTTCAAGCAGGGTTTAGAAATGTGCTATGGGTAAAAATGGGTATACTGAGAGCTGCTAGCTCTGGGCAACACATCGTCTATAGTGGTATACTGTGATACAGACACACCGTGATACTGAGTTTTAGCAAAATTGATAGAACATTCAACTGCATAAAGGGAAATTCAACCTATTTTTCAAAATTCAGCTCTCTTTATCGTATTTCTAGACCTTACTCCGATCTAAGAACTTGGAGTATGCTGTTTATACGACCATAATCAGACATATCAGATAAATGATTGGATCGGTGTGATTTTAGAGTCTTCTTGCTCCAAAACGCCCCTAATTTACCTTCAAGCAGGGTTTAGAAATGTGCTAATTAGTGACAGGAAACAAGGGTCGCCATGGCAACAACACAGATACAGCTATTCTACTTACTATCCAAAACCACCAGTGAACCTACACGAGTCTTCTGAGCTTTATATGGAATGTTGATGATGGAAAAATAGTGGAAAATCTGGAATAAAAAGTTTTCTTCAGCGATTACTTTGCCTCACAACACCCTGCATGCTGCCCTCCACTATGAATAGATTAAATGTACGTATATTTCAGCCCAAAAGCCCCTCTCAAACTTTTGTAAACAATGTTTCAGGCATCAGGGGTCATATCTGCAACCATTGAGTGTTTTTTCTGAGAGGGAGCTTTTTGAGGCATTAAACATCCCATCACCACCACTGTGAACAATTCTGACTCATAAAAACCCTCTGAATGTTTACATCTCAACCGTGTTTAACCTCTTACTGACCAGGGTATATTTTTGGTTTGTCCATCTGAATTTACATGACCAAATCGTAAGGCTAATGATTCAGTAACTGCATGAGATAAATGTAATTTTTTTTATTTATTTATTTATTTTTTGTAAAAGCTCCCCTCAAATGAACAGAACATGTGTTTTATGATCACACATATTGCTATATGCTTACAATTTACTACTGAAAGCCAAAAAACTTAGACGCTCTTTGTATTATTTTATAAAAATAATTTTTACAGAGCAGATCACTGAAGAGACGCCATCTGTTTATAGTTTATAGCCCAGATTTGTGGAAAAATGGGTCAAATTTCAGTAGAAAAAAAATTATTCAGAGTTCAGCCTCTTTTATTATAAGGGTTTAAAATTACATCACCATCTATTTGACTGGAGAGAAGACAGTTACAGCTCTCATACGACCCCCACCTTTTGAATGTAGCTTATGAAATAGGAAAGTTATGAAGAATATGACGAAGCATGTTTTGGAACCACCGGTGGTCTCAAGGAATTGAAAAGGTTAATTATGCAGAAATTTTGAAAAATTGGTGGAATTTCCCACGTAATGGTAATAATAACTAATAATGCAAAGTTACATTATGGTATCAGATGCTATATGTTCTGTATTTGGTAGATAGTGTGGTATTATCATCCAGCACTAGAACAGGGCTTATAACTCAAAATTCTGACTAGGAAATTTCTATAATCATTATAATCATACCCTCCATGGCAGATCAGGCTTGTAGTGAGGTGAAGTCTGGGATGCTGGACTTTTGCTGCTGCACACTTGCAGATGAGCTCAGTTTGACCACCTTAACTCACACTGAGAATGAAAATAGCAACAGTGATGCAGGGGTTAGTTTATGTAAACGTTCAACCTGTTACTCAGTTTAATTACGGTTAATATTAAATAAAGGTTACTAAAGCCGCTCAGAGTGAACCTTAACCTTAACAGTTAACATCGTAGAGATAGACTGGCTAAGGGTGGACTTGGCTTCCGATTTGCAACTTCTTGTTCGAATTTTTCCGTTCCACCTTAAATGGTGCAGCACTACACCACTTCACGCCGCTGGCCTCGGGCACCAGAACGTTAACTGATGCACCATTTAAGGTGGAACGGAAAATTTGAATGAGAAGTTGACTTCTAGCTAGTATTCCAGCAAGCAAACTATCGTTTTAATTACAAATACCAACACGTATTTAATGGAAATAAAACAACGTAGTTAATTTACGATATTTACCTCTGAAAAAAATCCTATTTTTTAAAAAACGAGCGTTAAACAGCTACACTGAGTGTCGGTTAGCTGTTAGCTATTAGCGACCTGACAAAGACTGAGCGAGCTGCGCTGTGTTTTATATCAAATTAGCTGCTGATCTGGATTAAATACCGCTTTTCGGACCCTTTTACTCATTGAAGACGGGCCGCTGAGGTTGAGGAATAATAAAACCTTGTAGAAACGCGTTTCTTCTGCCTGCTGTCTGGTTTGTTTTTGTTCTTCCGCCGTTGCAGCGTACGTGCAGAGAGGCACTGCAGGGTTGCCAGATCACGCCGCCTGGTTCCTCCTGTTGAGCACGCGTAAAATAATTAATAAATAAATACATAAATAATTCAGCAAATGAATGATAGAAATATTGCGATGAACATTCAAACGTTCACAAAAAAAAATGCACTCAAACAAATAAATACAGGCAACCTATCTATAATCCATTATTATATAAAGGGAAACAGTTAGATAGTTATACTACAAAATAATATATATATATATATATATATCGCTGCTGTCGAAGGAAAACCTCATATCTCCATTCTTGACGTTTTTCAGTTTTTGACATAATTCGAAAACACCTGTTGCCCTTTACACTGTGTGTAAATTTCATGATGAATGGACTAAAAGAAATGACCCAAAATTACTTGGAAAAATGTCTGGTTCCATTGACTTACATTTAAAGTAAAGTGTGTTTTTTCCTTCTCCAGTAAAGTTAACATTTAGGAGATAAGAGGTTTTCTTCCGACAACAGCGATGTATGTATATATACACACACATAAGTCTTCAGCTGGGCAAATGTGCTGGGCCTTTTTTGTCGTATTCTGAGCTTAATAAAACACACGTTTTCAATGAGAGACTTTGGACTGGACGCAGGCCAGTCTAGCACCTGCACTCTCTGACTGCACAGTGTAAAATGTGCAGAATATGGCTTGTTTTTTTTGTTTGTCAGACCACCATACATGTTTCCACTGTGTGCATCAGTCCATTTCAGATGAGCTTGAGCCCAGAGAAGTCGGCGGTGTTTCTGGCTGTGGTTGATATATAACCTCCACTGTGCATAGTGCAGTCTAAACCTGCAATGAACGGTTTTTATTGACATCAGTTTGTCAAAGTTTCCCCAAGCCCATGCAGTAATTTCCATGCCAGATTTTAAGGCAATTTCATCAGTCATGGTTTTTGGCCTTTTTGTTTATGCATAGACATTTCTCCAGATTCTCTGAATTTTTCAAGGATATTATGTACCATAAAGGGTGAAATACCTTTCTTTGCTGTTGCTTATTGAGGAACGTTGTTTTCAAACTGTGAGATTTTTTGCTGTTACGCGAGACACTAGTGTTGGTGTGATGTGGTCGTGCCATGTATCACCATACCTTAAGCTGTTGTCTGCAATGGTAGGCTCCTCAAAATGGAGTAGCTGATATAGAAAACTAGCATGCCTGTTTTAAATTATTGGCTCTCCTACGACTGTATCATAAAACTTAACACAATAACTAGTTTAACAGGAATTTTAATTCTTTTGCAGAATGAAAAAATAAACTTTCGTAGATCAGCGCTAATAACAGGAGCAGTCCAGACTGTGACTCTGAAAAGCTAAAAGAGAAATTTACACTGTGTTATGAAACATTTTGTCGGTCTATTTTAAGGGAAACAAATCAAGTCTGAAAAATGACCATCGGGGCGTCGGTAGGCCAGGTTTAAGGGATTTAAGCTCAGATTTTACAGCTTTCACAGGGCACTAGAACCTGCAGGAAGCACTGTTGTCATTTGCTGGAATTGTAACTCTTAATATTTCAAAACTTTTGGGAGTACATGCAAAAATAACTCCACTAGAGTAACTCATTTCATTTTGGGATTTTATACAAAAACACAATAACTCAAAATCAACTGAGAAGATTTCATTTAAAAATTAGTACTGCAGTAAACCACAAATTGCCTTTTTCATGAACTGCACTGTCGTGTTGAACTCGTGGCATTTCACATCACAGCGTTACAGTAAGGCACCGTATACATTCCATCATCCATGAAAACTGTGTCTCAAATCAACACTAATCACTGTAAAGCCATCTGTTGTGTCCTGAAAGCAGAAGGCATTCATGTGGTCAAAACCCTGCACTGACATTTGCTTAAAGGAAAATGTTCTCACATTTCACAATTACATTTACAATCTTTTTAAAGACGAACGTCTCCTTTTGACATCAGTGCAGACAATCATTACAGTGTGATATTCTGCTTTTTCCCGTCACACAGCAAGTAGTGGAGAAAACTAAATCACTTAACATTAAGCACATCACTTAACATTTCACTACCCTCTAGACTGCTAATCAAAACACTTTTAATGGGACCAATTTAAAACATTTTAAAATAAATTCTCCCAAGTGTTTTAGAAAAAAAAACATAAGATAAAACATCAAATAATGAATTAGTTTATTGTTTTCAATGAAATACAAGTCAAAACTAATTTACAAATTACTGTTTTATAAAACCTTTAATGATTTGGAGTTGTAGTAGTTCTCTTTTCCCTAAAATGAAAAAGAAAGGGCTGTGCTGATCCACTTTTCATAAGGAAGACTACCATGCTCCCTCTTAACTGAAATACAAAGAAAGGCATAAAGAAGTAGGAAAAAAAAACAGACAAACAGTCAGGAAAAGAAAGAATAAACTTTAATTTGTGGAATAGTAAGCTATGTTGAAGAAGCACACTAGGGTTATGATACCATTATGAAAATTATGGTTATAAAAACTTAAGAGCTGGCCTTAACAGCACTGCGGATATTCTGGTGGTTCTGACACCTGAGGAAAAATAAGATGCAATTTAAAATCAATTATATAAAAATGACAAAAAATAAATTTTGTAACAACGGAAAACTTTATAAATTGTTTGTTCTATTATTGTTCAGCAAACAGTGAGTGACCAGACTTGTGCGTTCTTCGCCATTCAGAGATCTAAAGAAGACGGAGGGCTTCCACAGGTTCCAAGCAGAAATGGCCTTTGTGACGAAAGGATATTTAGAATAACATTCAACCTTTCTTTTTTCCCTTTTTTTTAACCTAATCAAAATCAAGCACCAACAATCCTGATATCTAGTTTTGGAACTGCATAAGTTGTAAAGTATTTATTTTGGCCTCTAATTTAAATATTAAGGCATTTTATTTGTTTTACTCATCTATTTTATTTTATTTTTACTCATTCTTGTTTTCTTTGGATTTATTTATTCGTCATTTACTAAATACAATTGTTTATACTCCAAGGTTGAAGTTTACTTGAGGTTTTGATGGATGTACAGAGGGCAGTCAAAACAGGCGAGGGTCAGAACCAGAGAGATAGAAAACCAAAACAAACGGGACATTCAGAGAGTGGTCAAAACCAGTCCCAGTTCAAAAACCAAAATCTCATACAAATCCAGCGAACAAACCAAAAAAGGGCAAAGACAAAAGGGCAGGTCAGAAACACGAAAAAACAGGTCATACGCGAAAGAACATGCAAACAAAGTCCGCTCAGTACGCAACGCAAAAGGGTTGGCAATACTTCGCAAAGTCTGCGCTAAAGCCCGGGCTTTATGTGCAAACTGGCTAATAAACTGTGATGAAAAACAGGCGCGACAGTTCAGTATTCTGGTGAGGCTGAACGCTGAAAGGAACGTTCATTGGTTGATGGCGGTGGCGTAGGAGTCACGTGGTCTCCCACTGACTCATGGGAGTTGTAGTCCTCTGGGCCGTTCAAGGACTCAAGGGGTCTGAGCAAAAACGAACAGGTGGAAGAGGCGTCCTCGGCAGAAGGCGTGACACATTTAAGCACTACAATAAAACATTTTACGCAAATTAAAAATGTATTTTCAAAGTCTTTTTAAAGCTACTGTATTTTTTTTCATGCCTTTAAAGCTCTAACTTCATTCTAATTGTAGAAGTTCAAGCAGGATCAAGCTGTATCAATACGAGAGTGGGGCTTTCGACTTTCTGACCAAACTACTGAACTTCTCAGGTGGCGAAGCAGTTCTGTGAACAGCACAGAACAAAGGCACCTGAAATAAAAAATAATATACTGCTGGGTAATTCCCTGATGGATTACATGAAAAAAAGGAAAAAGATGGGACGAAATGACGAAATAAAATTAAAATACCACATTTCTAAATATTCTCTGTACAAAACCAAAAAAACAAAGCTAACACAACTACCCAGCATTTTAGATAAAGTCGTCTGGGATGGGTTACTATTTACATACTATTTTTACTCACCTATAACCTACAATGCTTGTGCAATATAACATATTAAGGAATGTAGCGTTACAGTAATTGCGTAACTCCTAAAAGCTCCAAACAATAAGCACCACAAATGCACAGCCCATGGCAAATCCCTTTAGATAGTGGTGGCTCTTGTAGTTTCTCACCCTAACTGGGCAGATGATGTGACAGACCGCGATGTGACCTAATAAATCTAATGATCTATTAAAAGTGTGGCCGCTCAGTGGCTGCTTCCTGCGGCCACAAGAGCATCCACTTCCGCCCGTCACCCGGCACGCAGAGATCCAACTCCTACTGCTGCTTGGTGTGCAGCTGCGCACACACTTCACTTATTACGGTAAAGGTGTTGCCGCTGTTGTGCCGAATTCCGACTCCCCGGCAGAATCCGACTCCCCCTCGCGTGCACGCGCTTCACGTAAACATGTGGACGTTCCGGACTGCACTCAGGATTTCTTAGGTTATTTCTGTGTAAATAACGCTTTATCTTGTCCTCCACAGCGAACAACACAACAGGATCTAAAGCCAAACAAAGACTCTCACCGCGACGGTTTAGTTTAATATTACGAAATAAAAACGATTGTTGTTGTTGCAGTACTTGAGAACTGGTGGGACTGAATGGCTTTCAGTCATGACGATAAGTGTTACGACACATTAAACACAGCTTTAAACCTCTGTCTGGAGCACCGCGGTAAAGTTAGTTTTATGTTCGATATTCGTCTTTTCGGCGCTAATAACATTTGATCGGACTACGGTAGTCAGTAAAGACTTACATATTCATGACAGTCCGACCACAGAGAGAGATGCACACCTGTTCTTTTGCGGTTTTGGTGACATTTAACGTACCGCTATTTTGTGTTAATACCACAGAACTGAGACACGTTTTTCAGTCGGAAGGAAAATCTCGCACTTCTAGACCACGCCCACATGCACACGCCTCTGTTTTCCTCTAAAGCGTTTCAGTGCATTTAAATACATATTTTAATTATGCTAACAATAGACACCGCCAAACAATAGAACGTCAATAGCTCCATAAACACTGTGTCCATACACATCTGATCAATTGTGTTATTTACT